GCTCTTTTAGTTTACTAGATATTCGCAATCGAAAGAAAGTAGTAATAATTGAAAATGCCCTCTTTTTAATTATTTTCTTACCATATTTTATAAAGAATTTTCAATCCTTTCATAATCTTTAACCCGTTGGTGCTGACGCCCTTAATTTGGAAGGTATTCAATATCAAGAATACAGAATTACATAATTTAAATTTTGATTCTTATTGCTACGAGTAAATAATCTAAATTCCAAGAGTAATACTGTCTGTATCATTCATAAATTGCACCAACATCCTAACAGCGTATTATACGTACATACAGCGTATTTCAGTTATCCAGGTATCCGTGTCTATTGCTATTGACGCACAAAGTCGCATGTGCTAAGGCTTTGCGCACCTCATGCACTTACACGCGGGGCAGCAGGCTGTCTTATCATATCGTCCGCTGTGGTGTGTGTATATTCGGCATGCCTTAGCATACTCGGTTATGCTGCGGCCAGTTTTGTGCCGGTCTGTTATTGCTTCGGATGTGTCTCTCGCGACTTATATGATTTTCTTAGAGTTTGATTCAGTAATCAGTGTAGCAATAGATTGATAATCGAGTAAATTTTCACCGCTGCGGTTTTATCGTGTGCAGTTGCCGTTGCGGGTCGCTTCATTTCGGCGTCATGTTGATTTTTTCATCATTAGAAAATTAATTTTCTGTTTTTCTCAATCTTATGACATCCCAAAGTCAATTAATTCTTTTCCTATGCTGAGAAATATTGAAAGTAAAAGTAGATTTCTTGTATGTCGGTTATTTCAACATTGTGATATTTTAGTTTGGTCTTTTCAACTACGAGTTTATCAGTACGTTTGTGTATAAACAACTTTTTTTGTTCGACGCGTATTATCGCTACGTACCAGCCTTGTACCTGGCTAAGCAAAGCGCACACGGCAGTCGTTTCACCGCGTGGGCCGCGAACGTGTCTCTCTAATCGCCATGCGTTTTGAGGTTTTAATTGGATTAATTGTCGGGTACTTTTTTGACCATCAGCAAAATATTCGCAATGGGCATGTGTGCCTGATTTGTTTAATGCTTTGTCACGTTTGGAGTCTCCTTAAATAAGAAATTAGTGTCCATCAATCTGTGCGTGTGTTTTCAGGTGATAGAATATATTCCAGGATATAAAATCCCCTCATCAATGCATAGGTAGGTGTGTAATTAATTATTTTACGGAAAGTTACGCCGGTTTAACTTAAATTGAATATTCTATTTGAGTGATATGAAATTTGCATGTATCATCTTGCAAATTAAAAACACATGGTATGTAGCATTTTTATCAGAATTCTTAGTTCCGTTTCCGAAAATAACATGGATGATTTAATTACTACAAATACTGTTTTACAAAAGTATCTGAAGATTATTAAAATTGGCAATATTCATATGGTCGACCACGCTCACTTTGCCGTCGGCCGTCGGCTCGGCCGTCTTTTCGCAGAACACGTGAATGTTTTTAATCGATTTGCACTCCTTAGCATCATTAAATTAAGAAGTTTCTTGTTGACCTAGTAAAATTTTACACGTTTTTCGTTTTCATAGTCTCTGTACGTCTTAACATTTACGTGTCGAACAATAGTTATTTTTATCCTCTCTAACAATTGTATTGCTACGCGCCGTCGCTTGCCGTCAGCTGATTTGAATGTTTTCCGCAGGATATTCTATCAATTTATGATGATGCTTTACCCGTCGGTTACTTTATGCAGTTGATGCATCAATTAATAAATATACATTCTCAATATATTAAAATATTGTTGTTTATTTGTAAATTTCCCTCTTCATGTTGTGAATATTAACTCCCTTTGTAGTTTCTAAAGTTTTCTTTTTGTAACACCATGTATATTAGTTTTCCTAACACTACGTAGAAAATCGCCGGTATTTGTGAGTTTTGTGGGCTCTTTGTTTCAACTAGAGATTTTCTTTCTTAAACACCCTGTATATTCATTTATCTTTGTGTCCGTGAAAATTTTGCTTTAACTGTTGTTTTTAGAGTTTTCCTCATTGCCCTTTAAATTTTCTTTTTGTGACACCCTGTATATTAGTTTCCCGGAGCCTCGGGTGAAAAACGAATGATATTTGAAGTGTTAAAATGTTTTTCTGTTTTCATAGTAAATTTTTCATTTGTAACACCCTGTATATTTGTTTCCATTTTCAACCCCGTAGAAAATAAGCCATTTGCTAATTTCATTATTACGGTAGAACTGTACGAAGTGGTACTTGCTTATATGTGCGCGGCTTAGCAGGTCGTAAGTCCGGTTTCAATATGGCGACATGTATTCTGTTGACATGTAAAATCTAAACTTGTATTCTATTGTTAATAAATAAATAGTAAGATATATTGACTTATTTGATTTGTGTGTTCGCCTTCTATCATTTCAGGAACAGGTCTCTATGAGAGTTCCCTCTCTCAGGGGATGATCCCCTCTATAAAAATTGTTAAGGTAACCTGTATGATTTGTGTACTCCTTCTTTCATTTCAGCTACAGGTCAGAACTTGTAAGAATATTTTTAAGTGCCGCCTCTCTTGAGACGACTTAAAACTTAGAAATATTTCAAGACCTTATAAGGATTGTCCTTATAAGGAGATCCCCCTCTCTGGGGGTGATCCCCCACCATAAAAATTGTTGATATGCCTGATAATTTCGGGGATGAAGCGCAGAGACATCGTAGCTGTAGGATGGGCCGGGAGCAATGGACGCATCGAAGCAGTGGGCGATCGACCAGAGCGCCGGAGGCGCTCTGGGAGATCGACCTGTGACTGTCTTATAACGACACGTGCCAAAAAATTTAAAAATCTGATCCTCTCCTGTTCTCTTTCTTCTATCTCCTCCTCTTCTCTGCTCTACTCTCTGTTCTCTTCCTTCTGTCCTCTCCTATGCTCCTCTACTACTCCTTCTTCTATTTCTCTGTTCTCTCGTTCTCCATTTACTTTCATACATCTCTTATTGCCTCCACTTGTATTTCAATTTCTCATATATTTCGTTGCAATTCATATATGCAACCCAAATTTCACCTGATATTTTTATATTTGAGAAAAATGCCTTCTATACCTGAGATTCGATCCGTGTCTGCCAGCATGCCAGCAGGTGCACGTCTCCACTCGACCACCGAGTGTTTTTATCATTTATATTTGATTCTTCTATTTATGTTTCTACTTTATTCAACTTTTTAAAAACAACAACACAACGCAAACAACAGCTATACTCGTATATTGTACACGCTCGTAGCACTTAAGATTTATCCTGCAAACGGCAAAGGGGAAACCAGAAAGAAATATGAAGAAGTATATAATATTACATTATGTTTTATTAGCAACATTTAAAACCACATACATTTATTTAAAATCGAAAATCATAGACAGCTCTTAAATCTCCTGAAAGTAAAACTTGCCTTGAATTCGCGCATCTCTAACATTTCTGCGACAGAAGCGGTAGACTCAGGCATCAACGTTGTTTATTTATACTAATTAAAACACACAACACAAGGTGCAAGCAAACATTAAAACACAAACAACTACAATACAATACATTTACATATAAAAAATGAATTCTACGTGGACAGTACAACAAACATGTATGTACACATTAATACATAAGACAATACAGCAAAGTCAAATACACAATAAATGGAGTTGTCAAGTTCTACATACACAATTACATAACACAAACAGCAATCAGGGAAATGTTCTTAAGAGGATGACACACACAAACAGCTTCTCTAACAGACACCGCGTTGAAAATTCTATGCCGCTCAATAACAATGCATGCACGAATAGGTGAATAAAAATATAGAAAGTCTGCAGTTTACCGTTCTATCTCGGCTTCTACGTAGATTGTCCATGTTCCAATTCATTGTCCAGATAATATCACAACAAACGTTGCAAGACGTTGCAGGTATATGCTATCCGTATCTCGCGAGCGCGCAATGTAAACAAGTTGATAGCACGCGGACATCCTGCAATACGCACAACGAACGCAAAGAAAATTAACGATTTTGTATATTCGATACCCGATTGTCTTTTAATGAAACACTAAACACGTGAGGAACAACTAAATCCACGCGATGGACAATCGAAATGAACGCGACTTACCGACTTACAAACTAAAAATAAAACGATAACAGCCGCAAGAAACACGTCCGACCCGACCAGCGACCGGCACAAGTCTGTGCTGAGCACAGCACGCAGCACAGCCAACGGCGGCACGCGACCACATGCGATAATACTGCGCGCATGCCGCAATACAACGCGCACTATTTGTAACAAACAAGGTCGCATGCAAGATAGTCAACTCAGGAATTTCGACTAAAAAAATGCAAGTGTGATTTTTGGTTAAATATTTATTAAAACTGAAATAAATACGCTTATAATTATAATTTACCTATATATAAGAAAGAAATAAATTTTGTTTTAACAAAACTTAAAACCCTTTGTGCTAAAACTACGAGTCTCACTTGTGGTTTTTTAGTTGAGACAAATCCAAATACCACGAGCGTGAGCCGTGATTCGCGGTTCGCACCGTTCGCATAGTATACGAGCGTCACTCGTGTTTCGCCGCTGGAGCCAATCTCAATGTTAACGTGTGGCACTCGTGCAGCAATAGCGACGATGTCAGTGTATACTATCTCTATCTATCTTATTTAAGTTTGCGCGCAATTGGCTTGAACGAAATTGGTGAAATGGTTATACAAAATAAATTATTTTCCTTTAAATATTAAAAGAACGCCACAGCCAGCGTGGGGATCAAACCAAGAACTTTCGGTACGCAAGAAAATATTGATATTTATAAAAATTTATGTTGCTTACAACTGATGCACTGCGAATATACTGAGATATGTATGTTTATCAACAAACGATAAGAACCGCAAATGCATTACTGTTCTATATATATCGAAACAATTTTGCCTATATTTACATTAATATGAATCAGTCGATCGCAGCAAATGAAAACATGAAAGAAAATAAAGAATCTACAATATACAACAACTTCAAAAAAATAAATTCTAGCAATAATTAATTCTATATACATAAGTCGTGATACAGGTATAAACTACAAAAATTATTAATATTGCCAGCGAGTAAATGTAAAAACCAAACACTCCATTGTTTAAATTCATGGAATACTACAAATTTTTACACTGGAGGAAGTGTGTTAACGCCCCGTATATACAGGTGCATTAGCTGACGTGAACCAATCAGAGTTGGCCATGTTAGGTCTTCAAATTATCATCGCAGTACACGCATATTTCGTCTGCCTGCCTCGTCAACACACATCAATACCCCGCATATAAACCACAGACATTGTGCGCGCTACAATTCATTTTACATGTTACATTTAGCATTCACAAAACCCTCCCGCAAAGAATGGCTGTAACCTCATTCGTTTACTGCTGCCTGCTTGTTTCGCTCCTCGCCGGATCAGCACTCGGCGACGCTTGCAAGGGTTGCCTCAACTTTGACGAAGACAGCTTCAGGAAAGTCGTGCCGAAGTTCAAGTATTCACTCATCAAGTTCGACATCGCATATCCGTACGGTCCAAAACACGATGCGTTCGTCCAGTTTGCAGAGACGCTCACCGACATGCAAGACCTCATCGTCGCTGATGTCGGTATCAAAGACTACGGCCAGAAGGATAACGAAGACTTCGCCAAGGCGCAGAAAGTAGACACAACCAAACTGCCTGTGATTAAATTATATAAAGGTATTAAAGAGTCAATTGCATTCACTGATGATGAAATTACCATTGAAAAGCTAAGGGAGTTTGTTCTGGAGAATTCTGATGTTCATCTCACACTGCCAGGATGTGTAGAGGCTCTTGACAAGCTTGCAATTAAGTTTACACAGAGTAAAGATGCTGATAGGAAACAGTACCTGAAAGAAGTAGAAAAATATCTGACTGAGACTGATAATGAGGTGAAAGCAAAGCAGGTATACTCACTGTACATGAAGAAGCTGCTAGAAGATGAAGACTTTGTTGGCAAGGAACAGAAGAGACTGAAGAAGATACTCACTGAGGGCCAGTTGGCTGAGGCAAAGAAGCAAATTCTGCAAAATAAAATCAACATTTTGTATGCATTCGAAGACAAGACAAATAAGTTTACAAAGAGAAAAGAGGATTTATAATCATGCTACACTTAGTATTTTTGTGCAGAAACACACAAGTTAAAGTTATTTTTATGTTTCTATTATGAGATTTGTACCGTAGATAAATATCATATTTAAAACAAACTAAAAGTGGCTATTTTTTTATCATTTTTAAAAATTGTGTACCAACCTGTGCATTTTTATATACTACATGGATCGTGCACTAGTTGTAAACAGAGCTACCAACCAAAACCGCTAATATAATCTAAACAGGATTTCCCCTCCAGCGGGTTTAAAACTGACATAATCTAGTAACTTTTATTTTAGTACGCGATCCTTGAAAGGTATCTGATATTTCGTCCGTAGCGCACCCAAGCGGATCTGTATAAACTAAACACGTCAGAAATTAGTTTCTTGTGACTGAGTATTAAACCGATCTCGACGAGAATTCCCAGCACAAAACTCGAAAATGTCGCTCAAAAAAGACATAAAGTTATTATTCAAACCATACTACTTCGTTAATATACTACTCAGCTTATCATACATCGTTCTGAAGCGGACGCCAGGAGTTTGCAATTATTTATTTAACGTCGAAGAATGCGAATTTGATGGGGTGCGTTAATTTTTATAACAAAATAATTAAATTCCTAAAGTAATTATTTTTTTTTTTATTGTAGAAAGAAACAGAGATCTTATTCTTCCTGCTAATTGTCGTCATGATAAGAACAAGAAAAGCAGGCAGTGTCACCATGATCAATTACCTCTCATCAAGTTTCATCTACACAAAAGTAGCAAATCTTATACTGTGGTTTTATGCAAACTTTATCATGGGAATAGTTTATGGAATCATCTTCATATGTAAGTCATTTAAGACACAACACAACTTGTGGAAGTGTTTAAACTTATCTGTCAATTGAATAATTACAGTGGCCGGCCTCATTCTCCCAGAACCCACATACTCTGGCCCTGACAATGTGATTTATTTCCGCGGCATGCAAGGCCTAGACGAAGAACTGGAGCGTGATAAGAAGTGCACCTGGTTGGTGGCCTTCTACACAGTATGGAATCCATCTTGTGTTCATTTCGCACCAGTTTTCGCGGAGTTAAGCACAAAATACGATCTGGATAATCTGAAATTCGGAAAGGTGGACGTTGGGCGTTACCCAGACGCCGGGAAAAAGTACCATGTCAACGACAGCAGCATGAGTAAACAACTGCCGACGATGATACTCTTCCAGGAGGGCAAGGAAACCCTGCGCCGGCCCACAGTCGACAGCAAATCGAAGCTGATCAAGTTCATTTTCAACATGGAGAATATCATCATGGCGTTCGACTTGAACAACTTGTATCAGTCGTGCAAGGATCAGCTTAAAGGAAAGAAGAGCAGCATGCAGGAGAAGAAGACCATCAAAGACAAAAAGAATGAATAATTTGATTGATAGCCCAAAGATTTAAACATATTTCACACTTCATGATTTCATCATACTCTTTATAAGATGTGTCTAAGTTAATTTATTGTTAGTGCATTTATATTTTATTTTTATTCTGTTGCGTTATGTTTTAGTGCCATTTGCGTGTGTGGTTGACTCGAATTAAACCAATAAAAACGTTTGTTCTCGAAGTTACGCCGCGTACAGTGAATTGTCATTATGTAATGTATTAATTACCTTGATGATTGTATTACTAATCAATCATAAGCATCTCTGCAGCGACACGCCTTGCAGTCTCGCGATCGGTGACATACTCCAAGACTTTAATCGACCAGTCGAAGGTGGTGCGATGTCCGCGGGATGTAATCAGATTGCGATCGGTGACGACGTCGTCATACTTGTAGATGTAGTTGTCACCCTCACGGACAACATTTTCTACGCGTGGATAGGAAGTTAAACGACGTCCGAACATGATACCATGCGCTTTCATTGCAATCGGCGCTTTAAAAACACAATATTTATTAAAATTGTGGTTTGTAAGATATTAAAATTACTTACAAGTACAAATGGCGGCTAGTAAACGTCCGGATTTCTCTTGTTCGCGCATGACAGTGCCCACATCACGATCCTCCGATAAAGATTGCCAGCCGAATTTGCCGCCGGCGGTGACCACCACGTCGTAGGGACCTTTTTTCATCGCTTCGCAGAGGGCCATGTCCGGTACAATCAGCATACCGGAAGAACCAACGACCGGTTCGTCGGTTGGACCAGCCAAAGTACATTCCACCTGTAAAACAATTAAAAACATTAAAAATAAATAAAACAATTGATATAAATACTTACTCCACCACGTTTCAAAACGGTGTACGGAGTGGTGACTTCATTCTCTTCGTTTTGTGGATATAAAAGAATAAGCGCTCGCTTTGCCATTTTGTTTTCGAAATACTTTATCTTTACTTGACGAATGTAGACGGTAAACTGTTGTGACGATATTGCGCACGCTTGGGTTTTATACATTCCCAAAGCGACAATTTGCGGTGTAAGTCACGTGAGGTAAAAATCCCAGACGCTAAATAAAATTACTCACATATACAGGAAAACAACAAGAATTTATCAAAAGTCAAACAGGAAATAACGTTATGCAAAGTAATTAGTGTTAATAAGGCAGGAGCGATTCCTGCGCGACGCGCGCCGCAGTTTCCTCATCGGTGATATATTCCAGCACTTTAATCGCCCAGGCGAACGTGGTGATCTGGCCGGAGGATGTAATTAGGTTGCGATCGACCACGACGTCGTCGTGCTTGTAAATGTAGCATGCATCGCGCCGCATTACATCCTCCAGTGACGGATACGAAGTCAACCGCCTGCCGTACATGATTCCATGCATCTTCATTGCAATTGTGGCTTTTGTAATTAAAAAAAAAACACATTAAACAACAATAACAACACAAAAATAAATAAAAAATTACTTACAGGTGCAAATTGCTGCTAGGCATCTTCCGGATTTTTCTTGTTCACGCATGAGTGCGATGACATGTTTATCTGTTGATAACGACTGCCAACCCCATCGACCTCCAGGCAGCACCACAACATCATAGGGTCCTTGTTTGATGGCTTCTGACAGCGGTAATTCAGGTATAATACGAATCCCGACCGAGCAATAAACTGGATCGGTTGATGGACCTGCCAGTTTACAATCCACCTAGAAGAAAACTATTTTATTATTTGTTCGTAAACTGGTTGGGTGATTACTTACACCGCCGCGTTTGAGTACACTGTATGGCACACACACTTCGCCTTCATCGCTCTTGGGATAAACAAGAACCAACGCGCGTTTCGACATAATTACACAACAAAATCAAACTGCCGCTTGAAACTTATGTTTGAAAATTACAATACAATATGCCAACTTCGTGAACAATGCTATAAATAATCACTTTTCAAGTGGAAAACACTGTGGAATGTGATGTAGACATTGAAATTCCATTTTCGCGCATAGAAAACACGCTGGAAATCGTTTCCAGGAATAAAATGCGCTCGATAATTACATATAATTTTATATTTTACCGCAAGTGTTAAAAAATTCTCTCATTAAATGAAAAACAAGTAATGCAACTTATCTGATGATTAATGTTAGTGTGGCTGAGGGTGATGGGGATGAATTTACAATGTGAGAATCTCGGAGGCGCGCTCTTCCATCAGCGCCTCCATGCCGGCGACGTGCTCGCACCACTTGTCCAGTTTATCGATCATGTTGGCGATCTGCGTGCGATTGAGGACGCGCGGTTGCACCCAGGTCATGTTTACCGTTCCGGCGACTTCATCGATTGCGCCTTTGACTAATCCTTGACTCAGGGCCTTCATCACGAGCAGTTCGATTTCGTTACGGGGTAATTTCGTCTCTGTGGCGATCTCTTCAAAGGTGAGTTGTCTTTTGTGCGATGGACGTTTGAAAGTCATCTAAGAATTAATAATTAATAAAATTTATATTTGTGTATGCAGTATTTATAGTTTAAATGATTTATTTATTGATATGTGATTGGATAATTGAAGTTTAAGTGAAAAAAAGCAAAAAAATTGAATGCAAACATTACTTTTTGCTATTTTAAGAATAATTAAAAGATAAACCTAAGTTTTAGACGAGAAACATGTCAACACAACATTATCCAATCATATATAAACAAAATAATACTTAAAACAATAAAAAACTTACTTCCATAAGACACAATAACGAAATCTTCTGCCTAAGGAATAATTCCTGCGCTAAAAGATCAGGAATAGCGCCCCAGTGCTTCTTCATCACCTCAAACTTCTCAATATCCCCCGAATTAAACGCCTGCAGGAGTTCCACAAGCCATTCATTCTCAGTACCGCTCAGCGAATCCAAAATGGCGTGCGCTAACAACTCGCCAAGGTTGTAAACGCCTTCACCTAATAGCGCAGCTAATCCCAAAAAGAATGCATGCTGATGCTTGGTTTCAGTTGACAGAGTGCTCAATTCAATGCAGCCCAAGTACCTCAATGCTGTCCTATAGTACTGTGCATGATCACCTTGTATTCTATAATATTGTGAAGCAAGGTGATAGAATCTGCCATGCACCGGAGTGACGCCATCTGCATTGTCTAAAGTAGCCTCAACCTCCTCAATGATTTTCTTGGTGGCTTCCAGGTCATTCAGCTTCTCAAGATGAATCTGGCCGGCTAAAACCTTGCACAGATTCTCAGCATCTGTGTTGGATTTAACTTTGGGGCCCATTTTCTCAAGAAACTGGACTGCTTCATTTTTATCTTTGAATTGTTCAATTATAATTGCAACAATTTCAACCAAAGATAATGGATTAATTCTAGAATATTCACAAGTGATTAATTATTATTTAAAACTAAAATTTAAGCAAATAATTACTAACTTGTTTTCAAATGTTGAAATGAAAACATTATACAGTTGAATAAGCTGGTCGCCTTTCTGCAGTGCTGGATTCTTAACGAAAGTTTCCAGTTTCAGCGTAAGTTGGTGCCATAGTCTAGAAAATAACACAGAAAACAATGAAATTTAACAATTTTTAAGGATGAATCAGCTGTTTGAAGGTTAGAATCCACGCAAACACCGGCTGAAAATCGTGTGATAAAGACACGAAAACTAGCGAAAAGTGCAACGTACTTCTTGTTATGAAGTTCCTCCAATTCCTGCCAGTCGCCGGCGAGATCCTTGCCGCTTTCTTCCTGTTTCTTCGAAAGATATTCGCTCACGTTCGGTTGCTGCACAGCGGTGGCCATCTTACACACAGTTTGCGCTTATGCGCTCTTCTAACAAAACATTACTTGCAAAACACGAACGACAGCGCTGCAACCGCCGCCTAGCGCGTAAATTTACTACTACCCAAACAGAACTACCAACTTAAAACCATAAAAAATTACTAGATAAAATATTTTACAAACTCATTTGGAATACTAAAATAAAATGAATCACTGATGATGAATTGCCTTGCAAAACAAAGGATTTTGTTACAAATACGCATGCCAAAATGTTTTTCTTCAATTATTTATAATATAGCAAAAAGTAACGTTCGCTTCCAATTTTTTTTTTGTTTGTTTCTTTCAGTTTCAACTATTCTATACTTAAAAGGACCTGCTCTCTCGCATTTTCTCAGTTATTCCGCACCGCGTTTGTTATTGTTGATTAGTTATTAGTCGCTCGCTAACGTTATGTTAAAGACTAAAAGGTAAACAATCGCCAAACTAATATGATTACATATACAAATCAATTCGTAACGTAATGAAAATGTATCACTTTTCGATATTAAACTATGAGAGACCGGTGTGATAACTAATCATGAAGTGTTTCGTTTTTTGTAGAACTCTGTTGGTGTTTTTCTTCATCAAGTGTGTTCAGAAATCAAAGACTTATCGTGTGTAAATGTGTGGGTGTGTACAACGTTATAAGATAGGACTAGGCGCGTGGTTGCGTTAAAGTCTAAAATTATAATTAATAACATTACATAATTACTGAGGAGCGCATGTGCCGGTGGTGTGGTTAGATTTTCGCGTTTGTTTTTCTTTTGCGTGTTGGTTTGTTTTAGAATTAGTTATTAACTTTGTAAATTTTATTCGCACGTTCGATTTTGGCAGCGGTGCCGTCGGCGGCGGTTAGGAGGGATTATGAAGACAGGTGGGGGGGATGAGACGATGACGAGGACAAGGAGGTTTGGTTGTTGTTGTTGTCAGCTGCTGCTGCTGCTGCGGGCGGCGGCGGCGGTGATTTAATCGGCCGGCCGCTTCTCGCTGTGCTTTTTCGTGTACTCCTCGGCGTTCTTCGCGAACTTCTTGCGGTCTTTCAGATACTCCTCGGCGAGGTCGGCGCGCAGCGGATGCTCGGGTTCTGGCTCGTTGACTAAGGCAACAAGTGCTTGAATCACTAAAAACAAAACACAATAAAATAAAATGAAATTAAACACAAAAATCCATTAATACCTTGATCAGTTTTGGTGGCAGGCTTCCAATTCTCTGCACTAATGATGGGCAGACACACCTGGCCCTTCTCATCGATATTCGGATGGTAAATCTTTGTCTTGAAGCTGATGCGCGGCGGCTTGAAGGGATACTCCGCGGGGAAATTGATTTCAATCTTAAACGCGCCCTTGTTGTAGGGCGCATTGTCCGGCACAATCAGGCCCTGCCATGTGAGGATATTGGTCTCATCCACCTGGATGTCTCTGAAGGATCGCAGCCCGGAGTTTTTAATATCACCCAGTTCCTGTAACACACCAACCCACGCACATATTAAATATCAGAAGACAAGTGTGAACATAACCCCCAAAGTGGTTAAAAACGGCAAGGTCAGCGTGAAAATTCGCGGATTTCAACCTTTTTTTCGCACACGCAAAGTTATTAATAGTGTAAAAAGTAATCAGTTAAATATAGTTCAAGATGCTCCGGCTGTCTTTAACCAACAAATTATTACTACTATGGAGTTTTTGTTGCTGATGATAAATACATATACGTAACAACAATTGAAATGCGGTACAAAGTGCAGGCGCATTGCCATCGAGATTCTTCGTAATTACCTTTTGTAATCGGCGTGTCGCTGCCATTTTGATGAATTTCTACGCGACGATAAAATATCTCTGACTAAGTGCACACAGCTTGTGTGTGGCGGACCCACGCGTGTGGTCTCCAATGCTCTCTGGGGATTATTAGATATTAGATTGTTGTGGCAGGATGCCGCAAACAGACGCGCCTCGTCCTCCTGGCTGCGTTGTGGAATTCAAGCGAGAATTTGCGCCGCTGGGGATCTCTCCCGAGCTGCCCGATGATATGCGAGCGCGACAACACGCGCGGTTGACTGGCCGTACAAATGTCGTCTCGCAGGAGGTGCAATCACCCTGTGGCTGGCGATGAGTCCGCTGTGTGCCGCGCAGTGTATCGATGCGAACCTGCAACAAGCACAAGTCGGCGCGCCGCGCACTTGCGAAAAGCGCACGGATATTCTAGAATTTCGCGTTGAACACAATCAGCGATCTCTTGCGCGCTCGACGACCGACCGCTGCGACGACTGCCGGACGACAAAACCGAGCTGACCGCGAGCGACGCACAGCCGTCAGCTGTGTCACCAGAAAGCGGGGAGTCACGCGCATTTGCAACCAGTTTTCCACTCCTACCAACATTAAATCTCTAGAAAATCAAACTTGGGTTATAAAAAGAATTTTGAATTAAAAACTCTGAAATAAAACATTATTTAATTAATTATTAATGCTACATGTAAAGAAATAATTATTATTAATTTTAATAATATTTTTGATAAAGTATATTTGTGCAAAATTTGAATTTGACAGTCAAATATCACACAATTTAGGCCAAATAAAAGATTTCATAACCCTCAAAAGTGCGCACTGCTCAAAAACTAAAAATATAAATACACCGTATACCATTGATAAGCACGCACGCGATAAATGAACCATCAACAAACAAACAAACACCATCATGTCGGAAGTCACCCTCCAGCCGGACGCGATCCGCGGCTGCCTGAAAAAGCATTTCAAGTTTGACGACTTCAAATCGAAACTGCAGCGGGACGCTATTTACGAAATCGCCAGACGTAATTATCAACTTTTCTCACATTTCGCAGCCGAAACTGATTCAAATCTCCGCAGGAAAACATGACGTCCTTGTCTCCATGCCAACTGGCAGCGGAAAATCCTTATGTTATCAACTGCCTGCAATGCTACATCCAAAAATGGTCACAATTGTCTTCTCACCACTACTGGCACTTATAAAAGTAAGTTAAACACCTAAAAAGCAATAAAAAACTATTAAAATGATATATTATAGGATCAAATTGATCATCTGGTAGCGTTGAAAATCCGCGCGTCTTCGCTAAACTCCAAAACAACGAAAAACGAGCGTGAAAATCTCCTCACAGACCTGAAAACAATGTCGCCAAATACAAAATTGTTATACATCACACCCGAACAAGCCGCCACGGCAACATTTCGTGACCTATTCAACAACATGGTAAAATTCAACAAAATCGCGTATATTATCGTCGATGAAGCGCATTGCGTCTCACAATGGGGTCATGATTTTCGCCCGGATTATTTAAAACTCGGCGTGTTGCGAGAGAACAATCACATACCATTTATCGCCCTCACAGCAACAGCCGGCAACGACGTCCGAAAAGACATAATATCTTCATTGAAAATGTCCAAAACAAATCTGAAACAATTCATGACCAGCTGCTTTCGGACGAATCTCTTCTACGATGTGATATTTCAAAACACCGTCGACGATTTATACAAACACCTCAAAGATTTCATCCGAAAATGTTTAAAAATCGAAGAAGAGGCAGATCTTAAACCTGAAGAGAAATCCTGCGGGATTATCTATTGCCGTACACGCGAACAAACCGAGTTTCTCTCCGGGCAATTATCCTCCATGGGAATAAAAACCTGCTGTTACCACGCCGGATTAAAAAACAGCGATCGATTAGAATATCAAAATCTATGGCAGAATGGCACGTATCCGGTGATATGCGCCACTGTGAGTTTTGGTATGGGTGTGGATAAAAGCAGTGTACGTTTTGTTATCCATTGGGGTTGCCCAAAGGACCCGGCGTCGTTTTATCAAGAATCAGGCCGTGCGGGACGCGATGGCAAACCGTCGAAATGTCGCGTGTATTACTCGAAAGCCGACCGGAAAGCACACGAGTTTCATCTCATGCAAGACATGGGCCGAGCGAAAGCAATCACAGATAATAGCAAGGATTTGAAGAAGTGTGACAAGCAGGTGATGGCCGAAGCAGCTATGAAGGGATTCACAGCGATTGTGAATTACTGCGAGGCGCCGACCGAGTGCAGGCATAAGTTGTTCACGCGGCATTTTGGCGAGAAGGATCCGAAGTGTAAGCGGAATTGTGATTATTGCAAGGATAAGAAGAGTGTGGATGAGTTGGTGGAGTATTTCCACACCAAGGCGGTGCAGTTTACGGAGAAAATGATCGACGCAGATGGCTTGGATGATAGTTTATGGGAAGGCGGGCGGAAAGGACAGAAAAAGTATATTTTACTATTACTATTACTATAGTAACATGACACTAAAAGTCAAATAAATATTTAAATTTTTAAATTTTACAGGCTAGAAGAAGATTACGGTGAGGAAGGATTCAGCAGTGCGGATCGTGATACTCGCGCAAAGAAACAATCGACGGATTTAATCAAGAAGCAGTTTGCGTTGCGCGCGAAAAATCAAAACGCGCATGAAATGTCGCAGAGTACAGTCGATGAGCTGTTGGGGAAACATGCGCGTGTGATGGCAGCAGCGGCGACTTCCAGCAAAGTAAGAGGGCTGAAAATTGCGATGCGTGAGATGTACACGAGTAAACTGCACGATGCGTTGTACGAGAACTACTGCGCGTGCAACGCTGAGAGTGAGCGTATCTTCGATAAGAAGGACGTGGAGGATTGCGCGGTTGCGGAGGAGTATAAAATCTTCTCGACCACCACGACGTTCATTACTTATCGGAGTGGAGTGTGCAAATTAGTAAGACTAACAATTCTAATTTCATTAATTAATGCATGCGTTTTTCTTTCTTTCTTTAAATCTAAAAATAATAATATTTATTTTGTTTTTTATGTGTTTTTAATGTTAATTTATGTATTTTAGTTGGCACATGTGAAGAAAAGAACTTCCGAGGCGCAGAAACACGAGGCATTTACGGATTTCACGCCGAAACCAGCAACGTACAACTCTCTGGGTGATTTGTTTCGGAATATTAACAAAGATAACATGCAGAAGGGCCGAAAAAGAAGTCATGATGATGATAATACCGATAAGAAACCAAGTGGTTTTGTTTCGGCTTCACAATTACTAAAAATAGAAGAAACAGATGTTAAAATATCCCCTGAACAAAATAATCACGATGAAAGTAATCCTGATAAAGAAGAAAACGGTGATTTCGAAGATGACAATGAAGAAGATTGTGCTCCTAGTGAGAAAAAAATGAAGTTCACCACAACAGACACAACAAAGTTTAGTAATAATACAAAATTAATGACGACAAATTCGGATGTTGATGTTGATGTACCACCCATACCTAAACATAAAGAAGATAATGTAACTATACCAATAGAAAACAATAAGAGCAATTCTTCAACTACTCAACAACTCTGTGATAAACTTGAGGAAGTGCTCGAAAGCACGAAACAAAAGATGAATGCGTATCAAAAAGATGTAAAGAGTGAGAAATCTAACGATAACAACGCAAAGTTGCCGCTGAAAAAACAAAAATCTTCACGGAAATCATCCAAACTGAAACATTTATTCGGTGGGGACGATGGTAGTGATCAAGATGAAACTAAAACAAAAATTAAACAAAATAATCCGCCTGCTGTGACAAATAAAGTAGCAAAAGATGCCAAATTGACGAAGGTGGACGTTGCTAATCTAGTCGTCAAATTATTAATGCCTGCCTATGCTGAGAAGAGGTTTGATACAAAAGACACTTTCAAAGCAACTGCGCGGACATTGGCACATATTGTGCATGATCAAGGTTGGTTTTCTTATTGTAATCTTTTACTTGTACTAAAATTGATACTTTTTAGGAGCTGACGAAGCATCAATCAAGAAGTACGTGAAAAACTTCCTAACGCGACACAAAACGATCACAAGTGCCACCGAGGTGAAGTAACCCAACCTATAATCCTGTTTGTTTTTATTATCGCTAAAAACTGCGTCTTGATTGTGTAAAAAAGACAAAAACACTTCACATGGTTTCTCGTTTTTGTTTATGAACCTTATACAATACGTAATAAATAGAAACTTACTTATTGTTCACGCCTGAAATGCTTTGTTTCCGCAGCTGGGTCGCGTCGGCCATCTTGTCTGCATCTACGTTTCATATAAGACACTAAATTTTAGATATTTGCGATATTAGAACCTATACGTTTGGCAGTATGTCTGTTTCAACCCTAGTTTAGTCTTGTCTTCCCGTCTCCGCCTCCTGCGCCGCCTGTATGCCCTGGATGAGCGTCAGGCTGTCGTTGATATCGACAAATTGCAAAACCCCGCGCGCATAATCATCCACGAACGTCTGTACACTCTCCGGTGTAATCTCCACCGCGTAATCCATGAGCGCAAAGCGCCGCTTGGGTAAATCAATCGCCACCAACAACGGGACGACATCGTCCAGGCCGATGAGATCACGCAGGACATCCGAGGCGTCCGAATCGGACGCGACTAGAAACTGCACGTATTCATCGTGGAAATGCAACGGGGTGTCACATTCGTGATCGATGTTGATGTGGCGCGATTTGTAATACTGTGTGGCGATGGGTGTGAGGAGAGAATCGGCAAAGTGCACATCAGTATCTTCACCATCTAGAATAGAAAATCATCATCATCATTAACTTATGTATATTAAGTATTAAACAATTCTATTCGCACGCATGCGCAAACAGACGTGATTAAACTGTCACTTTTTTGGAAGAAGTGGAAAAAATGTAAGTAAAAAACATGTTTTACATTGTTTACTTACCAACAAACAAAACAATCGAAGCATAATCATGCAGCTTAGTCCCATAACGTTCCGTTAAAACATTCACTGGTTTCGGTTTCCATGGAAAATGCAACGCTTCGGGATCATCCAATAGTTCAGTACGCGCATCCATCGTAATAAGATGGCCGTTGCTATCGAGCAGTAGCAGAGTTGGTATGCCGCGAATGCCGTACAACTGCGCCAATTCGGCGCGTATCGCCGACTGTTGGAAAGGGATCGACAGCCAGGGCATTGAATCAATATAAGTATTATAAGATTCTGCGGATCTAAAAATAAAACAACACATTTTTAGTTAAATTTAATTAAACGTGTATGATAGGGTAGAAGGGCGGAGGGTAGTTGGATTGTCTTAATACCCTCATTTCACAAGATTAAATTAAATTACGGTTGGCGCGCTGCACCCCTAAATTGCATTACATTACGTGAAGTAACCGCGTTTCGGGGCTCGCTGTACGCCAAAAACCTAAGAGATTTATAAAGCGTATAAAGTCTCAGTTGAAACGTGGCCTGAATTTAATTTTGCATTAAAAAAATGTTATTTTACGCGTGTTTGTAATAAATACCGTGTATATTTCTAGTATTGTAGTATTTTTGAGTTGTGCGTTGCGTGATGTGCTCTAGGGGGCGGCAATAACGCGGCAATACGACTGTAAATTAACTTCCGCGTCATAAACTGTAGAATTATTGTTTTTGTCGCGCTCCATTCGCTCTGTCCGTCCGTCTGTGAATCGTGTTTGTGTTTGTAGTGTGTTTGGAGGGCGCTCACCCTGCGCCCAACAACAACCCCCAAACTCTATTCACAAAGATTTTATACAGAGTATTACAAAATATTTAATTAAAACCTCAAAAAAATCATTTTTATCTATTTCTTTTGTTTTGTTGTGTTTTGTTTTGTTTTGCTTCTGCGCGTTAATTTTTTACTTTAAAGTCACTATTGTATGTTTAGAGAGGGTTGGTATCTCTCTATCTATTTATCATAGGTAATAATTCACTTGAAACGCGCGAAGGGAGCGCGCGCAGTTGTGCAAAGGGGTGCAAATGTAATAAACGGCGCTCGCACCCCCGCTCAAAACAAAACCGAAAAGATAACAACACGTAAACTGTGCTAGGATATTCAAAATGGCCGCTATACACTATACTCGTAAAACGCAAATACTTAACAAATTTTGTTCGCGTGCACACTGCTTTCCACATTCACAAGCGCAAAGTGATAGCTTATGTTCCAACGAACGTCATAAAACTCCAACTGCAACCCCTCGAAATATATAAATTAACATAGAAATATTCTATTTATGCGTCGCAATGCACAACTAGACAACCACACACACACACACATAGAGAATACAACAAAAAAAAAATACTCACCGATCACTCGACACGAAAACAATCTCAAAGTCTTCATATCCCTCGCGTGTGCGAATCGAGTGATACACTTCTGCCAACTGCGGTGTGAACGCCCTGCATGGCGGACACCAATTCGCCGAGAAGTAGAAACCCTTCACGCCGGTGAGGTTCTTATACATTGTGACTTTTGTGTTTGTGTTGGCATTACTCTTTTTACTTTCATCTTCATTGGATGTACAACATGCGTGTAGTTGCACATCCGCAAGCACTTGGTCCACAGGCCGTGGACGCCATGGAAAAAACACTCCTGCTGGATCTTCAAGTAATCTCTCCTGCGCGGATATGGAAATTGTAGTGCCGTCACGGCTTTCAAGTAGTACTAAAGTTGGCACACCTGATTTTATACGAAAACGACGTGATAATCTCGTCTGGAATACAACAATTGTTTAAAATAACAATAAAAATTAAGATTTTTATGTTTTTTGCTTGCCTTTAGGTCTATTTCACTATACGGCATCGCAAACCATGGCAGTCCCTCCAGACACTCGCGATGCGAGCCCTCAAAATCACCGTAGACGTCGTTGTTCGCCCACAGGACGACTTGTATCACCTCAACGCGCTTCTTCTTCGCCTTGGCGTCGTCGGCCTTGTTGAGCTTCGCGTATAACTCGCGCAGTTTGCGCACGAATTCATCGCATTGCAGATTGATATTCGCGAAGCTAAAGTAGACAGCGACAACGTCCACGTCGGCGTCCTCCAGTGTGGCAGCGCATTCGACGCGCTCGTCGTCCTGCGTCGCCGTGCACTTGACGAGCTGCTTGCCGAAGAGGCGCTCGCACCACGGCGTCTTGCTCACGCTGGACTCTTTATTGCAGTTTGCCATTTTGGTTTCACGACGACATCATTCACAGCACACAACTAAAATACTAGGTAAATAATTAAGAGTTTTCTTTGTTTGGAAAACAAAGTTTGTTGTGTATACAGTGATGAGGTTACAGGGAGACGCAGAGTGGATGTGTCGTCGCGACGCTCCACACTGGCGTCGACTACATTACACAGAGAGCGATAAACCTGCGTCGCGACGCCGAAAACTCTGCGCAAAGTTACACGCTGCATCAAGAGGGGGAAATATTCGATGGGAATGATTCATCGACAGGAAAAATCAAAAATATAAAAGAAAAAATATTTCTTACCAAAGTTTCAAACACAATTTTCTCTTCTATAGCTGTAAATTAAACTACGATGTGTCTTTGCTATTGCGCACGACTAGAATGACCGGAATGTCGAATGTTTACCGTTTACATTCTCCATCGAGTTCATTTCCTCCGATGTTAAGTAAACATATCGACGTGAGGAGAAGAAAAGCTGATTATTTTTAGTATTTGTTTAAAAAGGTGTGTAGCTATAGTATTTTATAGTATAGTCAGATATTTGCCGAGAACCACTGCGATAGTTGTGGGGCGACAGCGGGTTATAATCAGTGATCATATCCCAGAATCATCATCTTACTATAAAATTTGGTAAGTAATAAACCTACTTATAGCTACCTTAGAATAGTCTTCAGCAATATTATAAACAACATGTATTTGTTTTATAGCTTAGAAGTTATAAAGTGCCATCTGTTTACGTCGCCCTAAAATATTTTCAAGTGTGATTAGTTAGTGTACTACACATACAAACCACATTTTGGATATGTGTAGTTAGTCATCTGTGCGATTTGCCACACTCGAATACTGTGTCTCCAATCCACATCAAAACATTATTTGGTTTAGGTGTGGTGTTGTTTGCAAATCGTGAAAGCGCAATGAGTGCCACCCTCAAGCCGTACCTCTCCGCCGTGCGGCACACGCTGGAGGCGGCGATGTGCGTCAACAACTTCTCGTCGCAGGTCGTCGAGCGGCACAACAAGCCCGAGGTGGAGGTGCGTTCCTCCAAGGAGCTGCTGCTCACGCCGGTCGTCATCAGTCGCAATGATAAAGAGAAGGTTTTCATAGGTAAACTACAATCTACAATACAATATAATACAACTCATACTAATAAAATTCATATAAATTTCTAGAAACTTCAATAAATTCCGTGCGAATTTCAATCGCTGTGAAGCAAGCAGATGAAATCGAAAAGATCCTCTGCAAGAAATTCATGCGCTTCATGATGATGCGCGCCGAGAACTTCATCATCTTGCGGCGCAAGCCAATTGAAGGTTATGATATCAGCTTCCTCATCACCAACTTCCACACCGAACAGATGTACAAACACAAGCTGGTGGATTTTGTCATTCACTTCATGGAGGAGATTGACAAGGAGATCTCCGAGATGAAGCTCGCGGTGAACGCGCGGGCGCGCATCGTTAGTGAGGAGTTCCTAAAACGATTTTGAACATTTTAAAATTTACAAGTTAATCATAAGTAAAGCTGTAAGAAGGAAGGAATGCATTTTATATAGTACATAATAATAAGTATAAGTCTAAGTATAATACGATAATTTAACTCACACTGCCACACCACTAAATAATTTAATTTCACTCTGAAAATATAACATTAATGATGATACAGAAATCGAAAATAAATAGATTTTGTTTTTACTCTATACGAATCTATAGCAATCGCCATCTAGTGGCTGCGTTTGGAGGTTGCTGTGAAAAGGGGTGTAACCAAACCGAATACGTCCGAGGTGATACGAAGTAAGCGCGACCTTAACCTCGCCGTCCGTTGGCGGGTTGGCAAAGGCGTACGACGGGTGGCCGCCAAATCCACCGCAAGATCCCCACAAGACCTGTCAAAACATGCCCGCACAAACGGTAGGGTTGCGCTCATCGCGATAAAACTCGACTAGTCGCGTGTCCTGCCGCAGGACGACGAGCCATGTGCAGTGCGCATTCATAACGCGCGACGCGAGAGCTGGTTCTCTAATTTTTGTTCGCTGCCAGCGCCGCATACAGCACGCGCAAGAGATGAAGCCCAAGGCGCCCAAGGTGCTCTTCGTCGCCGACGAGCAGAAAACGCACATGACGCACGCCAACATGAAGGTATCCCTACAATTATTTTCCATTCATTTGAATATTTATCGCGTGTTTTATTCGTACAAAATCATCCAATATCATGTGATGGGTAAAGTTAAAAAGTAGGCAACCAATCAGGCGGCTGTTTACACAATTAGCAATTAATAAAATTGTTAATCATGTAGACAATATTTATTTTCACAATTGATAAGTGCCACTTGAATTGATGCGTGTGTTCAATTAGCATGATGTAAACCGAGTTTAATGATGAGTAATTGCACGCAAAGTGGTTTCACGACTAGGCAACCCACAATACAAAAATAATCAAAACATTTCATAAAATTCACAAAAAATACATAAATATTCAGTTTAAAAATAAAATTTATACTAAAATATGTTAAATAAACTTATGAAACGTTAAAAGAATTAAAAAAATAAAAAATAAAATTGTCAGGTGTGGGGTTCGAACCCACGCTCCCTTTCGAGAACCAGAGCTTAAATCTGGCGCCTTAGACCGCTCGGCCAACCTGACTTGGTGACCATAAACTCATATTCACTGTAGTTAACCCACATTACTAATAATATGCTACAACTTGATGTGTTTCAGAAACCAAATTTTGAAATATACCTCTATTTCCTCCTATCCACACTGGCATTAAGCGTAGCTTTAAAGTCCGTCTGGGAAATGTCTCCGGACGATAAAATCACCACCGCACACGGTTTACTACTCTTTTTCCTCGGCGGCGTCTACTTCACAGCGTTGTACCGCCTTGCACAACAATGCATCACCGGCACCGACATCGGTGTACGGCTACTAGTCAAGAAGTATCGGTTTACTCAGGAGGATGTATTGGATATTAGCAATAAGTAAGAATTTATGCGAATATTTTGAGTTTTTTGAATTATTTTGTTACTTTTTTGTTTGTAACTTGTCAACGGAATACGTTATTGGTATCATAAGGACGTATTCTTGTAGGAAATTTAACGCTCTACAAAAAAGGTCTTTTATGATTTTTGGATAACTTTGGTAGTTTAAAAGTTATTCGAAAAAATTCGACAAAAAACATGAATTCCAACCTTTGACCTTGAATAACTGTCAAACCAATAGAATTAGCAAAAAATCATAAAAGATCTTTTTTGTAGAGTGTTAAATTACCTACAAGAATATGTTAATATCATTCCCTAAACTTCTTCCGTTCGCGAGTTACAAATAAAAAACTACAAAAAAACATTTCAATTTTAAACCTTTATTGTGGTGGAGGCGCCGGGTTAATAATATAAATCTCTATATAAACCCTATATTAATACCGAATGTGTTTTAGAATTGTCTCATCAATGCAAGCATTGTTCTGCTGCATCACCGGCTACGTGATCTGGGGCCATTCGTGCTGCAAAGACGTCGCACGCGCCAATCATTACGTCTCGCACGCGTACTCGTGGTTTGGCGCCGCGTACTTCTTCTACGATATCTGGTCGATGTACAAAGTGCATGTGAGCACGCCGCCGGGACAATTGAATACCCCCTCGGCGCAGATACACACGCCGGCTGCGGTTCGACAGGGCGATGCGCCGCTCGACTGCGGTCTGTTGCGGTTCTGGCGATATGTTAAGCTCAACCCTATCATCGTTGGGCATCATTTATTTATCGGCATTTTTGGCTTTTCGGTCATTATTGTAAGTATTTTACATGTATTTGATAACGCGTATAATTAGTAGTGTCGCATGTTGTCGCATAGTTTTAATGGGTATTTGCGACAATACTAATGGGAGTTGTCTTGCGATGCACTTACTGTAGTTTTCGTACATGCATATAATTAGTATTGTCGCATGTAGTCATATGATTTCAATAGGTATATGCGACAATTCTAATGAGACTTATGTAGCGTTGCACTTATGGCAATTTTCGTACTTGCATATATTTAGTACTGTCGCATGTGGTCATATAATTTCAATAGGCATATGCGACAATTCTAATGTACTTGTGTCGCGCAAATGTAATTCTAGTCATATTTAGCAACTTGCATATATTTACTACTGTCGTTTGTAGAAATATGATTTCAATGGACATTTGTGACATTACTAATGGTTCATGCGTCACTTTACACTTAACGCACTTTTAAAACATATTTGACAACTTGTATACAATTAGTACTGTCGCTTGAGGCTATATGATTTCAATAGGAATATGCGACAATACTAATAGGACTTTTGTCGCGTTGCACTGACTAGGTTTCTAACTTGCATATAATTAGTACTGTCGCTAGTGGTCATATGATTTCAATAGGCATATGCGACAATACTAATGTACTTGTGAGGCGTCAATATAGTTCTAGCCATATGTATATAGCAACTTGCGTATGATTAGTACTGTCGCTCATGCTCATATGATTTTAATATGCATATGTGACAATACGAATACTATTTCTTTGCTGTAATTTATAATTTGAAATTTCAGTATCTAAAAGGAAATTTAGGCGACTGCGTCTTCGGTTTTGTCTTCCTAATGGAGGCAAGCACACCGTTCGTCTCGCTGCGTGGCGTCCTCTCACGCTTCCACATGAAAAAATCCAAACTGTACATCTACAATGGCTTCGCCATGCTGATCGTGTTCTTCCTGTGTCGCGTCGCGATGTTCCCATACGTCATGTATCTGTATGCATATAGTGAAAAAATATCCTATCTGGATGTAAGTACACTAAACCTAACTTAACCTCATTTTAAACTGATCAATTTTTAGGCAATATATTCTCTTCCACGGGGCTGTAAGATCTCAATTGCGATTCTGATGTTCCCGCAAATCTACTGGTTCTACCTGATGATGAAAGGCGCGACCAAGATCATCATCAACATCTCCACGCCGAAGAAGACACGCAACGATCTAGGTGGCGCGCTCGGCGGCAATTCAATCATGGCCGATTTACCATCCGCAAGCACAACAACGCCAACAAACGCCTGCCACGATTTCATTGGTGATTTACCAACAACGCCCACCACAGCAGCGTCATCCTCCGCCACGTCTACAGGGAACAAAGACGATTAAACTTACGAAATGATTCCAAGTACCAAGTATTTTTACCGTTCGATTTCGATGTGATTTAAGACGGGATTGAATATTTTTAGATGACCTCTAGCAGCACACTATACTACTACCAGAAAAAGCATTGAGTGTCCTTTACGCTTTCGATGTAAACAACAAAAAAAAAAGATAAAGAAGAAAACTGTAAGCAGAGTTGGTCAAAATGTCAAATGTTTAGCATGTAGACGAGGGTATACGACGTTTCCCGAACGAATAATTCAAGTTTCACGCCTAAATAAATAAATTTATTTATTTATGCCTGAATCTTGAATTATTCTTGCTGGTTGAATCGTTGTGCACCCTGTAGACGCAGTTCTAGTGTGACAATCCTCGGGAACAAACGATGAATCAATATGCATTGTGGCCGACTGAAAACGTGGAAACTGAATCAAAACGAGCTTCAAACACACACACACACAATACTGACACACAAATACTTTATCTTTACCGTGTTTGTATTTACGATTTACATCATTTTGTGAACTGCTTTTAATTCAATGCATTTGTATTCAACGTCGCCCAACGAAACGTACATTTCGACAACCAAGACTTCTTGAGACTTTTTACTATACTTTGTATACATGTATACCGAATTATACCGCTGAGATTATTAATGAGGCGCATAGAGTGGCGAAGAGCAGAGAGATTAATGAGATCTATATATACACACAGATTAAATACTTAAGCGTAGGCTAGACACTAGCGCAAAATTGTGAAATGCAAACGCAGCGTAAATCAATTGTACGTACGTGCAGAGGTAAAGATGTTGTACCATTGTTTATTGTAAATTACTGTATATCTATTGTAAATTATCGAAATGTCCGTGATGGATCAATTAAATTGAGTGTTATTTGTTGATCAGAAGTGATATGCCTTTCTTAAACAAACCTCAAATGTGGATTTTATGATAAATTTAAAATAAAATTATTTGAAACACTCGTGTTATATTTTTTAAATCACTGCTACCAACTTAAAATGTCACCAGATTAAATAACCAGATTACTTTCAAAAATACAAAATAAATTAAATTTAATCATTGAAATACTATAAAAACATAATTTACTGTTATATTTAAACCAAAATAAATAATTTCTATTCAATTATTACTATTAAAACTAAATAAAACACTATTTTCTTACTTTTAACGTGTCACTAACATAACCAAAAAGTTACCGTTACTTTTACAAACAGTTTGAAAATAATTTTCGCTTGATTTCAATTCTCTCCTCACATGTTATCACACAAACGTGTAAAAGATAACAATGTTTATACTTATATGCACTATATGAATAAACACAGATTAATAAATCTCATCTTTAAGCCATAAAAATGTACGTTTTGAAAAAGTGACGGAGCGCCAAAATCCAAACCCGCCCTAGGTTATGTCCGCGAGTTGTTTTCAACCGAAAATTTTCACGCATTTTCCGCGATTATCACTAAAACAACACAGTTTAACACCTTCCTACACCAAGAATGTACGTCGAAGATGTCAAAGAAGAGTTCTACCAATTTCTATCAGGCAAAGTAAGTCACCAAACCCACTAAAACACAATTTTACTAAATTTTTAAATAATTTTTCTAGCGAATATCAATTATCGTCCACTATGACATAGACAGCATATGCACTTGTAAAATCCTTCAAACTCTCCTGCAATTCTCCCACACAATCTACACCCTTGAAGTGGTGGCAGGGCTGGAACATGTGAGAGAAGCGTATTTGAATCATGCACCCGACTGTAAATACTTTGTGCTTATCAACTGCTGTGGTACAGTGGACATTGTGGAGTTTCTGGAACCCGAAGAAGATGTTACATTCTTTGTGCTGGATTCGCACAGACCCACGGACTTGTGTAATATTTTTAGTAATGGCCAAGTTAGATTATTGTCCAGTCCAGAGGAGGATGGACAAGTGCCTGAGTTTGCAGATGTTTTCAGGGAGGATGAAGATGATTCAGATGAAGTAAATATAAATTACTGTAGAATAGTTAATAAGATGTTAATATAAACAATTTTAAATTTGTAGGAAGGCAGTGATGATGATGAAAACGAACAAGGAACAAAACGTCGTCGATCTAACGATGACCGAGCACTTCCAGAAGAAAGAATTCTCCGGAGACGTGAACGACGCAAATGGGAAGAGAATCGCAATCGAATTCTTTTCGAATACTCACAGTTTACCTACTATAACAAAGCTGTAAGTATTTTTTACCCTCAAAACAATTTAAAAACTATTTTAAACCTCATCTATAATTTAGAGCGCGTTGTTCATGTACAATCTCGCATGGAAACTCAACCGTGACGACAAAGACCTCCTCTGGCTGGCAATTGTCGCCCTCTCCGAGCAGATGACATTCGCCAAAATCGAAAACACCACCTACGTCCTGGAAGCCGGCAGTTTACAAGCGCACGCAACGCGTTTACAAAACCGATCCAACGACGCCGAAGTGAAAACATCGCTCAAAGTCTACATCGAGCGCGATTTACGTCTGGTTTTATACCGACACTGGACTGTTGAAGCTAGTCTCAAGTATTCGATGCACACCGCTTGTAAATTACGACTGTGGTCGCAGCGCGGCGATAAAAAACTGCAGCAGTTACTCGCTGACATGGGGCTGCCTCTGGTACAAAGCAGACAAACATACAGATCGATGGAATTACAACTGCGGAAGGAATTCCAGGGAAAACTACAGGAATTAGCCGAGAAGTATGAATTGGGTGATGTGTTATTGACGACTTTCGCTCTGCAATATGGCTATGGGCATAAATTCCTAGCAACTGATATTGTGTATGCTATGAATTCAATTCTAGAATGTACTGTAAGTATATAAACCAATTATTATTAATTATTAGCTCTTATATCTTATTTGCTATTCTTTACGTCATAATTTTTGATATTTTAAGAGTTATTCTACCATTTTGAACGAAATTAAGCGCCACCTGGCTTTCAACTTCGTAAATACCCTCCCAATATCAATCTTTTCCACTATTTAAAGAAATATCGACATTTTTTCTAAATAAAAACCATCCTATGTCCTTCACAATACCCTGTTAAACATATGTACAAGATTTCATGCTCATAACTTCAGTAGTTTCCGCGTAAACGCGCAACAAACAAACTTTCGCATTTATAATACTAACAAGCATCAAATTCTACTTGTTTTGTTTCCAGACGAATAAATCCCGAAAGGAATGCTTTAACCTCGCCCTCCAGTGCCTATCACGCAACAAAAACGAGATTCTCTACCAGGGCATCGAGCGCGCCAAGCAAGTGACGCAGATACTGTTCAAAACCGTGCAGAGTGCGCTCGAGATGCGCCAGGTAGTCTCAGCCGGTCCCTTCTTTTACTACATCATCCAGGACGGATGTGTTGACTGGCAGATGTTCAGCCAGCAACACGTGCTGCTGCTGTTGGCGCAGTTTATTCTACGCGCGTATGTCTCGGGGAGTAAAAACAAGAAGGCGAGCGCGATGCCGCTGCTTGTTTCAGCGCCGTGTGATCTGATTAGTGGCGATTGTATGATTGTGGGTATTCCGCCATTATGTGAGAATTCACCTAAGAAGTAAGCTGGTTAAATATACATAGATGTAGATATTCTAATGTTTTGTTTGTAGTTTCTTCGGGAAAGCGTTTGAACAGGCAGCTGACCGCACAGGATGCGAGACTTATTGTGATTACTTCGACACATCATGTAAGATTCTATCTGTGTGCTTAAATATTAATTTTTTAATTAATTTCTTTGTTGTTTTAGATTTTCGATTGCCCACGAAGCATCGTACACGTTTCATCGACGCTTTGACTGCGCTGCTTAGTTAAAAATTCATCACACAAATATTGCCCGATGATTTTTGGATTTTAAAGATACGAAATTTTATCCTGTCTGTGCCTTAAGTCCATATTTCTTATTTATTTAATTAATTATCGTCTAAGAACTCAATTAGTAATAATTTTCTAGAGTACTATGTACTTGTTAACCAATAAGCGCAACTAGTTGATGAATTTCTATGAAATTAAAAGTATTTTAGCGAATATTTCGTGTTTCACTTCGCAATTCTACCAGAAAAATCAAAGCCCCAACACGTTGTAAGTAGTAAATCTAGTTTAATGTATTTTTACAGTATTCTTTCATTGTATTAATTCATTTTAAAGTATAATTAGTATTCCCAATCGCAGTATTTCGTATATTCCTATTATTATCTTGCTCTTGTTGATGCTGCATGACTCCACACACAGGAATAACACCTGTACCCGCCTCTTCTTTAATGATTTATATATCTTATAGTCCCTCGAAATCTATCAATACGCAAAAAACGCAAACGGTGAAAAATGTAAAAGCAAAAAGTTAACACAAACAAAAAGAAACCCGCGCGCGCGCGCCTCACCGCACCGTCGATATTTTTTGGCAAAGATTCGTGTGCTGTGTCTGGCGGCGGCGCGCGTCGTTGAAACTAAGAATCTCCCTCTGCGTCCGCCGGCGTTAGTCGTCCAAGTTCTGCGAGAGCAAAAAGTTGGCCGCCAGGTTCTCGTTCTTCTCGCAGGCGAAGTACGCTTGCACGACGAGATGTTCAGGAAATCCCAGGGCTTTGAGTCGCTCGATGGCGTCTTTATCCTGCGGTGTGACTTGAATCGTCCCGGGGGTTCCACTGGTAGGTGGCGTAGGCAAAGCGCCCAGCGCTCCCAAGCCAGCTAGAGGACTATTGGCGCCTCCACCACCTGGAGTCGTCACCGGAGGTGTCCCCGGCGTGCCCACCGCTGGTTCATTGAGCATCCGCACGAACGAGTCCTGATTCTGCGAGATTAAATGCAGCAGCGCCGGGTTGGTCTGGCCGATCTGCTGGAGAATATGATTAAGAAGCTGCGGATTCTGTTGGATGACGGTGCGCATTTGCTGGAACTGCGGCTGCGTGCGTAGGAAAGCCAAGGGATCATCAGCGTCAGACTGCTGCTCGTCGATCTGCGACATATCAGCGCTCTCATTCACCGCTTCATCGTCCATCGGCGGGATGCCAGTGATGAGATATTCTACGGCGCGATCGGGGTTGTTGAAGCTAGCGCGCAGCGCCTGCTCCACCTGCGCTCGGTCATAGCCCATGTCCATGATATTACGCACCATGCGCTCGTACTCTTCGCCCATGAGCAGCGCGTTGCCAGCGAGGTCTAGATTCGCAATCGGCAGCGGTAGCGAAGGAACAGAAGTGATAGGATTGCCAGTGCTGGGCGGAGCTATTGGAGGCGGGATGGGCACCGCTGGGGGCGGTGTTGGGGCGGGTGTGCTGGCCACGGAAGGCGTCGAACTTGCGGTGTCACCACTGTTCTCTGACTTGGCATCACTGCTCTGTTTGGGCTTGCTTGTCATGACAACAACAAACTTCTTCTCATCAATGCTATAATCCGCCAGTTTATTATCATCGACGAGAATCTTTCCGGCGTATATCAGCCGCTGCAATTCCGCAGGATAATCATCTTTGCCCTTCAGCCGCTCAATCTCCTGCTTGAGATGTTTTACCTGCTTGGAAAAAAATTTGTCAAATCATCGCCGAAATGAGAGGTTATAATGCGATTGGCCGCATTATGATGTGACTGCATGCACTCACGGTCTGTGTGGCCTCCACCTCCACGGTGAACGTGTGCTGCTGGAGGTTCTTGATCGTGATCTTCATCGCGCTTGTTGTGCGTGCACAGCTCGAACTCTGGAACCGAACAACGACGCACACGACCGTCGTGCTCTGACGCTTCGATTTCAACTCACACCGGGCGCGCGCGCTCGCCGTTTGCGTGCGTTTCAACTATTTATAAACGCGCCGGTGTTGTCGCCGCTGGGTATTGTCGCCTCGGCGCCGGTTATCGCCTCTTCGCAGCGCGATGATAATGCAATAATGCGCGGCGCGTATCATCGACGATGCCGTTCGACAGCGGCCGCAGCAGACATCTTGTTTTTTATCAACACACGTCAGCTGTCAAAAACAACCGCATGTGACGCACACCGGGTGTTTTCAAACACCCACCGAAACAAAATAATACAATATCCAACTTAAAATTTACAACAAACAATAAACTACCTCTTCATACTAAAAAATACTCTATATTATCATTAAAAACAAGAAAATCAACATAAAAAACTAATTTTTAAACGTAGAGGTCATTTCAATGTCAAACACAGGTTATGTTTCCTCGAAATGTTTACAAAATAAAAATAATTGAACCTACGCCCGCGTAGATCACCAACAATGTGGAAGAGCACCGTAAAAGTGATCTTCAACAATTACTACCTCATATTCGGCATAATAATCGGCTTGTTTTTCAACTTCAGCTTCATCGAGCTCGACTGCTCCAACAAGTCAACATTCATCCCCGATTTCAACTACTCCGCACTAAGGGCGGTGATAAAAAGCAATGTCACGCGCGGAGCCACGAGTAAATCCGCGCCCGTACGACCCCGTTACTACTCCACCGAGCTGGGCATCCGCGAAAAACTGTTCATCGGTGTGTTCACCTCAGAGGAGAAACTCCAGACACAAACAGTGCATGTGAACCACACACTGCATCACCTGGTGCAGCAGGTGAGGTATTTCATGACTGCTGCACCCTCGCGAAGAAGAAACAACGTAAATTACTCGGGTTTGATTGGTTTCACTGAAGGCAAACCAAGTCACAGGCCATTTCAGGTGATCAAGTACATCTGTGACAACTTCCTGCAAGACTATGACTATTATTTCCTTATGAATGATTTTAACTATCTGGATGTGAGGAAATTGAGGAGTATTGTTGAGGGAATCAGTGTGAGTAGGGAAGTGTATGCTGGGAGTGCAGTTAAAGATGGAACTTATTGTAATATAGGTGAGAAATTGGTAAAAATATGAAAATTCTGATGAAATTAATGAAAAAAACTTAATTTTTAGATGCAGGGATATTATTTAGTAACTCAGTGATGAAAGCAATGAAACAGCACATTGAATGGTGTGTAATGAATGCTGTTACATCAGACAACAGTGAAAATATTGCCAGATGTGTTTACTATGCTACAAAATTGGAATGTCAGGAAAATATTCCAGTAAGATACTTTTTTGATAATAAAATGATGAAATATTCTTTATTTTTATTATTTGTTTTATGTTTTTGTTTATTTAGGGGCTGAATATTGCAAGTTATAAGCTGAGATCATTTGATCTTGAAAAAAAGTTTAAAACCTTGCAGAAGAATGAAGAGTTTAATAATGCTGTTACTGTTTATCCTATCATCAACAAAGAGGATTTCTACCTGCTACATTCTCACTACTCAAAGGTATTTTCTATAATAAATATCTATAAGTTGATAATAATAAAATATTTTGTTTTGTTTTTTTGTTTAAGTTGCATTTACAACGTTTAAAAAGTGAAATTTCTGAACTCTCGCGTGATTTAACGGAACACTGGCCGCCTGGTGAGCGAAAAGGCAGCATCCCCGCGACAAGATTCGACCTCCCCAATAAATTCTACTTTAATCGGACGCATGTCTTCGCCCCGGATGATTTTACAACAATTCGAAGACACAAAAAGACTGAACAACTTGATATTGACGTATGAAATCGTAATTTTTTGAGTTTACTTTAACTTTTACTGCAAATCTTAAATTTTTAGAATATTTTACAAACCATATCAAAAACCACGAACAAAAGCCTGGAATTTCTGGAATTGGTCAATGGCTATCGTACATTTGACATGTCACGCGGATTAGATTACATCTTCGACTTGAAATTCATCGAGAAATCCACGAAGAAAGTCTACAATAAACGCTTTGAAGTGTGTAAACCCATCGGTAACGCGGAATTCATCCCAGCGCCTTACGTAACAGAAAACTCTAAAGTTTCTATTCTACTGGTGATTGAAGAGAACGAAGTGCAAGCAACTCTAGAGTTTCTACAACGGTTTGATGCGAATATTATGGAGAAAAAAGAAAAGGTTCTCTTGATGTTAGTGTTTCTCTACCAGGCGACCACGCCGAGTAAAGGCGATGGTGATGTCTTCGGCGCTGTCAAAGACGCAGCCATACGATACTCAAACAAATACAAAAGCGAAGACACCAAAGTCGCATGGGTCTCCATCAGATTACCACAATTACCAGCTGGACAATACATATCTCGACATGAATACAAAGTGTTAAATTTTGTCGCCATTGATTTGGCGCTGAAGAAAATCGGCGTTGAAAACCTGATACTTTTCATGACACCATTCGGTGATTTACAAGTGGATTTCCTCAATCGTGTGCGAATGAACACGGTAATTAACTTTCAGATATTCTCAGTGATACCATTCAGGTTTTATCACCCGGATTTGGTGGAATATGATCGTGAAAAGCTCGAGATTAACAAGAACAACGGCCATTTTGATCCGGAATGCTATGAGTTCGTCGCATTCTACGGCAGGGATTATGTGACAGCAAGAAAACGGTCGAAACATTTAGTGCCTTTAACGCGAGTGGATAACGATATTGTAAATGTTTTGCAAGATGTTTATAAGGAAAGAGGGAATGTCTTCCGGATGTTTGTTGAATTTGCAAAGGAGCTGCATTGCTTGCGTGCACCGGATATGTCTTTGAAAGTGAAATATCATGAGGAAATGGATGAAAATCGAAACAATTGGTTTCTTGCAACAAAGACACAACTCGCCAAAGTGATACTCTCTAACAGTGATATGTAATAGATTGATTTAAAGACGTATTTTTTAATAATTGACATGACAATAAATTATGTTATGTAGGCAGGGTTGCCTACATTTTAAAAATAATATATTGGTTTTTATCTAACCTTAAAACCTCAATTTTTGGTAGTTTTTATAAAAATTATCATCAAAAATAATGTAAAAATGTGCAATTTACGATTCTTTAAAGTTACTATTGTCTTCAAAACGATTTTTAAAGAAATATTTGATTTAATTAACAGTGAATAACATAGTGATGAAGACAATTGTGTAATCAAAGTTGCCTATATTATGAAAATAAATATATTGCATCTGACTGTAACCTTAAACATAATTCTTGTTATTTCTATGTAAAATCATCATCAAAAACAAGGTAAAAACAAATAAATTCCAACTTTTCCTACTTTATAATACCCTAAAAATAAATTTTAGATAAAACATGGATGTTAACAACGATGAATCTCTTTCTGATGATGATCAACAAGAGTTATTCATCAGTTTCCCCTTCGAGGTGCAAAAAGCAATTGACCAGGTTCTACCCAGTAAAGACCCGCTGGATAAACCCGACTTCAACACAATCGACTACATAAACACACTATTTCCCACCGAACAATCCCTGGCGAATATCGACGACGTGGTAGCTGACATGGAAGGCAAAATCGTCTCAATAGATGAGGACATCTCCACTGTAGTAAGGACACAAACCACAGCAAGTCAAGATGGCAGACAAGCCCTGGAAGAGTCTCAGAAACTAATCAAACAACTATTCGTCCACATGCGAGACGTAAAGGAACGCGCGGAGAAATCCGAAGAGATGGTGCGGGAAATCACGCGAGATATCAAACAATTAGACTGTGCAAAGAGAAACCTTACACTAGCAATCACAACACTGAATCATCTCCACATGCTTGTAGGAGGTGTAGATACATTAAAAACATTAACACAGAAACGCCTCTATGGAGAAATAGCGCTACCCTTGCAAGCAATCAGTGAAGTAATGGCACACTTTGAGAATTACTCAGACATTTCACAGATCAAAAGCCTAAGTGACCAAGTCAACAGCATAAGATTTGAGTTAGCTGAGCAAATCACCAAGGATTTCCACCAGGCATTCACAGCCAGTGCAAAGGTGACTCTACCCAGCAAACAACTCCAACAAGCTTGCCTGGTTGTCTCTGCATTGGATGTCAAAGTGAAGAATGATTTGTTAAAGTGGTTTGTTGATCTACAACTGGTTGAATACAAGCATTTGTTTCAATCTACTGAGGATACAGCTTGGTTGGATAAGATTGACAAGCGCTACGCATGGCTGAAACGCCACCTGTTGGAGTTCGAGGAACGTCTAGGGACGATGTTCCCACAGAATTGGGAAGTGAGCGAGCGTATTGCTGTGCAATTCTGTAATCACACCCGCGAGGAACTTTCGGCGTTGATGCAGAAGAGAAGACATGAGATAGATGTGAAATTATTACTATTCGCTATTCAGAAAACCACGAATTTTGAGAATTTATTAAGTCGGAGGTTTTCCGGTGTTACTGTAGATGTAGACAAAGCAAATGAAACATTTGAGAATTCCGTGTGGAATGGAATCATTGGAGGTTGTTTCGTGGCACATCTGCGTATTTACATTGATTCCGTCGATAGGAATCTGCAGGATTTGATCGAGAGGTTCCAACAGGATGAGAAACTTAACTTTACGACTGAAACAAGCGATACGCAAGCTACGGTGATCCCCAGCTGCGCGGATCTGTTTGTTTTCTACAAGAAATCAATGATACAATGCCACCAGTTGGATAAGTCGCAATCAATGTTAGACCTGACGAAAGTATTTCAAAAATACTTGAGGGAATATGCTTTCAAGTTGTTACAGAATAATATTCCGAAGATAGAGCAGCAACCGCAGTTGAAAGGCAGTGTGCAGTCGTTGACGCGTGATTTGCCACGGATTTCCACGTCGGGTTTGATGCAGAACTTTTCCTCGCTGCTCAAAGAAGGCGAGATTACCCGATTCACCAAAGAGGAGCAGACGAAAGTGTGTTGTATCCTAACAACTGCCGAATATTGTCTGGAAACCACGCAGCAATTAGCTGAGAAACTCAAAGAGAAAATCGATAAGGATTTAGCCGAAAAGATTGACTTTACAAACGAGCAGGGACATTTCCAGAGCGTGATTGCGAATTGTATACAAATCCTAGTCCAGGATTTGGAGAACGCTTGTGAGCCAGCATTGACGACAATGTCAAAGATCCAATGGCAGAATATCGACAGTGTCGGGGACCAGTCACCATATATAACCGCATTGACAACGCACTTCAAGACAACTGTGCCTGTAGTGAGGCATTGCCTAAGTAACTCCCGTAAATATTTCACGCAGTTTTGTATACGTTTCGTGAATTCGTTCATTCCGAAATTCATCCAGACTATCTACAAGTGTAAGCCGATTAATACCGAAGGTGCGGAGCAGTTGTTGCTCGACACGCACATGTTGAAGACTGTGTTGTTGAATCTGCCCTCGATTGCGTCACAGATTAATCGACAAGCGCCTGCGCCGTATACGAAGGTCGTGAATAAGGGTATGAGTAAAGCGGAGATGATTCTCAAGGTGGTTATGACTCCCATTGAGCCGGCCAAGGCATTTGTTGATCAGTTTTTGAAACTGTTGCCCGAGTCACAGCAGAGTGAATTTGTGAAGATTCTGGAGATGAAGAGTGTGAAGCGGCAGGAGCAGGCGAGTTTGATTGAGTTGTGCAAACGCGTAGAGAGTAAAAATTAACTTATCTAGTCTTAGATATAGAATATAAAATAAACATTCCGAGATGATTTTGATGCTGATAAATTTATTTCAAGAGATTATTTTCCATGGCCCAGCCATTTGTATTTGATTGGTAAAGTTAAAAGACAGGAACAGGAATTGGTGGTCTCATAGGCATACCCATGGGACCAAAAGGTCCCATTGGTCCGGGAATAGGTCCAAATGGTCCCATTGGTCCCATTGGCCCGAAAGGTCCAAATGGACGTGGACCCATTGGACCGAATGGCCCCATGGGTCCCATTGGTCCACAGACTCCTCCAGGTAGTATCGGTGGTGGTGGCGGCATTGGCATGCAAGGTCCCATCGGGCCAAATGGTCCCATTGGCCCCATTGGTCCCATTGGTCCCATTGGTCCAGGAATTGGTCCGAAAGGTCCGAAAGGACGTGGACCCATTGGTCCGAAGGGTCCCAAAGGTCCTACTGGCCCAACTGGTACTGGAACTGGCGGTGGAAGTGGTACCGGTATTTGCGTTTTTACCTCATGACTTAAACTGGCGAAAACCAAGACTCCCAAAGCGAGAATTAACTTCATTTTATTTATTTTTGCGTGGTTTAAAGTTAAACTCAAACTCAAACAGAGTGTGGTATTGATGCAACTACCAAGAGGGTTTTTATACGAAAAACCTGTGGGAAAATCGCCGAAAAACAATATGACCATCATAAAAATGTCGTTTTGATGAATTGATTCCTGATCGATGAATATGCAAACCAAGCGTAAATATAAAATAATCAATTTATGGCAATTGCGAGTGATTGATTCCGACTGTGCGGATAAACACGTTGCGCGAAATGTAATCAATGGCAATTCCGACGGTGTGTGTGTGCGCAATATGTTTGCCATTTTGTTACTGTTATCTAATTGGTCAAGTCGAGTCGCTTTGCGCAATATCGCGAACTCTTCGGCAATCGTTCGTTGCCCGGCAGATGAGTTACATTTAAACACAGGTATGCCACTCGCAAACATTCTCGCCGCGCCGTTTATTAATCTCACTGCGCTTTAGAATGCATTCGCAGGCATTTAATTCACGTTTAATTTAATGTCGGCTGCGAATCAAATTGCGATATTGCAATATTTATCGCTAATTACAACGGCGTGCATGTTCGGCCACACGCTCGCGTGCGTTTTATGGCCGAAAAGATGAAAAACTGCTCAATTACCTATCATAATTAATGATCGGATTAAATAACAGATGATATAAAACAAAAATGATTTGGGTTTTAGCTTTTGCAATATAAAAAATATGAAAAAATTGAATTGAATTTCCAATTGAACTAGCTTTTTTTTATAGAGAATTGTCCGCAGATTAAGACCCGACGATTCATTCCTTTCTATCTCTTTTACGAGATATTCGCGATTTACAGAAATAGCCAAAAATTGAAAAATCTCAATTTTGAGCACTTTTAGTTGCATTTTCCGACCTATTACTTTATGAAATTAAATAATTTTAAATTCTTATCTAATAGAGAATTTTTCAGTCTATCATAATTTATAATCCACTGGTTTCTATCTCTTTTAGTTTGGAAGATATTCGTTATCGAAAATCGTCGAAACAAAGTATCAAACCAAAAATTATTTCATCTCTTAAATTTCCAATTTAACTAGCTTATTTTATAGAGAATTGTCCGTAGATTAAGACTATACGATTCGTTCCTTTCTATCTCTTTCAGTTTACGAGATCGCAATTTATAGAAATAGCCAAAAATTGAAAAATCTCAATTTTTAGCACTTTTAGTTGCATTTTCCGACCTATTACTTTATGAAATTAAATAATTTTAAATTCTTATCTAATAGAGAATTTTTCAGTCTATCATAATTTATAATCCACTGGTTTCTATCTCTTTTAGTTTGGAAGATATTCGTTATCGAAAATCGTCGAAACAAAGTATCAAACCAAAAATTATTTCATCTCTTAAATTTCCAATTTAACTAGCTTATTTTATAGAGAATTGTCCGTAGATTAAGACTTTACGATTCGTTCCTTTCTATCTCTTTCAGTTTACGAGATCGCAATTTATAGAAATAGCCAAAAATTGAAAAATCTCAATTTTTAGCACGTTTAGTTGCATTTTCCGACCTATTACTTTATGAAATTAAATAATTTTAAATTCTTATCTAATAGAGAATTTTCCAATCTATCATAATTTATAATCCACTGGTTTCTACCTCTTTTAGTTTGGAAGATATTCGTTATCGAAAATCGTCGAAACAAAGTATCAAACCAAAAATTATTTCATCTCTTAAATTTCCAATTTAACTAGCTTATTTTATAGAGAATTGTCCGTAGATTCAGACTCTGCGATTTGTTCCTTTCTACCACTTGTAGTTTACGAAATATACGCAACCAAAATACCGATAATACAACAAAAGTGTATCAACAATGCGTAATAAAAGTAAAAACCGAAAAAAAGTGTTTCGCATGCGAAACAATTGACTATATGCACGTTTTAACATTTCGTGCACACCATTTGACTAAACTGTGGCTCAAACACATTACTAAACCACCAAAACGAGAAGATAATCTAGGTTGGTTGTATATGTTTCAAGTTATAAGAGACAATCACACCGCGGCGCATCATTCTCCTTTATTAATATTTGATGGTGTGAACATTTTTACACCTTTCTTTTCAACAATTCAACGAGGCATCAAATTTCTCCACGGTTTTTCACAAAGAAAACAAAGCAGCAAGTCTCCTACAGCTACACACATCCAATATGAGTGCATTTAACTACAGAATACACTTGTACGTTTGAGTTGACGCACAAGTCCCGAACACAAAGCTCTTAGTCTTATATTATTTCGTGTCTTATTATTTTGTCTGTACTGAATTCGTAATTGACCGCGTGTCACTCACATCTCTCTCCACGAGCAATTCGTAAGCAATTTGCGTCGTGGATGTAAATTGACCAAAACTGAGCATTGCCATATAAACGTGATCAAACTATTCGCGGCGGCGCGACTTTCGTTTCGATGCGTCGCGCCGTGAATGCCTGAAATGTTTAAAATAAACAAATTAATGACAAGAGCGCCTGACTTATTCTTCGATTCTGCGGGCGCCGCCGCTTAAAGAATGAAAGTAAGTGTAAGTGTAGAAAAGTTTGATGAGCATGTTTCGATTGACTTTCTTTACGCTTTGCATGCGCATTCATCGACCGATGATCATCATCCGAACATCTTCGACAAGTCGACAAGAAAAATCAACATAAAAATAATCAAAAACAAGCGGATGTACCTAGATATCGCATCGACATAAATATTTAAAAATAACTAGCTATTAAAAATCGCGAAATAAAAAATAAAATTTTCGAGAGAAAAAAAAATTGGTGTCACTAATAACATCGAATATTTAACACATACACACACACGACACTCTTACTAAATCCGCCAGTAATGTTCAAGTATAGCACACAATGTGTAGTTTGGTGAATAGGCGAGCTCAAGAACTGCAAGAGTGAAAGTACAACGCTGCGAGCCAACCGTGTGTAATGATAAAACGTCGACGTAAACTCGCAGCGGAAAAAAAGCATCAAATGTAAAGTGAAATGAAACGAAACGAAACGAACGGACATCGATTGACCTATTACCTTTGCGTCTATGACCAGGAAACGCCGGAAACAAGAAGCAATCAATACATAATATATCGGAAGCTGTGTTTTTCGCGTGGATAAAGTCTAGTATCTCACAACAAAATTTCTCATTTTCACATTTGTTGAAAATGACAACAAACAACAAATTTCTCCGCACACATTTTCAATTATCTGTGTATACATAAAATATTTTAGCAGCCGTGATTCGAAGCATTTGCTAAACCAACAATATTGAATTTTAATCCTCTGTGTGACAGTTCACAGCTTTTCTTCTTCGCGCGCCGCAGTGATTGTCTTGCAATTGAATGCGGCGCAATCGAATGATAACACACAATTACTCGGGCGTGGGATTGCTCTGAGGTTTAAGTTAACTTGCACTTAATTAGAGCGCACAATGAATGAAAAGAGTTTACTCAACGATGTATAATTACAATTACAATTTCGTAAACATGCGCGGTTAGTTTTTACAATTGTGCGTAGCAATAATGACTAGTATTTCAGTGCTTGTTCCATTAGTCCCATTAGTTCAATCGTAAATAAATAAATAATTATCGCTTTGGGTTTTCAGTTAGATTTAGCTGTGGTGTGGTGATGTTTGAAGTTTGAAATTTTAGAAAACACTCAGCCGCACAACATATAATTACGAATCGTTTTCGATTCACTACGAGTAGGTACAAGCCGAGATTAAGGATACAGCCGGCGCGTAAAGTTCATCAACATTCACCACTGCATGCATATGCACGTTTTTAATTAAGTTTTAATTCGCTCACCCACATAATATTAAATTGTTTTGTAAAATTTTGAGAATATTAGTAAAATTAATAGAAACATTAAAAATTTACGGTGAAAAATTAAATTTGCTGTTAGTATTTATTTGAAAAAAGATTTTTTTAAAGTTTTGCCATTTTTAACTCATAAGTTGTTATCTATTTTAGTTTAAAAGATAATCGCAAACAAAAATAATCGTAAAAATGAAAATGTCAATTTTTTGCACTTTTAAACACTTTCTGAACTTTTACGCCCAGAATTTTAATTGCTTGCTTATATTATCCTATAAAGAATTTCTCGTAGATTAAGAATTTTCAATCCGTTCCTCTCTATCTCTTTTAGTTTTCAAGAAAATCGCAATTAAATACCGAAAACAACGCCAGTATTGAATATTTTTGCAAATTTTAAAAATATCAACCATTTTAACGGAAGCATTCTAAATCTAACCCATAAAAACCACCAGCTGAATAAAGGAAGTGTTTGTTAGTCTGAATTTGCGAAAGGAACGCAAAACTGGCGAAGCGTTGCAAATGTCAAACGTCAAATGACCATCGAGAGTTTACCCAGCTTTACATACATATAGATCCATACTTTGGATAACTAATAACGAGCGAGTAAAAGGAGTACAAGCAGGCATAGTTCACGGTTCAACTGAGATGCGAAACATATTAGGATAGAATAATATAAAATAAAATAGCTGAATGTGGAAGTTATTGCGCAATTCATCAATTTACCAAACCGAAAAAAATGACAAGAAAGTTTTGTGTCTGGGTAATATTCGCACAAATGGCGTCTTTTTGCTGCTTGCCGATTCTGATAACATATGGGAAGTGTGTGTTTCGTTTGTGAAAAGTAAGAGTAATGCCCGATGGTAAATTACCAGCGGTGAACAACTCTTCTAGTTTCACACAAAGAGACTACATACACACCAACACACCTATTATATACAGTATACAATGTAACAAGATGATTCCTAAGTCTTAACTTGAGTAAGTTGTGCGTTGAATTTTAATTTTTATGCTTATTTCTTTTAATTTAATTTTTGTTTGGTTGTTATCCTTCAAATGCATAGACTTATTGACATTTCAATTTATGGTGCGCATCTTCACACGAAATGCAAAGGAAAATGTGTGTGATGCGCGCTTGATTTGGTGTCGATTGCGACGCGTAATCGCTCACGCACGCGCCGATCGGAAACGCAAATGGAAGTTGCGCCCAAACACGCAGAATGTATTCAAAACCAAATGCAGCGGATGACATTTCTGCTCGTTATAGGCATTGATTTCAGTGCATAAAGTATGAATAAATGGGTATGGCTAGTTTTAGATGAAATTTTAACCAAATTAGACAAGAAAATGAGCAATAAAACATTAATAACTCTCTGGAAATTTGATTTATTACTTTGGATATCATTTTATCTTCTTGTTTAATCTTCAATTGTTAATTTGATATTAATTTAAGTAAATTTCGTGATAATGTCAAAGAAATATTCGCAATTTTGCTAAAAAAATCATATTTCGTGATATTTAAAGAAAATAAACGCATAAAATTCAGTAAAACCTGAATAATTTGTTCATTTTTCAAGTCACAAAGAAGAACTTTATGTTAATTAATAATTTAATTAATTTTTCTCAAAAATTCAATAAAATATTAAATATTTTCCTATTACTTCAAGTTTCAAATCACATTTAAGTCAAAACACTCAACCAATAATAAATTTTATTTATTTTTATTAAAGAAGGAAGCAATAACTTTCATGTGCTTTACCTCCTCGCCTCAAGAATGCAAGCAAGTGTGTGTGATCATACACATTTGCACTTTCACTCAGGTGAATCCCCAATTTGTGCAATTCGCGTAATTATCTTCAAGCGCACATCTTAAACAACAACTACAAGAAGAAAAAATCAAAACCGTTTTCGTAAAGTTCTAGTTCTAGTTCTACTCGCCTCACAACGCAAATCTTCCCGCACAGACAAAACCAAATTCACTACATTGTTAACCAAGTTAACCAAGGAAGAGAATGATGATGAATATGCGGATGTCTCGTGTCCGTGTCGAAGAGTCAAGAGTTGAATCGAAATTAAAATCTCATACTCTCACATACACGCGCTACCGGTGTGCGCGCAACTATCACTTAACGCGTCAGGCACACAATTTTTAATCCGCAACTTGCTTTAAAATAATCGCATTATGTCTTCTCTTCGATTAATGCAACATTTCACTTTGTAAATTTTGAGATTCCTATCGAAATTTTTGTCTCAATTCCGGTACTTAATTCCTACTTCGACTAATGGGTAATAAAGCAATTTAGTAATGTGTATATGATTTGATTATGCCTCGTTTCTCGCGATTTATGATTGCGTCACCTGCGCAAAGAGACTGCAGTTGCATTTCCTCTTTGTTTCCCACAGCGAATGTGTAATCTCTATGTAAGGCAATCAAAGTTACACACGCAATTAATTAATATTTATGCTTTGCACACTTTCCAATCGCAAAAAAAATGCCCCAAAATATTTGCGAAAAAATTTGCCAAATGTGTAACCTGATAAAATCAACACGTAATAAATCAGTCACGCTTGAAATTCGCGTCTTGCCAAAACACATCAAAGAGTAAAAGTTGGACCGTTACTCGACCGAACATGCAAGCATGATGAGTCCTCCAACAACAACAACAACAACAACAGCTGTACGCCTAATAATTCCATGCGCGTCTTCTTCTCTAAGTCTTTCGTATCTCTCACTTGTTGGCAACAATCGAAAGCCAAAAGAGCGCCACTCCAAAAAGCCGCAATTTCTCCCGCTTGAAGAAGAAGAAAAAGAAGAAGCGCATCACTATTCTCTGGCCGGTGGTGGGTGGCGCCCAGGGGGGCTGCGACGCTTATTTAAATCGACCGGCGGATGCGTCGTGCATCATCAGTCCGCCAACCAGCGCCAGCCGAAGAAGCAAAGAAGCGCAGCCGACCACGTTGAGCCGGGTGCAAGCTTTGTGATTTTCGATCGTTGATTAGATATTAGTTCATTTTGCATCGAGCGTAGACAAAGTGTGTCACACGTCGTAATAGGAACCAATTAGAACAAAATGAAGCCACTTATTGTAAGTTGATCAAAACAATTACTATCTTTTAATTAATTTAAAATTAATTAATTATTATATTTAAACATACTGTATATTTTAAACTTTTTCTTTTTGACTTGTCTCATCAACTACTCGCACACAGCATAATAAATCTAATAAGCGATAAAAACAACAACAATTGCCGGGCAAAGATGACGCGCAAGAAGAAATTAGAATGAGATGATATCTCCGCCTGCCTGATGGCGCGCGCGCGTACTTTCTATTTCCCATAGTGGAAGTCACGATAATCGCGCGCGTTTTTTACGGTTTCACACGGCGCACGCTTTGTTCTCCGGCGCGACTATCACTTCTCCGCGGGAAACGTAATTGTCTAATTGTCTAATGATGCAAGCAGTTGCTGGCGCAGTGAACAGCAAGAAGGCGGATGTGTTAACAAGCAATAAAAGTGAATGAATTTAATGCCGTTTGATTTGCAGGTGCTTTGTTGTGCGATAGCACTGGCGTCCGCGCGTCCGGAGGCCGGATACAGCTATAGCCCGCCGTCGAGCTCCTACGGCGCGCCTAGTGGCGGCGGCGGTGGTTTCGGCGGTGGCGGTCATGGAGGCGGCGGCGGCGGTGGACATGGAGGCGGAGGTGGATTCGGAGGAGGTAATTATCAATACTAAATTAAAATTTTCAGGAAAATAATTAAACTTTTAAACAGGCGGTGGATTTGGCGGCGGCGGAGGTTTCGGAGGCGGTGGAGGATTTGGCGGAGGTGGTGGATTTGGAGGCGGAGGCGGATTTGGCGGCGGTGGTGGAGGTGGATTTGGAGGCGGCGGAGGCGGTGGTTTCGGCGGAGGATTCGGCGGTGGTACCACCGTGCAAAAACACATCTACGTCCATGTGCCACCACCAGAGCCCGAAGAGTTCAGACCACAGCGACCGATTCAGGTAGCCGCCCCACAGAAACACTACAAGATCATCTTCATTAAGGCTCCATCGGCGCCAACGCCAACCGCACCAGTCATCCCACTCCAACCGCAAAACGAAGAAAAGACACTCGTCTACGTTCTGGTCAAGAAACCGGAAGAAGCGCCCGAAATCAACATCCCACAACCGGTGCCCACACAACCCAGCAAACCCGAAGTCTACTTCATTCGCTACAAGACCCAGAAGGGAGCCGGTGGTGGCGGCGGATTCGGCGGCGGTGGCGGTGGTGGATTTGGAGGTGGTGGCGGCGGTGGATTCGGAGGAGGCGGCGGCGGTGGATTTGGCGGTGGCGGCGGCGGCGGATTCGGCGGCGGTAAGTTAAAAATTAAACCTTAACTAAACCCGATTTAATTCTTTGATTTTAAAATAGGCATTGGCGGAGGACACGGAGGCGGCGGCGGAGGTGGTGGCCACGGCGGTGGTGGCGGCGACATTTCATCCAGCTACGGCCCACCGGGCAAGTCTGGTCCGTACTAGACTCCATCAGCCAGCGATCGCGATCATCTATCGGCCGGCAACCGGTTTGCACATCGCGCAAGTCGTGCAAATCGCGCGTTGGCCGATCTGCCAATGTGACTTATCTTTACGGGTTCGACGGGCACACACCGGCGCAATTCGTAAATTCGTGTAAATATTTTCGTGTGCAATATGTTTTAATATGTTATAAGCTCTTTTATTGTATTTTATTATTGTATTTTTGCTACAATACGGTGACAATAAATGTATTTTTAGAAAAACACAAAAAACTCCATTTTCCTCTTTAATGAACAACCACAAAGTAAAAAAATCGAGAAAACCTATTTGAAATTCAAATTACGACCCTACCAGAAGAAAAAATTGCGAAAGAAGAAAGAAGGGTTACAGAAAACCGAAACAAAAAGAAGAGGGGAATACCTAGAAGTGTACCTGTTGAAAAACCCTAAAAAAGTAGAAAGAGAAGCCTATGAAGTTCCAAGTTGTCCTTGGTGAAGTTAAAGTTGCCTAACATTAGTAATCAACTACAAATCTACTTAAAAATAAATAATTTTGTGCATAAATATGTCGTTTGTCACCCCACAACCGACAGATTTTTGCACAAATAATCAAAAATCACTTACTACTTAAGACATCCGGAGATTCTAGCAATGCTGGGTGGAATAGCTAATAACCAAGGACATGGCAACAAGTACCACCCTCCGATTAAGAGCCTCACCACGCCTACCTTTAATCCGGCTCCTGGAAACGGGTACCTGGCCAACGTTTACCACAGGAGGAAGCGTTGATTATTAACTCCCCCGGTGTCCAACGCAGGTAGGTTGCTTGAAGCCGATGATCATCGTCCATCTTGGAAGGTTGGCCTTGGAAAACGGACTTACGCGCACTCGGAATTACTTTTCGTTTCTTATATTCACGCGACACGCACTCGGAATAAAAAATTACTAAACTTGCATTTACCTCTTCTTGTTAATAATTAAATTTAATTTTAATAACGTACTTTCCCTAATCTAACACTAACACAGGTCAGTTGCTAATTCGCGATCAAACAAACAAGAAGAGATTGATATTGAACTAACGCGCACATGCGAAGTCTTCCAGAAGTTCTAGAAGTTCAACGTCGTACGAAATGGTTTTTATCGCGCTTAATGCTGAAAAAGTAAGCAAACAGGTGAATACTCTATGAATTGACGTGGTTTGAAGGTCGCTTTGTGTCCGGATGCCATTTTGGATCGGTCCAGAATGGCTAACACAGGTGTTGAAGGTAATTTTGATACAAAAACGAAGGTGGTGTACCTGTGGGCGCAGGTAAACACACCTATAACGCGATTGGTAACTTATATAAACTAGTAGTAGAAGAATAAAAGGGTCTCGCAGGTAGAATTTTATGTTTAGGGGATGTCTAGGCACATCCCCTAGCCGTAAGGGTGAAAAATGTACGACCAATAACAATTCAGGTCCTTTTTGTGAAAAACTTGCTCGATTTATAGCAAAATCTGTAAAAAATAGAAATTTTCTATGTTAAAAATGTAAAAATCACTAATGGCCGCCGTTGCACACTTGCTGCTCATAAGCTGCCGTGTGCGCCGGTTGAGCCGGCTCGCGGCGGCCGCCGTTGCAACGACTCCGCCATTTTGCACGAAAATGAAAAAAATCGAAAATCTTATAAAATCAACCGAAATCTCCCAATCCAAGACGACAGAAATGTACCCCAGCCCTATCCGCGTTAATTAACGCAAAAACCACCCCGCTGAGTTAATTATTTAAACAATTATTCACGATTTTGTTTCTAAGTCTATAACCCCCGTATGAAAATTTTCAGCCCCCAAAAGAAAACGGAAAAGAATGTTACCAGACACCACCGACTGCTCAAGGGGAAGATGATCACTTAGTTATAAGTTTCACAGCATGCAAGAAGTAAACTAATTAATATTAATGCATTTTCAGTAATTGCTGAAAAATCTACGTGTGCACTTTGCAACAATCAGGACGCTTCTAACAATGAACTTGTTGCAACCTGAAGAAACCAAATTTTACTTTTGCGGTTGATACAGTGCTGCCAATTAAATTCCCCTAGATTCAAACGAAGATGTTCGAAAACATCCGAATGACAGCTGCGGCAACTGTCAAAGTAACCTCACTAATTTTAAATTGTACCAGCATGAAATAATAATTAAATTAACAAATTAACGGATTTAGAATAAACAACATATGTTTTTATTAATATAACTGTTTATTAGTTAAAGGTCTATTGTGTGTATAGTGTGCGTTATGATCCAGTACCAAAAATCATCGGTTTTTGTACAAAATTATATTTATTACCATGAAAGTGTTTAAAATTGAATTATTTTGATTAATTCTGAATTGTTTTAGCCCCACCACCACCACCAGCTGCCTCCGGAGCCGGCACTTGGATCTGAACTGGCTTCACATGGATAGAAGAACATATCTTGGGTGTCAAAGCATTTTATTTTGTTGGAGTCAGTATCATCAGGCCTGGCGACTCTCCAGCCGGAACAAAAGCACCCTGGAGTGGTTTTTGTATCATTCAGAGGTGTTGCAGTAATATTTATGGATACTCCTGCAGGTGCTGTGGTTTTATTTGCTGTTGCATGCAGCCAACAGCATGAAAACATCAATAGAAGTATTGCTGCATACAAACGCCTGTAACAATTGTTTAAACAAATTTAGATTAATTATTATTACTTGTGGTGATTAAGTAGTTAATTAGCTTTGTTTTGATGTATAATTTGTTAAAATCTGATGAATAGTTTTTGAGTTATTCGACAAAATGTGTCAGAAAACATGTGACAACAAAAATATTTAAAAATTGATATATTTTTTTGTAATAAAAGCAACAATTATTAACTTTATTACACAAATTATACATCATTAGAAAGGTAATTTAATTGTCTTTAATCTGATATATAATTTATAGCCCTACGCTAAATATTTAATTTGTTATTAACAATTTTATTGACAAAAGTGTAAAAAATGCAAAAAAATTATGTTAAAACGGTTTTGACTTACATTTTGAAGGCGTTTGTTGATATTAACAGCACGAGCAGTACTGCAACTAAATATAACAAATTGTTATCGGCTCAAAATCGTGTTTATGAATATGCAAATGCAGCTAGCACTTAAAGTAAAGTGACAAGTGCCGAAACAAGCCGCAATATCGTCATTGCCAAAAGTTGCGCTGAAATACAGCATTAATTCCATATCAAGGCTGCGGGGCATCGCTCCGAGAACTATTTTTTGCATAAAAGTTTGTGCGTGGCACATAATCACTCAATACATGAATGTAACAACATTGATTATTTGCATAATGTATTGAAAGTGCTTTTATATAAATATTTCATAAGATTATCTTCGTGCTCGTGATAACAATTGCATTACTCTTGATTCAGTTATAGGTAAATATTGAATTTGTTTATAGAATTTACATTTTGAGTGTTTTTGGTTATAATTTGTTGTTTTTCATTGATTTGCGTATTATTTCTGTGTGTACGATGGTATAATGATTAAATATGTGTAATTTGTTGCACTATTAATAAGAATATTCGCTTGGAATAACTGAAATTGTTGTTAATAATTGTTGTAGACATTTTATTTAATTGTAGGGGATTATTGGTTGAAAACTGTATTGCAGCGCCATCTATGTATGAATTGAATTATTTTTACGCGCACTGTATGTCAAATTAACCTGCTTGCATCAGACGCCGCTAGGGTGCTATTGTTTGAATATTTGAATTTGTTTAAACCAAAAACTATGTTTTACGTGTAAATCTCTAAAACAAATACAAAAAACAAGTCTTTGATATGTATGATAACAAATTTACACCATTATTCATCAAATATGTTACAAATATACACAATTTGTACCAAGTTTCACACCAAAATTACAGTTTTTAAATAAAACCCAAATATCTTCTGAGTTTTCTTACTTTTAACCGTTTAAATTTGTGTGGGACCATTACAATCCACATTATTCACATTACAACTCCTCTCTGGTCCATTTTCATCATTATTCTCCGTCTGTATTCTTCTGTTCTCATTCTCAGCGATTAATTTACAAGCTTCATGATAAACCGGCGGTGGTTCATCTTCCGCCGCATTTCTATTCATAACCAACGCATCATAACTCGGCGGCGGCAACCCACACTGCAATGGCTGTCTTCTAGCACTTCTACAACTTTGTATCTCATGCAATCCGGCTTGTAAAACATTATTGTAAGCCGAACGCTGTTCGCGGACACATGCAAGCACTCTATCCATGAGTTGATCATGATAATCATCATTAACCCGTGGTGTCCACGCATGCGCAGCTTCCGCATCGACAGATTGTCTTAAATCCGACGAATTGTGATTGTATTGACGCAGGAAGTTAATATAACCGTTTTCTACGTTCCCTGGTGGATGTACATGCATAACATGTTCGTTGAGGAGATGTTGTTGCTGCAGGCGTGATGCATGACGTCTTGTAGCTTGTTGCTGCGCATGCATAACGCGCATTTTTTGTTTTTTGTAATAATGGAAGCAACCGAGGAGGAAAGCGCCCAGAATTGTGATGATAAACCTTAAAAACAACAAAACAACGTTAAATATTATCTAAAACATTGAATTAAACATGTTTTACGTACCAAGCATACCAAAACTGTGTCAATGTCTTGTATTCATTGACACAACAGCCGGTGTCACAGCAAACCTCACTTTTCAAGCACGAATAAATCCATTTCTTCATTTCGATGATAACAGGCGGGCAGGTTTGCAGCTGCAGAGTGTGAACAACATCAATGATTTCTTCAGTTGTTGCCATTGAATCCTCATCGCTGGAACTAATTAAATGAATGGGATTCAGTGTGTCCATTGTGTTGTTGCGTTCGCTCTTGTTGAGCGATGATAAGTCTTGAAAGAAATGCAATTTTCCATGCAGATTTATTCGGTGGTGAGGATTGTGAAACAGAGAAACAAGCCACTGGCTGTAACTAGAATCTGCTGTGATCATTGTATGCCATTTGTAAAAGATTGTAAGTGAATTTGACGTTGAATTGTCAGAAAAAACAAGGAATTTGCTGTAACAGACACAAATAAACGTTGTTTTAATGTTGTTTATAATAAATTGTTTTATTTTAATGTTTTGTATACCTCTTTAGGAATAAAGTTGTTGTTTTGTAACGGAAAACAGTTTGAAAACATTTTAAATAAATTAGTTTTGTACTTTTACTATAGGCAACTATTTATTCACCATTTTTGTCAGTTTTATACTATGCAACCAATTTGGCACGTGGAAATTCCTGCTGGCTTTGCAGGAGTGATTTTCGAAAGGGCACACAAATGAAATTCTCTGTTTGCAATGGCAGAGAGGGAGAAAAATCGATATTGCGGGCGCCCGTATGCGTTTATGGCCTTTTTCACGCACACGACGCGCGTGTGTCGCTTCGCCGACGAAAACATTCGACATCGTTGAGTAAAACGCGCAAAAACGCAGGATTTTCATTGGAAAATCTTCCCTAAAGTATTAAAAATCACATTGTACGCTTAAAAATTGCATGGATAAAAGCCAACGTTAAAAACTAACTAGGGCGTCGTCGTGCCGGCAAAATAAACATAGCATAATACAAACAAACTAAATAAATATTAACTTATAGATAAATACTGATAAATATTAGTGAATTAACAACAATAAACGTAACATTTATAGTTTACAAAGGTTTTATAAGTGTTTGAGACGTGAGGGAAGAGGAAAATCTAAGGAAAAATGAGTGTCAAGGTCAGTAAATGCCAAAAATTTGTTTTTATAAAAAAAAAAAATTTTAAAACGCATTTTGACTAAGTTATCTTTAATTAATTTAAACAAATTATACATCAAATTAAAGGTAATTTAAATAGCTTTCTATTGATGTATAATTTGTTAATGTATTAATTTTTACTAAAAAATTATCAACATTTTTGTGTAGATTTGCAATGGGAATCATGTTTAATAAAAATGTAACTTAAATTATTGTTTAAACTAATTTACAAAAACATATTCCGATTGTTTATGACATCATTGGAAAGGGAATTTAACCAGCTATCTAAAAATATATCACTTGCTTATTTACTGTTTATATTTTTCGAGTTATTCACGATTTATCAATGTTGGCCCACATTCCGTAAATATTTGCACATGAAAGTGACATTTAATATACACAAACCTCTTGCGGGCAATAAAACCGCGTAAACATTCATTGCGTACTCAAAACTATCAAGCTACTATTAATATTATCATGTTTACCACATCTCTACTCACAATACTAACAATTGAAACGCTTTAAGATGCGTAACACAAACGCATCATTTACATATGAATCAGAATGGAACAAAATGAAAATCCAAGGCGTATATGAACTTGGAACTTGTGCAAATCGCAATTGTGATTGAAATTGTCGCTATTGTGGCCATGTGCGACCGCAATGACGCGCATCGCACGAAAACGCGCCGAACGCGCCGTTTATTTTTAGTTTTCCATCAAATTTATTCACATTCGTTACGAGTGCTGGTTACATCTGTCTGCGTCTGCGACTCAGTGTGCGGATTAAGGTCGATGTAACACAAATAAATTCGCAATTATTCAATTGTCGCACTTGCGTTGAGTATTCGTGCGTTCACGTGCGATTTATTCGCTTACTAAACGCGCACAAAGAGAAAACTGCGTTTAAATCAGTAAAAAACTGTTTAGTTATTAAGTTTTTGAGTGTTTTGGGTTTGTAATTAGTGTTTTGTGTGTTTTGGAGCTGCTTAAAGTGGATTAAAATGAATGTTTTTGACAAAGCTAAAAGTCGAGTGAGTTTTACGCACAAAAATCACAAATTAAACTACTTAATCAAATTATTTCATAAACATATTATAGATCAACAGAAAGAGAATTTAATTATCTTTCTAACAGTGTTTATTTTGTTTAAAAATAATTATTGGTTAAAAAGTTATTGTTAATTTTTATGAAAAACGCGATAAATATGCGCAAAACATGTTAAAATGCTATTTAACTATACTAAACACTTTCATACATGATTATTAGTTATGTTTATGCGTACTTCAATTATTTCTACAAATAGTAATTGTTGTTATGTTTGTTATAATAGAATATTTGTTGCAGATGACGAGATATAAACACGCGGATTTCGCCGACGATGATTCCGTCGGATCCGTCCAATTAACAGAAGGTAAAAGCAATTTACAACGCATAATTTAATTAAAACTTATAAATTAGTTCATTGCACGTTGATTGTTTGTTATTCCATTTAAATATATCAAATATTCGCGGAGATATAAAGTTTTGAAATTGAAAATTATAATTTAACCTCAAAACTTGTAATTGAATATTAATTTTGTTATAACTTTTAAACTAATTAATTTTTTTAAATTAAACAAATTTAATTTTATAGCCAATTAAATTATCTTTCATTTGATGTATAACAAGTTGCATAACATTAATATTTACTAGGTTTAATTTAAGGTTAAAGTTTTTTTCGTTAAAATTTTCGTTTAATTTTTAAATTTCTAAGTTTTTCGTGTTTATTTCAGGAATAAGTTCAAGTGCAACACATATAAGATACCACACAGGTACCAGCATGTGGAAACGTCGTTCCATGCTTGAGAAAGCCCTTCTGTTACTGGTTGGCACGCTTCTATTCGTCGTTATGGTCCTGGCTTTCCTTCTAAGTTCAGCCGATCGCCATTTACGCGATATCCGCTTGAATAACCTCAAAGAAAAGGTACCACAACACAAAATCATCTAATCACCTCCCAATTAATTAATATCCAACATAATTTCCAGCAAAACAAACTCGACAACCAGTCGAATCAAGTCCCAACAACACCAAACCGCGTTGAATCCGATTTGGGTCCGCCATGTTTAAACGCCACCTGCATCCACATCTCCAGCGACATTTTAGCATCCATGGACTCATCAATCAACCCATGCGATGATTTCTATGCGTATGCCTGCAACGGCTGGTTGAAAGCCAATCCAATCCCGGATGGCAAAACCACCTGGTCGACATTCATGAAGCTAGAACAACAGAATCAAATGGTCATCAAGCGTGTCCTCGAGAAACCCATCGAAACACTCAAATCCAAAGCGGAACAAAAGGCAAAACTCTACTATGAATCCTGTCTGGATGTTAATGAGACTGTGGAGGCCTTAGGGTCACAACCAATGCTTGATCTTCTACTGGGACTTGGCGGATGGAATGTCACCACGAAGGATTATGATATCACCGAGTTTGACTTCCAAATGACGCTGCAAGTGATCCAGAACAGATATAATATCGACGGATTGTTTTCTTATGCTGTAGGAGAGGATGACAGGAATTCATCCAGGCATGTCCTGCAGGTTGATCAGTCCGGGTTGACTCTGCCAACAAGAGAGCATTATTTGAATGTGACAGAACACAAGAAGATTCTGGATGCGTATTTGGAGTATATGACTAAAGTTGGGGTGTTGTTGGGCGGTGAGCAGGAGAGTACCAGGAGGCAGATGAAGGCTGTGATTGAATTCGAGACGAAAATGGCGAATATTACCATTCCGAATGAGTTGCGCAGGGATGAGGAACAAATGTATAATTTATACACGATTACTGAGCTGCAGGAAAAAGCTGGATTTGTAAGTTTTGTTAAATTTTGTTTTTTGTGCTTCCACAAAGCTGTGTAAAGCTCCTACAAAGCTCACAACCTAACTTTATCAGCTGATTTAGTATTAATTGTGTGATTTTTGTGTTTTAGATTAACTGGCGTGATTTCTTTGAGAATGCTCTGCACCAAGTGAAGAAAAAGGTCAACAAGAAGGATAACGTTGTGGTTTATGCACCTGATTACCTGAAAAACCTCACAATTTTAGTGAAAACTTATCAACAGACTGTCGAAGGCAATGTGTACGTCTACTCGCAGTTCTAAAATACAATTCTTATGTGAATTTCTTTCTAGAACATTGAACAATTACCTAATATGGCAAATAGTCAAGAATTTCGTCGGTTGCTTGTCGAAACCCTTCCGAGATGCAAACAAAGGCCTCCGGAAGGCGCTGGTGGGTGCAGAAGGTGGTGAAGAACCACAATGGAGATATTGTGTGGCTGACACGAACAATGTGCTGGGTTTTGCTGTGGGCGCCATTTTCGTGCGTGAAGTCTTCCAGGGTGATAGCAAGATACATGCAGAGGCTATGATCAACAATGTGAGGAATGCTTTCAAGAAGAACTTCAAGAATTTGGATTGGATGGATAAAGAGACTCGGGAAGCTGCTGAGGCTAAAGCTGATGCCATTAGTGATATGATTGGTATGATAAACACTGAAAAATGTTGTTTTTTGAGTGTTTTAAGTGATTTTTTTGTTTGTTTAGGATATCCTGACTTCATACAGGATCCCAAACAGCTGGATGAGAGGTACAAGACGTTGGAGATTCGTGGGAATACGTTTTTCCAGAATAATATCAAGTTGATGCAGTATACACTGTTGAAAAACTTGGAGAAAATCAATCAACCTGTCAACAAAACTTCATGGGGTGAGTTTTTGTGCATTTTTACTCATAACTTTCTTTAGAATTAAGCAATTTGTATTATTTTTACACCATTCAATAGATAATTAAATTATCTTTAAAATGATGTATGATTACATGTATAAATATTTACGGGAGTTTGTTTAAACAATGCGTAAAGTTAAAATTAATTTTTTTAACGAAAAAAATATTTTTTTTTAAATTTTGGATTAAAATTAATTAAAACAATGTTTGTTTAGGTATGTCACCGTCTACAGTCAACGCCTACTACACGCCAACCAAGAATCAAATGGTTTTCCCGGCAGGAATCCTGCAGAATCCTTTCTATGACCCGAAATATCCGGCGTCGTTGAACTACGGCGGCATGGGTGTTGTCATGGGGCACGAATTAACGCACGGATTTGATGACCAAGGGCGAGAGTTTGATAAGGAGGGTAATCTGCACCAGTGGTGGAATAACAAGACCATCGAGAGATTTAAAACACGCACAAAGTGTGTCTCCAATCAATACAGTAAGTTTTTATGCGCATTTTTTCTTAGGAATTAAAATTTCATCTCTATGATTCCCGTTTTAACTAGGTTATAGATTGTATCTTATAGAAAATCCGTAGATTAAGAATCTACGATTTGTTTCTTTTTATCTCTTTTAGTTTACGAGATATTCGCAATTGAAAAAAAAAAACGTCAAAATTTGAAGAATTTAAATTTTTCGCACTTTTAGTCGCGTTTTTCGACCTTTTACCCCATGAAATTAAATTATTTTATATTTTCATCTGATAGAGAATTTTCCAATCTTCCATAATCGCTAATTTTATGGTTGCTATCACTTTTAGTTTACGAGATATTTGCTACCGAAGATCATATAATCATTCCAAAACATTTTATTAAAGTTTTAACTTTGGGTTTGTTTTAAACAAATTTAGCAGCATATTCTAGCAATAAATTATATATCATCTTAAAGACAAATTAATTACCTACAATATTATGTATAAATCATAGAAATCAGATGATTTGTTAAAAAATTACAAACAAAAAACCTAACAAAATCAAAATCAAAAAAACCTATAAAAACACATACCTCACTTCAAATCTAAATAAATATCATTTATACACATTTTATAATATCAACTCATACATCATTTTAAAGACAATTTAATTACCTTTAAACTGATATATAACACTTATAAAATTTCACAGAGAAATACCAACTAAACGAGAAATACATCAACGGCAACCAAACCCTCGGCGAGAACATCGCCGACAATGGCGGCCTGAAAGCCGCCTACCACGCATACCTCGAGTACATGAAAGACAAACCCACGCCACAACCACTCCCCGGCCTTCAACTAAGCGACCGGCAACTATTCTTCGTCGCCTTCGCCCAGGTGTGGTGCTCGGCCATCTCGAAGGAGTCAACCGCGCTGCAAATCGAAAAGGATTCACACTCACCTGCGCAGTATCGCGTCATCGGCTCGCTGAGCAATCTGCGCGAGTTCTCCGAAGCATTCCGTTGCGAGCCCGGCAGCCGCATGAATCCGAAGAACAAGTGCGAGCTGTGGTAGAAAGCGGCCGGGGGCAGGACGCATCGCACTCAAGTGGTCGGCGGCGCTGAGATCGTCCTCGACTGAATGCGTATGCTGGCAGGATTGGGGAATAATATCTACACACAACACACAAACACACGCTCAGATCGTGTTATCTTGTACTTAAGCTGATTTTTGCGACGAATTTACTGTGATTACGTTCGCATGCTGATGATGCTGTTTTCTTGCGCTCTGCCCCCATTTACGAATTGCTTACAATTGAATTAGCTGAACAAATGTGTCATATCAAAACCAAAAATTACTAATGAAAGGCAACTAAGATAAGAGCAACACTATCGAGATAAGTTTAGAGAAGTAAATAGTTATTTATAATGTTTATATGTTATCAGTTGTCAGAGTACCAAAAAAAAACAACGTAAATAAGTCGCCGCTTGATTGATACTTTATATTTTTTACTGTGATATAGACCAAAACTAGAGGTGAAGTAATTGTGCTGTCTGAAAGTGGAAATGTGGATTTACCAGCTAAGATAGAGTAGAATGAAATATTTATACGTATGGAATTGATGGTGATGCTGGCTGGCATGGTGGTGTTAAAGTGTTAGAGAAATTAATGTTTTATCTTTTTGTGTCTTTGGATCATGTTTCATGTTTATACACAGATTGTTTTGCGCCATATTTGTAACAAACTATTGTGAAACGAACAAATGAACCATTTGAACAACTGAGAAACCAATAAATAAACTACTAAGAGTAAGAATTTATAGGATTTTGATTGATTTACCTGTGATTTTCTTCTTTTAGTTTAAAATTAAAATAGTTGATGTAGTAATTTACATGGAATTATTTGAATTAAATAGTTAGACGTTGAAGTGTATTAATATCGTGTTGTGATTGGTTCAATGTCATTTGTCATTTTTGAGTAGATCATATTTCTCGGTTTGATACTGTATATCTCATAATCTCCATTAAATTTTACATACGATGTTGAAATATAACATAACTGCGCATGATATATATGATCCATTTCAAATTTCGCGCGGAATCCTGCACGTTAGACGCGTAAGTTTAGTTCGTACTATCGCTATGCAACCCACAATCCACATAATATCAAAAATGAGTTTTATATTCATTTTCTTGTTAAATCACGTAGAAACTTAAAATACAAGTTGTCAAATAATAGTATTTTATCTTTTGTTACAAATAAAGCACACAATCAATAGATTTCTAGATTCCTTATCAATTTATCCAATCAATATCACTCGCTTCGTTAAATCTCGCTAATCAATCAATCAATCAAGCTTTCAATCACATTGCATCCGTCCGATATGAAATACTCAATTGATTTCCAAATAAAATTCTTGCCAATTGCACGCTTAGTGATTTCGGAGGAGGGTTCAAGGCTTTTTCAAGTGTAAATAAAATTAATCGCGCTACAAGTTAAAAATCAGTAGATCTGTGCAAACTATTGCGATAGTTACTGTTTGCTCATGTGTTTGGCTTGAAGTAAAATGAATTTATTAACAATAATTGTGTGCTGTGTGCTTGGTTATGCCGTAGTGGCTTTACCAAGCAAGGAGGGCGGCAAAACTACTTCTCAAAGTGATTTGGAACTGACAATTGTTCATTTTAATGATTTTCATGCAAGGTATGTTCGTTTTTTTACGTAAAAAGTTATTAAAAATGGTGTTACAAGCTTCATAAACTATTATTTTAATAGTTTTAGACAGAACTATAACGTTAGAGTTATTAAATTAATCGTGAGAACGAATTTACTATAAAAAAACCAAGGTAAAGTAATTTTATTTCGATTTACTCTGAATAACTGCACCGCAGCGCCCTCTATGAATAAATCAGTGAGTATAGTTTAATGGCGACCGAAAATGATTTCAACGCGTAAAAATGTTGCAAAATTAGCAAATAATTCAATAAAACAATAAAAAAAGCCATAAAATGACACAGAATATCATAAAAACGATTGTTTTCTATCATTTTACTTCCTTAAACTTAATATACTATGACTTATTCATGTTTTTTTTTGTAGATTTGACGAACAAAACCCGACTTCCGGCGTTTGCAAGCCAGGAAATGTCTGCCACGGAGGAATTGCACGCATGTACGAATCTATAATGAATATAATGGACTCAGACACCAACCCAATCTTACTGAACGCCGGGGACAACTTCCAAGGCACTCTTTGGTATTCTCTCTTCAAGTGGAACGTCACACAATACTTCATGAACATGTTACCAATTAAAGCATACGTAATTCCTTTTAAAATCTACGTAAATTTAATAATTCATAAGTTTTTGTCTTTTTAGACAATCGGAAATCATGAATTTGACGATAAAGTCGACGGTCTCATCCCGTTTCTGAAAGCAATCAAAGCCCCTGCGTTGGTATGCAACCTAAACGACACCCTAGTCCCGGAAATCCAAGGATTATACAAGAAATCATTAGTTTTCGAAGTGGAAGGTAAAAAGATCGCGATTGTCGGCGTGGCGTTGACAAGCACACCGGAAATCTCCAACACTGGCGACTTGGGTTTCTTCGATGAGGTCGCTAGTGTCAACGCGGAAGTTGATCGACTCGTCAGAGAGGAAGACATCTTCACCGCCATTGTACTCTCACACGCTGGGTATTTTATTGATATGAAGATAGCGAAGGAGTCTACTGAGAAGATTTCGTTGATTGTCGGCGGGCATTCGCATACGTTTTTGAATAATGGAACAGGAGAAGATGGCACGAAACCGGAAGGAACTTATCCGACTGTGATTAAGAGGGATCTTGATGGGCAGATGGTGCCGGTTGTTCAGGCAGCTTGTTATACTAGGTATTTAGGAAGGTTGAAATTGGTGATTGGGGCGAATGGTGAGGCGGTATCATGGGATGGACAACCGATTTTCATGGCGCCGAGTTTACCGAAAAGTATTTTTTCAGTTTTACCTTGGTATTGCTGTGGTTTTGATGTTTTGGGGGTTTTTAGATGCAAAGATTGTGGAATTGATGAAACCCTGGCAGGAAGCAGTAGAAGCAGCTGGTAGTAAACTGCTGGGATCTACAGATGTGCACCTGGAGGCTGAAACTTGTCGATTTGAAGAGTGTAACTTCGGTAATTTCCTTACGGACGCCATGGTTTTTGCTGTAAGTTGGGTTGCAGTTAATATAGAAGCAAACGTGTAGAATTACGCGCGAAATTTGAAAGTGATACGTAAATATGTATCATTTACATTGTGTTAGTGGCAATGTATGCAATCAAAATTACATATATGATCCCATCAACTTAGTATTCAACCAATCAGAAGTTGGTATTACAACACGTCAGCCTCTAACTATTAACTTCAAATATTACGTTTAAAAACATAAATAATTGTTAATATTTAAACTTTTTAGTATAAAGAACGCGCCCGTGGTGATTCCTGGGCCTATGCCTCACTCGCCATAATGAATTCCGGTGGAATACGTGCTTCCATCCCCGTAGGAAGTAATTTTAATCAAAAATTTCACAAAATACCAACTTAATTCCCCATATTTTTGTTTCTAGACATCACATACAACGATTTAATCACTAGTCAACCATTCGCAAACACTTTCGACGTTGGCACGTTGCAAGGAACCCATATAAAAGCTTTCCTGGAACAGACCGCCTTGCCAACCCGCTTCCGGGACATTCAAGCCAACGTCCAACTGCTACAACTTTCCGGTTTCAAAGTTGTCTATGATTTATCCCAGCCTGAATACCATCGCGTTGTAGACCTGCAATTACTCTGCGCAGATTGTCCCAAACCTGTCTATGAGCCTTTTGATCCTTTGAAGGATTATAAAATAATTGTACCTTCATTTGTCGTCGCCGGGGGTGACGGCTATAACGTAATCCGCGATAATCTTAAGGATCTTGTGATTGGACCGTTGGATATGGACGTTTTGGCTGAGTATCTGTCAAAAGTGAGTCCTGTCACTACTGGGCTTGAAGGACGTATTAGTTTCGTTGGTAAAACACGTCCAAAACGCGAAGCGCTTTACTAAAAGTCTTAAAAACAATAAATAAATACAAATAAAGATGAATTATGAGTTATTTTGACAGGAAATAACCTCAAAACACATGACATATGCAAAATGGCGTCAATTTCAGTCATTCAAACGCAAAAATCAAGTAAAACACGTGTAAACATGAATTACACGTTATTTTTACAGAAAATAACCTCAAAATATGAGACATATGACATCTGACGTCAATTTCTGTCAATCAAACCCAAAATTCTATTAAAATACATATAAACTTGAATTACGCGTTATTTTGACCGGAAATAACCTCAAAACACATGACATGTGACATATACCGCCCATTTCCGTCTGTCAAACTCGAAATTCAAGTAAAACACCACTAAAACACTTGTAAACATGAATTACGCGATATTTGGACAGAAAATAACCTCAAAACACATGACAAGTGACATCTGACGTCACTTTCCGACAATCAAACGCAAAATTCCATTAAAATACATACAAACACGAATCACGCGTTATTTTGGCAGCAAATAACCTCAAAACACATGACATCTGACATCTACCATCCATTTCCGTCTGTCAAACGCAAAATTCCAGTAAAAATGCATCCGAAAACAATTTCAACTAAAATAAAATGAACTACAAGACAATGGAGTACGACGCCCTTGACCTAATCTCCGGCGACAAGCTGGACGTCACACTGTTACCCGTAATCCTCAATTCTAACCTCAAAATCACACTAAAACCATAATTTCAAGGGCTTTCAAGGATCCCTCCTGATCTCGGTGCTGTGGATAAGCTGCGTCATCTTCATCACCGTCCTCTTCACCTACACCTACTCGACGCTCGAGGAACTCTGGTGGAGTTAATAACACCTGCCCGACACATCTTCACAGAATAATTCATTTCTCAAGGTCAAACACAACAACATTACATTCGTACGGGATGTTACGCTAAATGCATCAAGAGACCCAACCGCAATCAATATTGACGCTGCAATATCGAATCAAATACGAGGCAGTAGAGTGTTTTTTGAATTGTAATAAACTAGCACTCGGAGCGAGCAATCTGATTTGTGACTAGGCTACAGCTACACGCCCACACAGCGAGTGTATATGTGTGGGGCTGGGTGAGCTGTTTATCATATGAACTGCACGCCGATGCCAAATTGGACGCCGGGATTGACGCGATCGTCCTGCTCCGACCGCAGCGGGAAACAATAGTTGACTTCGACGCGCGCCATCTGTCCAAGCCGGACGGCAACACCCACACCGGAAGACACACGCATATTGTTTCGTAATTGATCCACAATTGGTTCATCTGAAATATTTCAATATTTCAATATTAATATAGTGATATTTTGATGTATTTTTATACCTTTGTTTGGGTCAGCGACATTTCCATAGTTAACGAATAAATGTGTGCGAAATAACTCGCCGAAACCCCCTCTGCCGGGCCTGAATGGCAGCGGTGTGTACAAATGCAGCCCGCCGGAGAAGTAACACAGCGAGCCGAGCGCATCTTCGCCGGATTTCGGCCCAATGCCGCGTGATTTGAACCCGCGCAAGGATAACGGCCCACCGAGGTGGAACATATCGCACACGCTGATTTGTTTATCGTCGCTGATTGATTTCATCAGACCGGCGGCCATTGTGGTTTGCAATACCTGCATATGTAAATCTATGTTAGGCAACCAGTTATACACGAAAAATATGCAAAGACTTACAAAATCATCGATTATCGAATAGTTGCTTTGTAGATACAGTTCATTCTTTACAAAACCAACATTACCACCCAAACCGGCTAATTCCGTGGTGAATTGAAAGAGTGAACCGCATGTTGGGAAAATGGCTTCGTCGCGTAGATCCGATGACAAGATGTGACGTAATGCCGATTTTAACGTAGCACCCGACTCTTCACGAATGTCAAACGATGAGTTACGACTAAATACGCCCAAGTCGCGTATACTTGCGTCGTATTGAAAGTTGTGTTTAACCTAAAAACATAAATATTTTCATGTTAGTGTTTGATGTGTTTTAAAATTAAATAAAACTTACAAGTGGAAATGAATTAATGCCGAAATCAAGCACCAGTCCACGCTCGCGCAGTTTAAACCCAGATGTCGGCCATTCGCTGTGCCGCTGATAGACAGATGCCGATAATACAGGATTCCTTCCGCCTATCAACGGCTTAATGAACGCCACGTTGAAATTGTTGGTGCATTTTGATCCGTAACTAAATAATCAATGTTTTTAGATGTTTTAAAGTTAATTTTTCATGTTTTAAACCTGTAATCTGCTTGGACGCGTTCACCGCGCCCCGCCATATTGGGCGCCTTCAAGCCAACCACCAATGAGCCTTCGTTGTTGTTGCCGATCTCGGTGGTAACGCCACCTACAAGCCGGCGCAACTCTTTCACCTGAAACGTAACCTCCAGACCATCCGGCGTCGCCTTGCGCCCTCTGCTGATGTCAATGTGCACTGCAATGTTCCTAAACAGATTCAGCTGATCCAGCTTCATCCTGGCTTTGTGTGTCTTGAAGAGCACATCTTCAAACGTCTCTGCTGTGAAGATATCCTTAACGACCGACTCGACAATGTCGTTTTTTGTGCGCCCCAGGCCTTCCACATGAATCCTATCAACTCTTGCCTGAACATTTAATTACATTTAATTACATTTAATTTAGGTTATTTTGTTGATAAAAATTCAGTTTTATACATACTGGTACAGTTAATGGTAGTTGTTTGGTCTCCTGACACTCCTCATAGTTGATATCTGCCTTGGGCAGGTGACTTGCAGCCTGTCCTTCCTTTTTAACATAAAAATTTTTAGTTTTATAGGAGTCAAAACACTGATTTTGAGGTTAGAATGTTACACAATACTTACTTTTGCATGCACGGTGCCCATTTCACCTTCGCACGCGGTGATAAGTGTTTAAGTACTGATGTTTAATTTACACGTTGCGAATTTAATTGATAGTGATATCTGGAGTGTTCATATGAATAAAAGCGAATTTAATTTGGGCGATGATTTCGTGCCGACGCACGAGACGTCAGGGAGAGATCGAATGGTGCTTGCCTCGGAGCAAAACGTAGAGATGGCGTGGTGTGTGTACGTGATTTGATTCGTACACAATGAATTTTTGTTCAAATGATCCAAAATGTTAATGTTCTGCCGCGAAATGATTATACACCATTCTGGAAATTAGGCAAGATATGTTTAAATGTTGTACGCGATGACAATTTGTAAATTTCGCTGTCAAAATCTTCAGAATGTCAAAATTAGCGTTTTATACAATAAACGATTGCAATTGTCATCAACAAAGTGTTAATAACAATTAAATTAACGCTAAATAACACTCTATATTGTATTCACATGCAATTATCTTATTATTATTAAATTATTGTTGTTTTAGTTTGTGTATTGTGTAAATCACGTGTAAATATTTGACATTGGTGTATTTTGGGTTGCCTACCCATTAGGCGCACCGCGCGTAAATTCAAACGTACTGCTACGCGACTGCCACCAAAAGAAGGCGTGCAGGACATTACGTAATCCATAATACGTGCGTTAAGGTCACACTGCAGGCACGGCGCGCGCGAGTGTGTGTGGAAGGGAGTGCGCACGCACGTCGATGACGAACATGGCGACGTCGGCGCGAGCGCTCCGCAGTGCAAGCGAGCGTCGCCTCCGCTCCTGAATTCCTGCCGTACGCAGAGGAGAACAATACACGCGTAGTGCCCACCCGACCACCACCCGCCCTCCAACCGCAAGAAACCAGTAACCAACACCTCATCTATTCATCGCGCCACGAATTGGGATTAATTAACCGGAGAGAAAAAGGTGCGTTTCGCTCGCCAATTATTAATTCTCCTGCTGGCGTGTGTGTGAGTGTGTGTGCGCGTCGTCGAGTGACACAGTGCGCGCGTGCTGCTCTGCTCCACTTCGCCTCTGACCTTGCCGGAGTTTTTTTATTCACGCGCTCACCTGCACGCAGCAGGAGGATAAAAATTCGATCAATTTATTAATTCGTGGCGGTCCTTGGCCTTGTTTCACCTACAGAGGCATCAAATTGCACGCGTGAATCGCGTGTGTGTGGGAATGCGGCGCGACGCACTTTTCTAAAAATACGAAATAGCTCCCTGCTTGCGGCCTGGTTATTTTTAACCGCCGGCGTTATTCCTGCAGCATCAGCAGCAGTGTGCAGCAGCCGAAAAATAATTTTATTTTGTACTAGTAATGCGACAGTAGTGTGATGTGTACAGTGTGTTGCCTGCTTGTGTGCTTGTAGGTTATGTCCAGTGTGAAGAAGAGATCAGCCGCTCCGTAGCGCGCGGCACCTGGAATAAAATATGCCTGTGTTGTCCCCGCACCGCAGCACGGCGTCCTCGGGTCTGACAGGCACGTATCGCTCGGGGGGCGGCTACGGTACCTCGCTGGAGGGCGGCCGATACGGCTACGGAGGTGGCGCCAGCTACGTCTCGCCGCGCATCACCTCCTACGCCAGCGAGCGCTACTCAACACGCTCCTACGCCGACTCCAGCGGACGCAGCTATTACTCAAGGTAAGCAAAACCACACCAACCCCGCCCACAACATAACCTAAAACATAAATATCAACAACATTGCAGAGCTGGTAGTATAACAGAAGACGGTTATACATCACGTTTCCGCGAGGAATCCACACGTGAGCCAAGCGTCCGTCGTGATACCATCCTCGATTCGCCCGTGAGGCGGAGTCTGAGCACCGCCTGTGACCTCCCACTACCTACGTCACGCTCGTCGAGTCTATCCGTAGCGGATTCCATCGCTGATCTACGCAATAAATACTCCGCCTCCAATTACGTGCCGGCCGTGATACGCAATCGTGACTCATCGGCCACGCGCAGCGCATACAAGGTAAACCAACAACACGCCGAGCCTAACCTCAACTGCAGTGTGACAACTAACACGACTAATCATCCCGCGACGGATGTGGACAATATGCGTGCGCACGCCGACACTAGCGACGATGACGACGACAATGGCAACCGACCTGCGACGGCGACAGTAGGTGGCGTGTCGGTGCTCGAGATGACGAGGAAGTTTGAACGACGCTGCGTCGCCACCACCACCACCACCACCGCCGCCGCCGGTACATCATCGTCCACGAGTGCCACACATACACAAACACGTGTAAACACTGGTGGTGGTACAGTAGGCCGGCGATTGGCCGGGGGCGGTGCGAAACCTGAATCTAACCTCACGCCACCGAAGAAATCCGCATCACCGACAAAAACAAAGAGTGTCACACTCAATGGCCGCCATGATGACCATGAGAAAGCATCGCTATCATCTGCAACAACAACAAACGGCATTAAAACAACTCAGGAAAATGGCGATTGTGTCAAACTAGCGAAAAAATCCAACAAGGTGAGTCATTCTACGCGTCACAAACGTCAGAATATCTCTCACGCATATAAATTCGACGTGTGTGTGTATATCACAAAATGGCGGCTGCGTGACTTGAATCTCGTTGCACGCGCGCGTTTGTTGTCGTTTGCCAAAAACGCATTCTGCTGCATGCTCAGTTGGTAAATAAACGCTGGTCTGTTACGTTGCCGCCCGTAAATTGTCCGCCATCTTGTCGAAGACGCATGACATGTCCGTCCGGCAACAAGAATATCACAATCGTACGCCTGCCTACACATTCGTAAGTCACATAACCTAAAATGTGAAAATATTTAATACTAATATGATTAATTTACCTACGTGTGTGTTATGATGTGTGTTTGGTTTAAATTTACCTACGTTGGTTTGAACTTGTTGCGAGGCGGTGGATGAGAACCTGGCGCGTCGCGACGCTATGCTATTTTTATCACGGTCTCATTCTGATGAGTGTTGTGGCCATTTTGTTGGAGCGCCAGCCACGTGTTTGGCGCGGTGTGTATTTTTGGCTTCATTCGGGTATCGCCCGTGCGGCGATCACCATAGTCATCCGGTGTGTGCGCGCAGAATGGCGGCGTTGATGACGTCATACTACGTCACAACACTGATGGCGTACGTGGTGTATCCGCTGTGGGTGTCGCTGCTGCTCGTGGTGCTGTTTGCGTTCGTGGTCGGGCTGCTTGATGGCCGCAAACTGAAATTCAATCATTGTTATTACACTCATACCACCACCGAGTATAATAATAACTTTATAGTGTGTTTTTTTTTGTTGTTTGAATTAAACTAATCTAACCTCTAAATTTTGTGTTTTGTGTTTTAGGATGTTAACAGTTGTACCTCACCAAGATTGAACCGGTCGCCGATCGCTAGCAACGGCGGCGGCGCGCTTGGCGGCTCCTCATCGGGGCGGAATTCTCTGGAGCGCGATGGTGCGCGTGCAGCCGGCGGCGCTTCGTGCGAGTCTGCCTCGTCGGGGTCGGCGACGCCAATCACCACGGCGGCGTACGATCGCGCCTCGCCCGTCAAGCAGATGGGACTCAACGGATTGAAGAACATAGGCAACACGTGCTTCATGAACTCGGTGGTGCAGTGCCTGAGCAACACGCGCCCTCTGCTGGAATACGTCAAGAAGGACGGCTACACGGCCGATATTAACACCACGCTGTCGTCGATGAAGGGCGCATTGATCAAGGCATTCGCGCAGGTGATGAAGGAGCTGTGGAGCGAGGACTGCACCGATCGTGTGGTGAATACCGTCGCGCTCAAGAGTCAGATTCAGCGCTTTGCGCCGCGGTTCATGGGGTATTCGCAGCAGGACGCGCAGGAGTTCCTGCGGTATCTGCTCGAAGGGTTGCATGAGGATGTGAATCGCGTCACGAGTAAACCGACGCCAATACATACCGAAATTGATGATAAACTAAGGTATAACCTATAAAAATAACCTTTTTAGTTAAACATAACCTAATTTTGTGTGTTTTTTGTTGGTTAGTGATACGGAGAAGGCGACAGAGTCTTGGCAGAGGTATTTACGACGCGATAATTCGAAAATAGTCGATTTGTTTGTGGGGCAGTTCAAGTCGACGCTCAAATGCACGCATTGCGGCCATTGTTCGGTGACCTTTGATCCCTTCTGGGATCTCTCGTTGCCCATACCGCAGAAAACCGGCGCCATTCGCTTGGCGCAGTGTCTGGATGCATTCACACGCGAGGAAACACTTGATGGTGATGAGAAACCAGTAAGTTCTACCAACTTAACCTCAAATTATGTAAATTACACAATTCTAACCTAAAACATTAATTTCAGACGTGCTCCAAGTGTAAAGAACGTCGGAAGTGTACAAAATCGTTTACGATTCATAAATTTCCCAAAATATTGGTTATACGTAAGTGTTTTTGTAGGTTATGTGTGTTTTTGAGGTTAATTTTTTGTTTTTTTCGTAGATTTGAAGCGTTTCTCGCCGACTGAGCGCTTCCGTGGCAAATTATCCGTGACGGTGGACTTTCCTTTCGAGGGCTTAGACATGAGCGGCTACGCTTCGGAGTCGTCTAACCTCCAATGTCGGTATAATCTGTACGCTGTGTCCAATCACAGCGGGACAACCTACAGCGGCCATTACACGGCCTACTGTCGGCATCCATATTCTGGTTCATGGCATGAATATAATGATTCAAGGTAAGTTCAAAGAGAAAACCGGTATTTTTTTGTTTTGAGGTAAACCGGTATACCGGTATTTTAAAAGATTAAATAATAAAAATACCGGTATTTTGTAAAATAGCCATTAAAAATTTTCGGTATACCGAAAACCGTTTTTTTTTTTAGAAAATACCGGTATACCGGTTTTTTAAAATTAATTAATATAAATACCGGTATTTTTAAGATTTGCAATAAAAAAATACCGGTATTTTCAAAATTTGCCGTTAAAAAATACCGGTTATTTTTAAAATTATTGAAAAAAATATCGGTATACCGCTAATACCGGTATTTGAAACATCAACTAATAAAAAATACCGGTATTTTACACCATCCAGTATTTTTTATAAATAAATCACGGTTAATACCGATATTTTTGTTCTGTTAGGTTATGTTTATCCATCTCTAACCTTAAATGAATGTTTTTCTTTAGGGTGTCGTCGATATCGTCGAAAAGTGTGGTGAGCGGTGAAGCCTACGTGCTATTCTACGAACAGGACGGCAAAGTCTCGGCGCATCTATGACGACGCTGCGTGGAGGGGGAAGACACGAGCGGCACGCCCGCGTAACGCCCATTCTAGTCTGTCGCGCTACTATTTATATTATTTATTACCGATTTTCTTTCTTTTATTACCCACCACCACCACCAGTACTACCACCACCAGACACCGCAAGCATTAAGCGACCTGCGACATTTTGTAAACGAAATCGCCGCCATTTTGTCTATTGTGTTTTTATTTGATTGCGCCGCCGCTAGTCAGAGTCGTACTCTCGTTATATTTCTTGTGTCGCTCGCAGAGTTTTATCGTTTGTTGATACGTTTTTCAAAGTTTATTAATTTATTTCATACCTAACTAATCTAGCTATAGTGTTCTCAAGATGGTGGAGAGATGCGAATGAACAAAAGTGCAAATGGAAACCAAGAAGAATAACAAAACAAAACAAAAAAAAAAGCGAAACCTAACAGTTGGCATTTTTACACATTTTACGCACTTTAATATTAGTAAAAGAAACAAATGAAGATATATATATATATATATATAAATATAAATATATAAATAATGTATATTATATTTAAAAACTTAAAAATGAGTTTTAAAACGAAGCAAAATGAAAAATTTGACATTGAACTCATCGTTACTTAGATATTCTCGTAAAAACAAAGGAAATTGAATTATTATTACACATTTGATTGCAAAACCAATAAAAGTATAACATTTGTTGACCTATAAGCCATACACACGATTATTACTCGAGATATTAATCAAAAAACAACGATAAACATCAAAAATGACATCAAAACCACCACTGACATAACATTGGTGTATATTGGGTTGCATACAGTAAAAGCACAATACACGATTATATATGAGTAATATAAGTAAAGGTTATGGTGTATAGATGTCGCCCGCGTTAGCAAAACGTTATATTTTTGTCACCGACATTGTGTGTGCCAATTTTTTCGCGAACTCGCGCACTCATCTTGATTTTTTACACGTTTTATAAACAAAAACCACCGAAACAAAGTTCCAAAAGCACGCAAAAACATTTTCCAAGTGAATAACACCTGGAAAACTCAATAAAATTAATAAAAACAATAAAAAACATAAAATAAACTCAAAAAAGTGTAAATTTCTTGGTTTTTCAATGAAAAAAATTGGTTATTGTGACTTTTTGAGCTAAAAAACTTATCAGTGTGTGCGTGTGAATGTTTGACAGCGTGACAACCATGCGTACAGCGGATTTGTGATAACCAAACGGATTTAAACTGAAAAAAACGTAAGTAACTGAATAAAAATCAGAAATTTCCGTTAATTTCGTTCGTTATTCCCACCGAGTATCGCATAAATCTCATTTTCCACCCGGCTAGCCCTCCATGCCAATTGAATACCCTCTAAATCCATCCACAATTCGGAAAAATTTACCTGTTTCCACCTCGGGTAAAAATCGCACCAGACGCAAAAATGAAAATCGCGCTTTGTGTCCGCCATTTTTACACTCCGCCCCTTTGAACAAACCCCTTGTATAACATGCACCCTGATTTGCACCCTAATATAATTTATACCAACGTCACAGTTGCATCTCGACGGACCAGTTACGTCATAACATAAAAATCTTGGCGCGTTTGAAAAATATGCTCAACCAAATAAGAATGCTTCTTTCTTTATTCTTTTGATGGTTGTTTGGTTGCTTACCTACCCTTATTGTATGATTGTGTGTTGCTGTGTGTGCGTGTGTGTGTGCGAACCGGTCGGGAGTACGCGCTGAGTTTCTCCAGTTGGGGCTCTCCGTGGTGCGGTGGCAATGACCTGCGACACTCGGGTGTGCAACGCGCACGTCCCGCTTCTTCCTTCTTTGCGCTCGCTTGCTCTTGTGATACCAGTGGGTATGTGTGCGCGTCGAGCGGCGTATTGATCAGGGGCGCGCATCTTCCTCTTCCTTTTCCTTTCCAACCCGCCCGCAGTCTAGACGGTGCTCCAGACGCCGTCGGCGCGCAATCAAACATGCCTAAACCTAGGTCTCGTCAAGGACAAAATGTTTCTCACCTCACCTAAAATGCAGAAATTTATTCATTTTCTTCTTTTTTTGATTAATATTTAATAAAATTAATTTTTTTTTCATTTGTGATGTGTGTATACTTTACTTATTGCTTGTTGGTTGGCTTTGTTGGCATTGGCAATATGCATTACACTGACATTGCACATACACATGCACCGCCACCCAACTCACACCATCTCGAGTGCATTTTGTGCAAGCCGCCCGACGTCGCAGCGCCGCAGTTGAGTCGCAGTCGCGTCCGCGTTCGCGTCTACAGGTCCACGTCCGCCACACGACCACACCATCAACCCGCACTGAAATCAAAAATGGCATCCCTCAATCATTCAAACTCATCCAATCTCCACACAATACCTGATCATTCAAGTTGTGTTGATGAGTAGACAACACATTATACACTACGAGTACCTACATCAATCCGTGCGCCGGTTGGTAAAATGTCAGTGTCAAGTTTACTATCAGTGCAACTGCAAATACAATAAAACTACACAATCACTACATATTAATAGTGTTGATTGAGATTAATAATAATAATATCACTGGTTACCTGATGTGTAATATTGCTGTAATTCGATGTGAGTGAATTTGATTGTAATTTGTGTGCTGGTGTAGTGACTGCTTGCATTGTGGATGCAAGATGGCCGCCGAGGGCAGCAGCGGTGCATTTTCCAACCTCGAACTTTCTATTATTCACATTCATGCTCTGCAACTGCACATACACCACAACAGAGTGTGTTATTAATACATCTCTTAATTGATTATCGGCAACCATATATGCAGATCACAACTCTGCATGTGTTTTAATATCTTGTGTGTCATTGATGTCATTTTTTGACAGAACAAAGGAGCAGATGTAAGTCATTGCAACTTCGTCTAGAATTTCAATTCACTCGCGTTACTCCGCCCCTTGTGCGGTGACCCTCCGTGCGACACGCACCCCACGATGCATACAATCACCTAGGGTTGCATAACTTGTCTAAAATTAAAAATTTGCAAAAATTTTTGCGTTTTTATCTGCATCTCAGGGTTGTATTATTGCGGCTATTAATATCTGCGTGTATACACAGTGCGTAGGTCTCGGTCTGGGTCGTTGAACGTTGCAAGTTGTGTGGTGGTGTGTTCGCTCGCTGAAAAGGTGTGACCCTGTGCCCCCCATTCGCTCCGCCCTCCCGCTCGAGGCCTACACCCCTCACATCAGCGTGCAGTGTGTGTGTCTCGCTCTGACTGATACTTCCCCTGCTCAGGCTTACTCTATGTGTGTGTTGGGGTTTCGGTTGGTGTCGGGTGCGATCGGCGTGGAGATGCATTCGAGTGCGGTCGGTCGGCGTCGGTGCATGTGCAACGCGAGCGGTGGACGCAGACGATTGCAAACGATGCACACGGCACAAACCCGGCGTGAAGTGAAGTGAATGTTGGGTGATATTCGCCAATAGACGCAGTTTGATTCAGTTCAAGAAGTTAGTTTTCGCCGAGAGTAACTTTCTTTCATTTAAGTACCTGTTTTAATATAATAGTTTTATAATTGGTTGTATTGATTAATGAGTTTTTTGAGTTTTTTGTTTTGTTTGAAAGTTTTTTTGGTGTGATTTTAATATTTTTGTGTGTTTTGTGTTTGATTGGTTAGTTAAAAGTGTTTTGTGTGTGAGTTTGTTTAAATGATGTTAAAAGTTGGTTTCTGTGGGCTTTCGGGGACAATCTTGGTGCCGGTTAAGATGGCCGACGCACGCACGCCGGCATTACAACGCGTATGACTGCATACAGTGTGCTTAGGCCAACAGAAGAGAGGTAATCCTATAAGATATTAGTTTTTTGTTAATTACTTCGAAATTAATTGCGATATACTTATTATTTTGACTGAATTTTATTATACTATTTATTACCTTTCTAATAATGTCAAAATTGTTGATATTAAAGTTTTAGATTAAAAGTTATACGTAAAATTCATAAGTTTTAGTTTTTAGCTGTAACTTTTTAATTATTTATTTAATTTGAGATATTTTTGTAGGGGTTGATGTAGAATTTAAGAGTAGAGTAGATTGTGAAGAGAAAATGTTTATATTGTCTTTGGTTCTTTAGTTATTAATTAAAAACGGTGTTAATTTCGGTGTGATAATGCTGTATGTTCCGTAAGCGTTTTTCGTAGGTTTTTTGTTGATAATTCAGTAACTAAACAAGATAAACTAATTATTTAAAGAACATTTTGTCGACAGTTTAATTCTGCATCTACCTATGTTAAAATTATTAGGATTTTCGTTAATAGCAACAATTTATTCATAAAAATGAAGATTTTACGTGAATTTTACAAAATAATTTCGTTTTTATGCTGTAAAATATGCAATAATTTATCAATCTTTGTTTTTTCAAGTTCATAAGATACACAATTAACCACTAAATGAATTCTGAAGAAATTATTAATGTGGCAGCAACAGTTTCCGAATAATTAATTAAAAACCGAAAAAAATCACCGCTTAAATTTGTGTTTTTCACAAAAAAAAAATTTTTCACTGTTTTTTCGTAATACTTTAATAACTAATAGTATTATTCATGTTATTTTTGTTTATACTCGTAGAAAATATAATTCCGCATCACATGATAATAATATTTTAATAATCCATTTGATTAATTACTAATTAATTTTAAAAAATTAACATAGTTTTCGGTAAGATGATTTTCCACGCCATGCCGGCGTAAATAATTCGCAACACCATTATGTGTAGCAATCTACACAACACAATCACGATGGATGATAATTCATGAATCATATCACAAGTATTATTCACTCTTATCTCGCAATTTAGTTTCGACGCAGGAATAAAACTTAAATTAAACTTAAACATTTTCGTCGACTGGATGTGTACCTACATTAGGTAATAAAATAAATATTCTTATTTCTTTAAGATGAACTATAAGTAAATCTATTTCTAAAGGAAACCTCGGAAAATTTATTATAGTTTATGAGTTATTAAAAAAAGAAAAACGAAAAAACGATAAATTTTTAAACGTTTTACGCGTTTTTAAGCATAATTTTCGCGGTTTAGCAAAAAACTAAAAAATCTATACCGGGATTTGTTAGTAAATTAACTCAGGGATATATTAGGCATCTAAAAATGTTGTTAAATAAAAAATACTTGTTTTAATAAAGAAATAATTAGGAAAAAACGTAAATGTCTCGTAAAATCGCTTAATTTACGCCTTAATTAATAGAATTAATTAATAATTTTATCTAAAATTTAGTAAATTGAAAGATAATTTAGTGCCAAGTAAGCCAATGAAAGAATTTTGTTAATATTCCTAATAGTTTTTGTTTTATCGCATATTTTATAACAATAATCATCGCATTCATACCATCTTTACTCTTCACATAATTTACACGCTCGGTAATTAATTAATTACTCTCAAACTAAACCACCCACACAAAAAATCAAAACATCCCCAAACGCAGAATTTCATCCTTTATAAAACCACCCATTATCAATCCCCTAACATCACCACCATCAAAATTACACCCAAAAAACCAAAATAAATCAAAATCTCGCATATTTCCACCCAGATAATTCCCATCGTGAATCGCGTGAATACACTTGAAATCTCTTGCATACCACGCATACCTCCACCGCATGTCTTTGTCCGCATGGCCAGTCTCGCGTGATTTCTAAAAGGGCCTTCATCTTCAGCCCTCGCCGCCACCTGAGCCCCTGGGCGCCTGGGCCATTGCCATAACAACTTGCCGCCACCGGTAGTGCTGCTGCTGCTGCTGCTGCTGCTGCTGCTGCACCGGCAGCGGCTGCGTGTCGCCATGCCGACATACATGATGCACCATCAGCGGCGGCCTGTTGCATCATCCGCGAGCAACAATCAACAAACTTCCTCTCCACTTCTTCGATGCTATGCGGTGAGTGCTTTTGTAATCCAATCACACGCATACCTTTCACTCGCAATTAATTAATACTCACTCATCACTACATCAGCATCATGTGAATATTTAATTTAATATTAATATTAATACTTGGCGACAACTCCGTAAATGGTAATGCTAATGGTAATCTTATCAGTTGTATATAACTAACCTAAGATAACACCGTCATCTAAAAATATAAAAATATACATGAATGAAAGGGTTGCGAATTTTTTATTTTATGCGAGTGTAAATGTGTGTGTGAATGTGTATTGTGAGTGCTTTTGATGTGTAGTGTACCGTTAATAATCACGCATCGCACCCGGAGCCCCCCTCCGCGAAGGACACGTGGTATTGGCTGCTGGCGCGCTGGTCTAGCAATGACCTAGCCAACAATCGGCGCACACGGCGTGTGGAAAAAACAAGCGCGCGATCGTCGAGTGTGTTTTTGCACACACACACACGCAATGCGCCCGGCAGCGGCAGGCAGGCAGGCAGCGAGCGCGGTGATGTGGCAACGTTGCGTCTGGCGCGTTCCCGCAATGTGCACACTGTGCATACACAAAGTGCACGAACGCCCTTGACGCCGCAACACACATCACACTATCTGCATCTGCATATCTCACTCTTTCTTACACTGCAAAAATAAAGAAATAAAATTAAAAAAATGTAACTTTAGGTTTAGTATTATATATTAATTCGGTCAGTCAACCATGAACCCTGTGCGGGTTTTTTGCGGGTTTCGTAACGCGTAACCTGTGTGTGTCCCGCGGGGTGCAACGAACCGAATTTGGAGCAAAGATGCACGCCGCTGTGTGCGAATTTCAAGGTTAACCTCTCATCGCCCTGTGCGTGCGTGTGTGCTGTGTTTTTTTCTCTCGCTGCTCTCTCGCACGCCGCTTCGGCTCTCTTGTCGCCATCTTGTATCAGCTGACGATGCACACACTGGCACCGAAATTCGCGCGGCCGCTGAACCCGAAATATTTCGCGTCGTCCTCCATTCCACACCATACCACACAATACCAATACAGATTTATTTCGTATTGTATACTCCAATACTACCCACTTCCCTAGATTTTATATGAACACATATTAATTTTATGTTTGATTTTTTTTATATTAAATTTTAGAAGAAAAAATTTTCCCTGCAGGCGGAACCCGTACATCCGAACTTGTGTGTCATTGACAATCCGTCGCAAGTTCGTCTGTATCGGAACCACCTGCTTGGGAGTAACTCACCATCATGGATGTACTAGGTATAATACTCTTACCACTTGCAGCAGATGGCGTACCGGAAGTTTTCGGCGGTGCCTGGTTGAGGTAGTAGGTTGTATAGTAAGCATTACACCGTTTCTGGGAGTACTGTACATCCTGCTAACTTTCCCGGTCATGCGCGCTAGACAACCAACATTATTGCATTGAATGGGCTTAATTTGCCTGTTCCCTGAGACCCTAATTTGTGATGCTAAGCGTACTCTCACAACTTAGGGGCTCGGATATAGGCGAGTTTGAACTGGTGCAGCGTGTGAACATGAAACAGAAAAATTAAAAAAAAAACATGGCGGTGTGGTGTTGTGTGCGTGCCGCGTGATTGGTCTAGGCTAGACGAGACGCAATGGCTGCTGTGCGTGTGCGTGCACAACAGACAGTGGGGTGAGTGATGCAGGAGAAGGGACGGACAACCCACTGCGTTTTATGTGCCTGCACAAAGAGGCACTACTATGAATGGTATGGTATGGTATGGGGTGGGGTGATGTGTGCAATGTGCATACGATGCAACGCAGAGTGAATATTTTTATTTTTTTCGTTTTTCAGTTATTACTCGAAAACTAATAATGCCAGCGATGGTGATGTTTCACCTTTTGTTCGGGATTTAATTATGTATCAAACAATGCGGAAATTATTTGTATTTCGTGAAAATATCAAGAGTTATGCGTAATTTCAGTAAAAATTGCAACTTTTATGCGCAGTTTCGTGTTTTTGTTCATAACTAATGAAATATAATGAATATACATCCGGAGTATATTCATATGAATGCGTGATTAAATTCTGAGGGTAATATTGAAAGAATTTTCAGTGAATCGCGTTTATTTGTTGAGTTATTAATAAAAAACTGAAAATTTTTGCATGAAATTTAAGAAGTGGGAGCGGTTATTGCGCAGAGTGTGTTCCTAACCTCAAAAACATTGTCTTTGAGTGTTGTGGCACCGGTAATATCGTGTCATGCAGAGATTTTAAATAAACTGTGTTTGTTTATTACTTACCCTTTGTTTCAATTCACAGGTGCAACGAAAATGGAAATCTTGCTGAATTATCCTGGTTTACAAGCTGTGCGTAAACATGACTCTCCTATGCAACAATCTGTGCGGGAATACAAAGGACTTCTCTTTGTTAACGTGAGTTGCAATTTTCAAGAAGTAAAAACCGTTGAAGACTGTCGATTGTCATTATTTCAAGTCTTATAAGTAATTTGAACCTACTACTTTAACATAGGCAACCCACCATACACCAATACATAATCCAAACTAATTTATTGACAAAAAAATTGATTTTATGCTTGTTTCTTGTTTGTTTCAGGATAAATCCTTCAAAATACATCTACACCAATCAAACTCCACGTGGTTAATGCATAATCCCACCGATGATCCGATTATCTACGCATTAAACTCACAAAACTTCAAACATGCTTGGAATTACTTGGATGCTTACAAGAAACAACTGGAACCCATCCACCTTTCTCATCAACCAGTCCCAGTTGATATCTACCGTAGAGTAATACAAGAACACCAAGAATTCGTCAACTTTCACATCTATCTCAAAACCGTTCAACTCGCCAGTGATTTATCACACATTACAATTATCTACGTCGATGGCAAGTTCAGAAATCATCAAATCACAATCACCGTCAACTATAATCAAGGCAAACTGTTTCAAATCGGTTGTTGTAAACTCCCAGTGACATTATCTGCCTCCGATGATTCTCTTATTAATTTATTCGAGGTTTTCGTTGCGCAGGTTGAGAATTTTCAGCAATTCTTTGATGTTATGGATGTGATTGATCAGTTTTTATGGACTGTTGATCCAGAAATGCCTACAAGAGCTGATGTAAGACGGAGGGTTATTCTGGATGTGAATTTATCGGTTGAAATGGTTTTTAATCCAAATCATCCGATGACTTTGCCAGAAATGCGTTTATTTGGTCCTGTTGGGAGGGTACAGCAGATAGAAAGTGTTTTGAATAATAACTTTGAGTCCTGGAGTGAAGATGGTGATGTAATCGACGAGTTAACAAAGATTTTTGGTAAAATTCGCTTGGAATTTGAAATTAATGCGTTTTTTGTGTGAATTTTTCATGTTTTTAGAAGTTGCAGTGTTTCCAGAGCGTGGATCTCTTGATAAAGAGTGTGGGATAGGTGAATGTGGGATTTGTTTGTCCACTCGGGGCCATTCCAGTAAATTACCAGAGGTTTTCTGTCCGAATTCACCGTGTGATCAGTGTTTTCACACTGATTGCTTGTATAAAGTAAGTGTCAGGTTATACTTCCCAATATACACCTAACCATGAATTAGCTGTATCAACATGAAAAATGACAAAATATTTTTACTTTTACTTTGTTTTTACTCGTTTTTAGTTTCTACAACAATCTCTACAGGAATACAGCACTAAAGTACAAGGATCTTGCCCCTATTGCAAGCAACGCATCACTTGTGAAAACCCACAGCAGTAAAACTGTCAAAAGTCAACATGAAACAAAATGGCGTCATACTTAACAATAAATGTGTTTAATTTAAAATGTATGAACAAAAACAGTTGAATTCTGTTGAATTACGTCTTTGATCGATTTTGAAAACTTCTCATTACCGCAAATCAACACCTGAGACCAGTTTTCTTGCTCTAATATTGATTTCAAATCGTTTTCTTCCAATTTTTTCGCATTTACAACCTCCCCATACTTTATTTCATCTAAATCTAACCCCGAGGCGCTTAAAAACAGTTCATACTTGAAATTCCAGTAGTCTAGCAACTTGTAAACTTCATTTCTCAAGTGAATTTGCTCAAAATCCCTGCAGCAGTAAATAAGTTTCATTCGCGTTTCACATTCGTCATTTTCCAACACTTTTTTAATGATTGCAAGCAAAGGAGCTATTCCTGTGCCTTGTGCAATCATTAATATACAGTTTAATGTGTAATCTATTGTATAATCACCATATGGTCCCCTCCAAATTGTTTCATCGCCAATTTTCAGTCTTTTTATGCATTGAGACATGTCACCATCATCATAAAGCTTTATCAGCACAGCAAATTGATTACCCGCGAGGTTTTCCCATGGAATTGGAGTGTAGGCTCTTGTAAAATCACTTTGATCAACATTTGACTGCTTTTTGATCAATAAATGTTGTCCTGGTTCATAAAATACTTGCTTGTCACTGGAAAACTCTGAAATATACTCAAAAATGTAAATATTTGTGCGTAAACTGTCGTTTATGATGTTTATCAGTTTGAATGGAACATATTTAAGCTCTTTTAGACAGTTTTCTTTGGGTGTTGAGCCCTCAAGTTGACTTTTTTTGTATTTTTCAAGTTGTGCAACATAAACGTCGAAAATGCAAGGATTACAGCCGGAATTACAACATTCCGACTCGTCAGGATATTCCGGACACTCCATTCTCTAAAATATGCTTTTGTTATAAACATTTGCTTTGTTAGTTTAAAAGTTTTTAATAAAAGAAGTTTTTATAACCTTAAAATTTTAGTTTTGCGTACAAGTTTGGTAAAACACCTTGAACAATAAGTAAAACTAGGTAAAATGATTGTGTTTTATGGGACATTTAATATCTATGGTTTTAATTAGTGTATAGCATGCAATTTCATTGATTATTCATTAAATTCTATCGTGTTTGGATGTTGTTTACTTGACCTTAATAATCTTAGTAACTTTTGTAAAATTTAGTGACATTTTAATGTATATTTGGTGAAATGGGAATGGCTACACTGTATTTGTATCGTTGGGTATTTTTGTTGTCATTGGCAGCACTGCGCATAAGTCACCAGGTGTCACTCACGCTAGTTTGTTTTCTCTTTCGTGTTTCACTTGTGAACATGGCGGTCGGCAAAAATAAGGGATTGTCCAAAGGAGGCAAGAAAGGAGTCAAGAAGAAGATGTAAGTACAAAATATTAATCAAATTAAACGTGCAGTTCATCCTTAGATTTAATATCGAAGTGTTTTACACGAAATTTCCACGGATGTTTAAAATATCTTTGGATTAAGTCCTTAAACTCCTTAAAGGTTATGAGTTCTGTGTGCATTTAGAGTGTAACACATGATTAGTATATGGCTATGTTTTCAAACATTTTTTAAGTTAGTAGTAAATCATAGTATAATTTAATTGTGTGTTGTTTTCTTTTGTAGTGTCGACCCATTCACAAGAAAAGATTGGTATGATGTGAAAGCACCCAGCATGTTCTTGACCCGCCAGGTGGGCAAGACGCTGGTGAACCGCACGCAGGGCACGAAGATCGCCTCCGAGGGGCTGAAGTTCCGCGTGTTTGAGGTGTCTCTCGCCGATTTGCAGAGCGACAATGATGCGGAGCGCTCCTTCAAGAAGTTCCGTCTCATTGCTGAGGAAGTCCAAGGTAAAACTTCATATTTAAACTCTTTTTTATTCTTTATCACAAAAATAAAATGATGAGACACTCAGCTCGCTTCGATACAAACATGAAGATAACTTTGTTCCCTAAATTGACGCATTATTCTATCTCTGAAGTTCATTTCCACTTCAAAAATATATAATTTTCATTGAAAATGTTAATAATTTTTGTTTTTTTAAGGTAAACAAATCTTGACCAACTTCCACGGCATGGAATTGACCACCGACAAGCTCCGTTCGATGGTGAAGAAGTGGCAGACTCTCATTGAGGCCTCCGCTGATGTAAAGACCAGCGACGGTTACTTGTTGCGTGTGTTCTGCATTGGTTTCACCAACAAGGACCAAGTTTCGCAGAGGAAAACTTGCTACGCTCAACACACTCAGGTAAAATACACTTCTATATCTTCAAAATTATTAAGAAATGTGATTAATATGATGAGACACTCAGCTCGCTTCGATACAAACATGAAGATAACTCTTGTTCCCTAAAAGACGCATTATTCTATCTCTGAAAGCTCAAATTCAATCAAAAATTGAATGATTTGTTTGTATATGTTAGTAATTTTTGTTTTAATTGATTGCAGGTGCGTTACATCCGCAAGAAGATGGTGGAAATCATCAACCGCGACATTGTCGGCAGCGATTTGAAGGAGGTCGTCAACAAGTTGATTCCTGACTCAATCGCTAAGGACATTGAGAAGGCGTGCCAGGGCATCTACCCACTTCATGATGTGTACATTCGCAAGGTATGCATTTTTATCACTTTATATTTAAATTTTCATTATTAATTTTCGAAGAAATGTTTAAAATGATGAGACACTCAGCTCGCTTCGATACATATATGAAGATAACTTTGTTCCCTAATAGACGCAAAATATTTCACTCTCTGATTAAACATTTGTAGGAAAATTATTAGTTTAATTATGTTTTTATGTGAATTTTGGGTGTTTTAACGTTTTTGTTTGTGTTTTTAAGGTGAAAGTATTGAAGAAGCCACGTCTGGACATCTCCAAGCTGCTCGAGTTGCACGCGGACGGCGGCAAGGGCTCCACCGAAGTAGGTGAAGGTGGTGTCAAGGTGGATCGTCCCGAGGGCTACGAGCCACCCGTACAAGAGACCGTTTAAGTTAATAACTAAAAATAAAATGTTTATACAAACAGCTTATGCGAACGGCACGTTTTACATCATCCCATCGTAGTTTTATATTTAAAATCATCAAGGAGAGTAATTTTTACTTGTAAGACGGAAAACTTCGCGCAAACAATCGAAAAATTAATAATTTTGTTGATAAATTAGGCGGGTATGTTCTAAAATGACAGTTTTGTGCATTATAAGCGGTTTTTTGAGTATGGGCACTTGAAAAATAGGAAAATTAGCACAAAACATCAAAAATTCAACAATTTCGTTTGTTTTAATCAATTATTAGTCGATAAATTGAGCGGTTTTTTGCACAGATTATGATTTTTGAAGATTGGCACTTGCAAAACTTAGAAGTTTGCATAAAATTAGCAATTTTGTTTGTTTATATCGGTTATTTGTTGCTGAATCAGTAGATTTTTTCATAATAGGGAATATTTTTGCATTAAAACCGTTTTTTGGAGGTTAGAACTTCAAAAAGTTGAATAGTAAGCGCAAATAATCAAAAAATTAATAATTTTATTTGTTTAAAACAAAAATTAGTTGGTAAATCAGGCGGTTTGTTACCCAAACGGACATTTCTTGCAATAACCGCAGATATTTGAAGCAAACAACCGCAAAATTTCAAAAAATCAAAAAATTTATTCATGTAACTCATAATTTAAACCCAGAGTGTATAGCAACGACACCTAGCGTCAAATTCTCATAACTAACTTGTCTGAAGCCAGCCTCTTCGATCATGCCCTTAAAAACCTCCTGATCGGGAAACTGCCGGATACTCTCCACCAAATACTGGTACGGCTGCCACTGCCCAGCCAAGATCTGCCCCAGCGCCGGGATAACTTGAAAACTATACTGATCATACACCCTGCACACAAAAACACTTAATATTAATATGTTTATATATAAAATTATATTTAATTGATTTACCATTGCGCCGCTGAGTTTTCCAATTGCGAAAACTCCAAGCACATAAACCGCCCGCCCGGTTTCAACACTCTGTACGCCTCCTGCAGCGCCTTGTCAATATGAGTCACGTTACGAATACCGAACGCAATCGTATACGCATTGAACGAGTTATCTTTAAAGGGTAACTTCTCTGCATTGCCTTCGATCCATGAAATTGTATTAGGATCATGCTTGGCGCGTTTACATCTTATTTCGCCGACGTCCAGCATGTGTTTGTTGATATCACACACTGTGACGTGACAAGATGAAGTATAGGGTGTGTTTTTGACGTAATTTAAGAACCTAAACGCGATATCACCTACAAAAACATCATTAATTTTTGTATATTTATAGTTTTTATTGTATAAGTTGATGGATTGCATGTACCTGTACCACCTGCAACATCTAGTAGCTTAGTATCCTTTGTAGGACTAAGTCTATGCATGAAAATGTCCTTCCACACTCTGTGAATGCCTATAGACATGGCATCATTCATCAAATCATAGCTATTAGCGACGTTTTCAAAGACTTCGTGTACTATAAACAGAAATTTGATGAGTTTATTAGTTTAATTGTTAGTTTTAGTTTATTATTAGGTGTTTAAAACGTACCTTTTGCTTCTTTTTCATGTTCATCCACTGTTTTGAAGCCAAAATGTGTACTTTTCTTGGTTTCTTCATTTTGTAGCGGTGTTTGTGATGTTTTGGGTTGTTTTAATGGTGTAGGACCACCGCTGCATGTTCTTACAACATTATAATTGCTTAATTTTAGTTTATTTGCGAAAGAATTGAGTTGTTTTAACATTTTTCAAAATGAAACCAGCAGGAAATTTTGATGTGACTAGATAAGGTTATGTTGGCAACTACACAGTGGTCACAAACAGACTAAAAACTATAAAACAACTCATTATAACATTATAATAACATAATATTATATGTAAAACTATAAATTATATCATTATTAATGTTAAAATTTTATTACTACTGGTAAAATTATGTTATTATTATTAATTTACATCTAAAACGTTTATAATACCCTGTATGTAAATGTATGTTGGCAGCGTGAAATTCCCCTAGATTGACAAGAGTGCATCTCTTTTGTCACCAGGTGGTTTTCAGTCTGGTCCCGAGCGCCTGCCATTTTGTTATTCCCAAGGTCGTTCCTGTATTCATTCGCAGTGTGTGCAGTGCGTGCCGTGCGACTTCAACCCCGCTGGCTCCATCACAACGTCTAATTGGACCGCGCGTTTGCAGCTAAGCGCAATCAATCCGGGCGTGTGGCACACGTCCAGCACCAAAGGGGATTATACGATTGCGTCGCGGTTCTCTCCGTGCCCGTCGACGTGTTTGCAAGGCGGGCGAAGATGTGCGACGCATCGATCCGCGATCGCCCCTAGTCGCAGTGCTCGCTTTTTCGGCAATTGCGGTGACAAGACGAAAGGTAAGCATTGCACACCTAAGAATTCTCGGTGTTGAAAAACGGTGAGATTTATGTGTGGCATGGAATACGTGAAGAGGCGGCCGTCGTCATGGCGCGCGCGCCGTGCGAACAGATGGTTACAACATCGTGTTTCGCCATCCGTGTCACCGCACGTAAATATGTCGAAATTCACCGGGATAATTGCGAATAAAACCACGGTTGTTGTTAAATTACCACCCGTGTAAGCTATGATGAAGTGTTTTTCGTCTTGTGCGTGATCCTGTTGTGTGATTGGCTGTCGCCTTGTTGATGTAATGGCGTTGTAACACATCGATTGTCATTCGTTCGGCATTTGTTTATTTGTTTATCGTGCGTGCGGCGATTGTTTAGCGCCATATTGGTGTTGTGTGTGCGCGACGCACGCCCGTTTGTTTTGATCGTTGGCTGCGGCGGCGGCGGCGGCGGCGGCAATGGGTCGACGCGATCGTCGATAACTCCGACGCTCAAGGTCGTTCGCGCGCAGCAGCCAAATTCGGCGCCTCATTATCGTCTCGCGCCTTTGTGATAGCTCGGTATTTATAAATTTATATTTTCGAATGATGAGCGTGCATTATTTCGCCGATCAGCTGACGACGGCCATGACGTCACGTGAAACCCCTCCAAACACGACTTATCTTTTTATATTTTTATTTATATTTACACACCGTATGTTTTGTGTTGTTTTAGGTTACTAATTATCAAAAAATGGATAATTCCGATCAACCTAGTTCGATAATGCACGTCAACCAGCTGCAGATGTATCCGCTGCCCACAGGGGTCGCGGATGATGCTCAACCACCGCCGCCATTTGCATTGCTGCCCGGCGAAGGTGTCATTCACTCCGGGCATTCGGTGTACGGCGGGCTGGCGCTGACCAACTACCGTCTATTTCTACAACTGTGCGACACACAGCATCATATTCCCATCGGGCTACTGGAGGCGGTCGAGCAACGTGATCTATTCTTCCTGCACGTGGGATGCAAGGACGCACGTACGTATCGGCTCACGTTTGACAACAACGAGACCTGTACGGAATGGTTCGGCCGCCTGACGAAAGCGGCGGCGCCACCGGCGCATCTCGAGGAACTCTTCGCGTTCTATTACTTCGTGTGGAGTAAACAGGAGCGTCCGCAGGGTGAGATACAATTGCGTGTTGAGGCGCAACGTGCGACCGCGTATGATGAGCGCACGTTTCAAGCCGAAGTGGATCGGCTTAAGTTTAATCTGCATGGTACGTGGCGCATCAGCGGCGCGAATCGCAACTATAAATTGTGCGCTAGCTATCCGCCGCAGTTGTTAGTCCCGGCGTACATTTCCGATGAAGTATTGGAAACGGTGGCGAAGTTTCGAAGCTCCCGGCGTATACCTGCTGTGGTCTGGCGGCATGTGGGTAATGGCGCGGTGATTGCCCGGTGTAGTCAGCCGGAAGTCGGGTGGTTGGGATGGCGGTCGTCGGAGGATGAGGATTTGATCAAGGCGATTTCCGAGGCGTGCACGCAGGATAGAGGGCCGCATGCGTTGTATGTTTCGCATTCGCCGCCGTCGGTTTCGTCGAATAACGATGAGTCGACGCATATTAAGAGCACGGAGTGTGCGGATGATGTCGAAAAGAAGGTTAGTGGGTTGCATACGTTATATGTTATATAAGGTGTAAAATGACAGGCGGCCATTTTTTTTTTTTTTTTCATTACAGAAAGTTTTAATCATGGACGCGCGGTCTTATACGACTGCTGTGGCGAATCGAGCGCGTGGTGGTGGATGTGAATGTCCGGAATATTACCCACGCTGTGAGATACAGTTCATGAACCTGGCGAATATCCATTCCATCCGGAAGAGTTTCCATGCGCTTAGACAACTCTGCACGTCGTCTGCCGATCAACCCAAGTGAGTTATTATTCATGTTGTTAATTCATGATATTTTAGGTTAGATTTATGATTATTTTGTGATTTTTAGCTGGTTTGGTTTGCTGGAAGGCACACGTTGGTTGCAACACATGTCCGGGTTGATGAAGTCCGCCGTGGTGTTGGTGACGGCGATCGAACGCGACGCCCGCCCGGTATTGGTCCATTGCTCGGATGGCTGGGACCGCACGCCGCAAATTGTCGCGCTGGCCGAACTGCTACTTGATCCCTACTATCGTACAGTCGATGTAAGCAAAAATAATTGTGTTTTTCGACTGTTTTTTTTTGTAATATTTTTATTATATTTTAGGGTTTTCGTATACTGATTGAACGCGAATGGCTCGCGTTCGGACACAAGTTCGCTGATCGCTGCGGGCATACCACCGGCAGCGAGGACCCAAACGAACGCTGTCCGGTCTTCCTGCAGTGGCTGGACTGCGTACACCAGCTGCTCACGCAGTTTCCGTGCGCGTTCGAGTTTTCACACACGTACCTGGTAAGTTTTCATATATTTTCTAACCTTAAAATGTTATAATTGATTGTTTTTAGGTTAAATTAGCCCAACACACATACTCCAACCTCTACGGTACATTTTTATGCAACACAAAGCAGGAGCGCGAGAGTTTCTACGAGACCACGTTCTCGGTATGGCAGTTCCTAGAGCGTCCGACGTTCCGCAACCATTTGTACACCACTCCCGCACCGGGGGCGCGCGTACTCTGGCCGCAGTGCAATGTGAGAGACCTGCGGCACTGGACGGAGATCTACCTCGGCTCGCTGGAGACGCAAGCGGGCGGCTCGAACACCGCTGAAGTCCCAACTGCGAACGGCGGTGTCGCCTCCGGTACCTCATCGTGCCCGTCATCCATGGGGGGCGCAAGCGCGACGGACGCCAGCAACAGCGCGCAACAGCAACACATGACGAAGACGCGCTCCTATGGCGATCTACCACATGCTTCTGACCCGCCCGGCACACACGTGCGCCGGTGTAGCGATCCGAATATTATTGTTGATTCCATAAAAATTGCCAGTTTGAGTTTGAATGGTACGCAGGAGGTGGGCGGCGTGTCTGACGGCATGATGCGTTCGGCCACGCCTACAAACTTCGACGACAGCGATTGTAAGAGCGACTGCATTTACAAGAACGACGTGAATGGCGGTAGTAAGGACTTTGAGGATGACGATGTGGACGATGCGACGACGACTGCAGCCGCAGTAACTGCAGTGTCAGTCGCTGGTAATGTGATATTGAACGCGAAGACTGACGAAGACTGCGAATGCGACGCGCCGACGCTGTGCGCCCGGTGTGCCTCCCGGCCGGATATGCTCTTCAGCGTGAATCTATCCACGCCTGAGGATGCGCTCACCCCCGACACGACGGACTCGCCACGTGGGGTACAGCTCAACGGTTTGGTAGGGGTAGGAGACGATTCGGATACGGAGGAGTGCACGCGCTCCGATAGTCGCTCGGAGAACGTGACGGTTTTTACGAATTTAATCTCCACGCGGCTTGTGGATGACAAGTCGGTGGAGACGAGCACCGAAACACTTGTTTCGGAGAATGTCTGTAGCTCGTCGTCGAAGGAATTCAACGGCTTTGAGAAGCTAACGCCTGTGCAGAACGAACCAGCGCCGCGGATTCATACGAGTTTCAAGGAGAAGGAACGCGAGAAGCATAAAAACAATGGCGGCGACCAGCAGCAGCAGGATGTTTGTCGTGCGTGTGCGCAGAAGTGGGTGGCAGCCAATGGGCATGCGCATCTTAGACATAGTCATACACCCGGCGGTGGGAATGAGGAAGTATCAGCGGCGAGTGGACGCGGCTCGAATTACTCGACGCCGCCGCAGTATTCGCGCACGCCGAGCGCCAATGGATGGGACAGTACGTTTCTTTATTGTAATAATAGCCCGCCGAAGCATCAGTGCGCAGCGCCACTCGATGACGACGGGCTGGTTCCTCTCAAGTCTGATGTGCAGGAAAGACTTTGGCATATTATCGATGAACATAGAGTAAGTAACACGTAAAAATAACATAATAAATGATTAAATTTTTATTTATTTTTTGTTTTTAGAGAAAAGTTGAAGCTCTGCAGAGAGAATTACACACCTATCGGAAAGCGCTGATCAAACAGGTGTGCCACAAGTGCAATCACAACGAGAACGACCGAAACGATGAGACGGTAAGTGATTGGTGTAGATTTGTGCTCGATTTATGCGTCGCTCACATTTTCTCGCAAATTTTCTCTCTCATATTGTGTCACGTGCACTGCACTTCGTAACGAAATTTCTGTTGTTTTGCCGTTGTGTCTGTCGGTGGTGGCACATAGTCACGGTCTGGATCAGGATCTTCTTGCGCGTCGTCGCCGAGGTCGAGGTCGAAGCGGGTCAGTGCAAAGCAGATGCAAAGATGGCCGCCATCTTATCATTTCGCTTTCGTTTTGCTTTTATGTTGACAAAAACTCACCCCCGAGCCATGTTGTTTTGTGTATTTCATTTGTTTATGATTACATCTTTGTCGTTTTCTGTGCAAGTGGACGTTTTATTATTTAGTTTATGTTTTTTAAGTTTTATTTTATTGTAAAAGTGTATGTTGTGTTTAGAATTCGGTCGTTGAGTCGGTGTGCAGCGCCGGAGAGGGACAGGCGTCTGCAGTGGAGTCCTTGCGTAGTGATATGTCCTGGGAGGCTGTGGATGAGAACGGCCCGCTTGTGGATGGCGCCGTCCCGCCGCATACGACCCTCTGGGTGCCTGATCACGCCGTCACAAGCTGCACTGGATGTAATACTGTTTTCTGGTTGGGCAGGAGGAAACACCACTGCAGGTAAAAGCAAAAATCAACAAAACCCACAAAAAGTGGTGGGGGTTTCACTTTTCTTTGTGTATTTGGTTGCCTATATATTAATTCTACAAAATTTTTTATATTTTAGGAATTGTGGTAATATATTCTGCGCAGACTGTTCGGAAAACAGCACGCCGCTGCCCTCGGAGCACCTCTACGACCCAGTCCGCGTGTGCACCTCGTGCTTCTCGAAGCTGAGTCGCCACGCCTTCAATTCGGCGGCGAGCACACCCGAAGAAGAAGTGCAGGACGCGCTGCTGGTGGCCGCCATGCCTCTGGCGAATGCACAGCATCGCGTGCACCACCACCATCACCCACATCTGCACCATGCGCCGCCGCCGCCCCATGAGCAGTGCAAGACGCACGCCGACCGGTCGGCCGCTACCACGACCAACCCGCGCCAGATCACCGCGTCCAGTAATTAAAACCACACACACCCGATCACCCACACGCAACACTTACACTTTTAATAAAGAAAAAACTTGTTGGGGGGTTAAAGAGCTGAGAGAATGAAAGAAAGAAGGAAAGAGGCAGAGAGAGAGTATAAGACAGACGAGATGGAGATAAATTCCAGATAGTTTTGACAGCCACACACAAATTTGCTAGTTTGATAGTTTTTCTAGTCATTCATAACTCAAACAAAACTAGAAACTTACAAAACGATGTTTTTAATCAGTGTGAGAGCGAGGGCCGGGCATGCAGAGCGTCTCTTTACCCCTGCGTTTGTTTTTATCTTGTTTCGTTAATTTAATTTACTGTGATCATTCTTGTATATGTTTAAATTACGCGCTCAGCGCGCGCGAGAGAAAGGTTGAAATTTGCTGATTCTTCCACGACTACCCCAAGCCGTAACTCTAATACAAACTGAGCTCATTACTTGCACTCGTGATGGCAGTGCGCTCGATCAGGGTCTATATTAGTCTACAACCTACGTAAATTCGACACGTTGTAGTTTAGGAAATCTATTAGCTTGTTATGTTTGAGGTGCGCAACAACCGCAATTTTTGGTGATTTAAATTTAAAAACGGAGAAAATCTCGAGAAAAAAAATGATACAACCACTATAGTTATTTAATTGTAATTGAATGATTGAAGTTTTGGGCAAATTCGCGCATTGGTTGGTGTTATAGTTTAACAAAATTGCACACACACACACCTACACTCACGGAACGTGAATCTCGGAACGTAATTTATTATTATTATGAGCATTATTTATATGAGTCGGGATACACACACATTATACAATACCACACACGTGCGACGTGCTTCTTTTTATACGGACGCGCAGCGGCGGACATCGACTACGAGGAAAACCAGGCGACAAAGTAAATTAATGAATAACAACAGTATCTTAAGTAAGAGATAACTAAATACAAACAACAGATTATAAATAATATGTAAATGGATTATTTCTATTGTAAATGTAATTAATATAATATATATTATTGTACGAATTAGGCGTTCAAGGATGTTTTATCATCCAGTAATGCGGAAAATGAGAAAATTTGGCGAAATTATATAAATATTGTTAGTCAAGGTCATATTTGGTGATATATTCAAATCTAGGGATTTTTGTTTTATAAATTTCCCTAGATTTAAATTAAAAAAATTGTTAAATTTACGTTTTAATGTCTTAAATTTAAGTAATATTTGTATAATTGTTAATTTTATAACTTAATTTATTGTATTTTATGTTAATTTTGTATTAGTTTACTTGTAATTACTGTTTAATCATTCGTTTTTGTTTTAGGTTGGTACTGCCACTGGAAATAATTTTCCCCCAGATTGGAATTCATTCATTCGCTCACTTCATTCTGCAACATTCAACGGCCGCATTTCCTGTCGCACGGGGGCAGCGTGCGCTGTGTTTATCAAAAAATAGCCGCGAATTGTTTGCTATTAATGCTCGGAGTGGTGCATTATGGGGTAAGTCACATTGAGACCTTTGATTGGACGATGTCCTGGCTTGCTGTGCTATTAATATCCGCGCGATTCACAATCATTTTTTGCTTACATCGCCAAACGAACAGTTCACACTGTTCGTTCGGTGAGGTTAGCTCGAAATTATCTTAAAACACAGTAGTATATGAAAACAATTGAGTTGATTGTTATCACCGATTGTTACAGTTATGCTGACCGTAACGAAACATACAACGTGAGGCTGCATATTCGATTGCCACGAAATTTGGACGGTAAGAAGCTGAATCCTGGTGTCAAAGCTGTTCGTCCACAACAGGTAATAATATGTAACAGATATTTTTTTACTTCCACTTTTAAAGTGCCACTTGATACTTAATATGCTACTTGAATATTTTAGGATTGGCAGTGGGGTGTCACAACTTTCAAGGAGTTCCAAGAAAACCAGGATTTGCTAGCGACATAAACTTTTTGCGTTCGTGAGGAGACAAAATCAAACAGAAGACTGCATTCTAGTATCCTAAGTCTTGTAAGTTCTCTATAAATCCCACAATTCTTAATTTACTCTTACTTCTTGCTTTATTTATAAAAGAAATGAGTTGTATAGTAATCACATCCTACTTTTTAGTAATAACCAGCACATAATGGGTTTGGACGGCGAAGATTTCATCGCAAATCCATACAGAGTGGACACCACCGACGATGAACTCGACCTAGATGAAACTTCCGAGGTGATTGTCGATTATATGGGCGACGAGGACGATTTAATGGGCTTAGACGACTTGGAGGACGACGATGACGAAGATTTCGATATTGAGAGCACCAGCGATACGTATGTTATCCAATCTGGTGGTACTTTAGAGTATTGCTATGATGATTTCCTCAGCGACGATGATGATGACGACTCGGTGGATGAACTACGGGGAACGATCATCAACGGCGTGTTCACAGAGACCGGTTGGGAACGGGCGCCCATGCGAATACAGCTGGAACTGGCTCGCTATGCTGATTCCAACAGTTCGGAACAAACGAGTAGTAATTCGGTGGAACAGACTGAGAGTAAACATGGAAATGAAGCTGCAAATGTGAATCAGACTCAAACGCCTTCACCTCTGCCAACACAGCCGGACTTTGAAGGATCGTAGAGTCGTAGTGCTGTTGGTTATTTGTTGGAGACTTTAGGGAAGTTGTTTGAGATATTATATATATTAATACATAAGAATCTTACTCATACAGAGGGTAATTATATTAGAGTTTAAATTTGTTTGCATATTTGCGAGAATATGAGAAGTCCAAACAGATAATTATGATTTGCGTCCGGATATTGTTTACATTGCCTAATGCACAGTGTTTAAACGGTGTTTGGCTCTCAGTTTCTTTTGTATAGTTTGTTATTAAATTATTTTCATGAAAGTATCCAATATCCAAGTGGTTTAAGAAATACTTGTATATATTCTGTTTGCTGGCTGAATGCAGGGCGTTTTCTGAATATTTAATTGTATATTTCTTTTGTTTTTTGTTGTCTGATGATAATTAAAGACTTCTTATACAATTTACCCTTTTTTATGTTCCTAATCCCTTGGGAAGTGCCCTTAAACAGTAATCTAACCTTATTGCGAACACTTTTAAAAGTAAGTATAAAAAGTGCATTGTTGCATTAAAACAAATCAAGTAAGTAAGGGTTTCTTGACGTCAGGAGATAGTTAAGGTCGTCCTTAATAAGGTATGTACTTTCCCGATCCCTTAAAACCATCGGAAGTACGGCAAAAAGCCCTTCAAAAATTGGTGTTCTTTGCACATTTCGAAACATTGCCTTGAAAAACATCCTATATCTCCTGAATTATTGGAGTAAATCTGGCCATCTAACAGCCATTTCGTAGATAAAGACTTCCTTTATAACATTCACTCCTTCCTGACCCTTTAAATCATTCGGAAATGCCCTAAAAAGCCCACTAAAAAGTGCACTTTCTTCTCACATGTCGAAAGACAGGCGTGGAAAACAGCTCGTATCTCCCTTGTTAATGCAGTAATTTAGAGTTTATCATCGTCAAAAGATAGTTAAAGAGTCCCTTTTTAACATTCGTACCTTCCCAATGCCTTAAACCTTTGGAAAGTGCCATAAAATGCCATTCAAAACTTGTTACTTTCATTACAGTTCGAAAAGTTGCGTTAGAAAACACACCGTATTTCCTGTTCCAACAGAGTTATCTTGGCTATCTCATCGTCTTTTGATACCTAAAGAGACCCTTTATAATGTACATACTTATTTGACCCTTTAAACCCTCCACAAGTGCCATAAAATGCCCTGTAAACATCGGCATTATAGTCACCAAGTTTAAATTTTCGGTCGAAAACACAACCTGTCAAATGCTTGTCATATGTTTTCGGACGAAGAGTAGGGACGAACTCGCTCGAGTCATTTTTATGGTCGACATAAAAAAGAGAAATCTTTAGCCATTTTTTTAATAAAATCTTTTTCTTAAAAATTTTTTGTGCCATTTTTCACATTTTTCAATTAGGATACCATCTTGTTCAGAATTTTTCAAGGATCAAGAATATGAAGTTCTTTCTTTTCTAGCCCTCTTAGTTGTCGAGATAATTACTATTTTAATCTTCATAAATTAGACTATTCCGACGGCATGCACATGTTTCATTAAAATTGCAAATAGGGCCAAAACGGTTAACGTTAGCAAAAAAAAGTTACTTAAATAATCGATGTAGAATTAGATTATCAATCAGAAGCCAAAAACAGAATTTAAAAATTCAAATTTTTAATTTTTATCCTTCCTAATTAGAAGATTAAATCGTAATTATCTCGACAACTAAACGGGCTAGAAGAAAATGAAATACATAATCGTGATCCTTGAAAAATTCTCAACAGGATGGCATCCTTATTGAAAAATGATAAAAGTGGCACAAAAAATTTTTAAAGAAAAGATTTTATTAAAAAAATGGCAAAAGATTTCTCTTTTTTATGTCGAAAATTAAAAGTTGGAATTTTTAAATTCTGTTTTCGGATTATGATTGATAATTTAATTCTACACCGATTATTTTAGTAACTTTTTTTGTTAGTACTAACCGTTTATGCCCTATTTGCAATTTTAATGAAAACAACATTTGACATAAAAAAGAAAAATGTTTTGCCTTTTTTATGACGAAATCTTTTTTCACCAAATTCAGCTTCTGTAATAATTGCAATTTTTAAATTCTGTTTTCAGATTCTGAAAGTAGATTAAATTCGGAATCGGAAACCAGTAACACATTAATAGATTAAGGCCCTATTGGCATGTAAAAAACAATTTTTTAATTAAACTAGCAAATAAGGCCTAAACGGTCAATGTTAAGAAAATAATTGCTTAAATAGTCGATGTAGAATTTTAGCTAACAGAATCCGAAAACAGAATTTAAAAATTCCAATTATACAGAAGCTGCAATTGCTGAAAAAAATATTTTTAAACATTAATTTTGCCCGCCATTACTAGTTACCGCCTCCTTTATTTGCCTCCTCATACTTTCTGCGATCCGAATACCAAAACCTGAGTTTCGACTGTTTCGAGTCCAAATTTTGTGTCATTTTGCCTCTCAGAGTCGACAAAATAAAGATTGAATATTAGGATCGCAGAAAGTTGAGGAGGCTGATAAAGTTTTCGCGGTAACTAGTAATGTGCTGCCTCTGGTGGCGACGGACTGAAGCTCAAAACTTTCGGTTGTTGTAGTTTCTAATTGATAGATGGCAGTAGCATGCACTTTTCAAAATAAATGGTTTAAGGAATCGTTAAATATGAATATGTGATCAGGTAGAAATAACAGAAATAATTACAATAAGAAAAACTTAAAAATACTCTTTATTAAAGAAAACACACAAGCATAATATTGGGAGTCAATTTGTGTAATAATCACAAAAGTTATTTAAGATAATGAAATTTATTAATAACAATCTGCTGCAAGAATGGTCCTTTTACGATGTCCGACTCAGGTGCAAAATACCTAAAACAAACAAAAATCAGTCTTTCGAACATAAAAATGCAATTTTAAGGGTTAATTTGTGAGATAATCACGAATGTTATTTAGGAAAATGATAAAGAAATTAATTACTTACAATCTGATACCATAATGGTCCTTCTACGATGTCAGACTCAGGTGCAAAATCCCTAAAACAAGCAAAAATTAGTCTTTCGAACTTAAAATGCAATTTTTGGACTTAATTTGTGAGTTAATTACAAAAGTTAAGGAAGAAAATGATAAAGAAAGTAAATACTTACAATCTGATGCAAGAATGGTCCTTTTATGATGTCAGACTCAGGTGCAAAATCCCTAAAACAAGCAAAATTAGTCTTTCAAACATTAAAATGCAATTTTAAGGGTTAATTTGTGAGATAATCACAAAAGTTATTAAGGAAAATGATAAAGAAATTAAATACTTACAATCTGATGCAAGAATGGTCATTCCACGATGTCCGACTCAGGTGCAAAATCCCTAAAACAAACAAAATGAGTCTTTCGAACATAAAAATGCAATTTTAAGGGTTAATTTGTGAGATAATCACAAACCTTATTAAGGAAAATGATAAAGAAATTAATTACTTACAATCTGATGCAAGAATGGTCCTTCTACGATGTCAGGCTCAGGTGCAAAATCCCTAAATCAAGCAAAAATTAGTCCTTCGAACAGGTCGAGTTCCTGCAACAAACAAATACAACCCGACGGAGAATTTAATTTTGCATCTATAAACGCCGCGCTGAAGTTAGTGAGCTGCCTAAATCACGCACAAACACGAAAAATACAAACATTTCACAAGAAACGGTGACAAAAATTACCATTTTCTGCAAATTTTCGCGAGTTGCAGATCGAATTTCGGCAACAAACAAATACCATCCGACGGAGGATTTAATTCTGCATCTATAGACGCCGCGCTGAAGTTAGTGCGCTGCCTAGATCGCGCGCAAACACGAAAAAATACAAACATTTCACGAGAAAGGGTGACAAAAATCACCATTTTTGCAAATTTTCACGGGTTGCACGTGGAATTCCTGCAACAAACAGATACAACACGACGGAGAATTTATTTCTACAACTCTAGATAGTCCGCTCGAGTTTGTGTGACGCCCAGCTCGCCTTCAATGATTAAAAGCCGTACATATTACCAGCACGTGGGGATAAGCACAAAACAAACACTTAGTTACACATACCACATACCAGTAATTCGCTCGTTGCAACAGTCAGGACTAATGTTGAAGATGATAAAATCTGTGAAATAAATGAAATTGTTAAGGGAAATGCGGGAAGGTGTCAATATTTATTTTATTTTAAATCGGGAGTCGACCGACGAGGCGAATCAAATTCGTATTCTAATTTAGCTCGTGACTCGGGCATCGGAACTCGAAGGCAATTGCTAAAAGAGAGAAGAGAACGATAGTTAGAACATTGCGTGCAAGTAATGATAAAATAAAGCAGAGACAAAACATGCAATAAAACATCTCTGCGAAGTGTAAAATATGATATAAATGCGACTCGAAAACTTGTTTATACACAAACAAGTACTGATAAGCAATAGTAGAATTCCGCCTAGGAATCGCATTAACAAATTTCAAAACAATCGGCGAAAATATGTATTGTCACATTGCATATTAAAACTCTAAGGCCGCTTGCGACGGTCCTTCACTACATAGTATAAAGTAAAGTCGCTTTTTTCCGGTCCCTTTGTTCGCTTAAATCATTGAAACTACGCAACGGATTTTGATGCGGTTTTACTTCCGTGCGAAGCCGGGGCAGGTCGCTAGTAATTAATAAGTTGCTGGATCATGGCCAAGAATAGGGCGCAGAATTCACCACACACTAAAGTTGAACTACATTTAAATACAGTAATACTAAATACGGTTATATAAACATGTTCACAACAATAACAAGGTATCGTTCCAACCCGGCCTAAGCAAAAACGTAACTGCACTCGTATGAATAAAACTTGTAGAATAATGCAAACACGAATGGGTGAATTAAAATTTAAAAAGTTTGCACTGTACCGTTTTTCTCGGCTTTCACAAAGAAGATTGTCATTGTTCACATCCATTGTCCAAATAATATCACAACAAACGTTGCAAGACGTTGCATGCTACATATATCTCGTGTACGTGCAGTGTAAACAAGTTGAGTGCACGCGGTCATCTTGCAATACGCACACCGAACGGCAACAAAATGAACGATTTTGTAATAAAACACTAAACGCCCGTATTAGGTAAATGCAGTCGATGGCCAATATACAAACGCGATGTACTAAATTACAAACTCTAAATAAAACGATAACAGCCGCGAGAAACACGTCTGGCCTAACCACCGACCGGCAGAAAACTACGCTGCCAACGTGAGACCACGGCGCAGAACAAGCAGCAACGGCACACAACAACGCGATAATCCTGCGCGCACGCCAGTTAAAACGGGCACTATATGCAACATATTATAATTAATTAATATAATTAATTAATATCTCTTAAACTAAGAGGATAGCTACCCACGAATTGCTGATTATGAAAGATTGGAAAATTGTCTATCAGATAAAAATATTAAATAATTATATTTCCTAGAGTAAAGGGTCGAAAATCGAGACTAAAAGTGCTAAAAAGTGACATTTCTCAATTTTTGCCCATTTCGTTCAAACGCGAATATCTCAGGTAAAAATCCTTTTCGCGCCGCCAAGTGACAATATGGGTTTGTCGTCAAAACGAAATCAATCAAGGTACTGATTTCGGATTACGCTTATCGGCGCTGCTGCGTGCTCGCTGGTTTTGGATGGGGGGGGAGGGGTGGAGGAAGCTGGATTGCGCATCGGATGGCAGCAGGCAAGCAGAGCCTTATGGATGCGATTGCGGTTGTCGGAAAGCGGAGAAGACGGATTTATAGGGATCGGAATACCGCGAGCCGCCCCCCAGATGCAAAGATATGGCAATGCACGCGTGCTTCGCGCGGGCGCGGAGTGGCATCCGAAGTGCGTTACAATACCACGGCAGTGGGGATGATTTTTCTCATGCATAACCCTTCGGAATGTGCACGGGTTATTCGATATCAATGTCACTCTGATTTTCATCGATATCGGCTGATATTCAAAAAATCACCGATTTTATTTCTTTTTAACTTCTTTTGAACTGGAGGTACATTACTTCCAACCTGAACTTGGAAAAGTTTTCCGACAACAAAATAAACTTTCGCTGATTTGTTCCAAAGCTTCTGGAATGTGAAAGATCTGGAAAAGGAATTTCCACTAACAATGCCAGTATGCGGGTTTGCGGGCCAAGCAGGAACTGCAGCGGTCCGGCGCGGGCTGACAAGTGATCTGTTTCGGTAAATTGAAATTTGCAACCTTGTGTAGCAACTTACGGCTCTTTGCCTTCGATGTAAACGCGAAAAATAGCGACTTCCGGCGTCTCTCGCTGCGCCTCGTTTTGCACCCCACTAACCACCTCCCACCCTCCTGTGGCCCTTCCAAGCAGCCCATGGACAAACAAGCAAATTCTAAACTTACCAAACCTACAACCTCACATCCACAGTCTTCAAGGTTGTTGTTTACCGACTTTCCAACCAATCTCTTTGTTTATTAATTAATCCAAACCAAAAAAATAACTTTTTTCCATTTTCGGGGATTTTTTTTTGTCTAAATGAGACAGTTAATCAAGGAAATTTAATATTCGCAGGCTGTGAACCTGTACGGGAGATATTATCTCGCGATCTCAAGGGGTTATCGCTGCCAGGATGCCGCCCCGTAACTATACACCTACGCGATTTATCCCTCCATCCGTTTGCGCTCATTTATTTTCCTGCATTACACAACGAGTGTTCACGCAGCGCGCTCTCGCTCACTTCATCCGTTTCATATATATTGTAACTTGACGCGCGCTGCCGCCAGCGCGTGCGCTGGAAAAGCGAAGCACGTCAGCGCGCAAGAAAAACTCTATTCCGGTTGCGCGCTACGCGCGAGTCTCAAGGCGTTTCCAACCTGGGATGTCTTGTTAATTTCATTCCATCCCGGGGGGTGGAAAGCGAAAGGTGAGGTGTGCGCGCACACAAAGGCACGAACGGCTAACTTCCTGTTTGCCAAGTATTTATTTATTAAAAAGTTTACCAACCTACCTACATTTCGGGGAAGTCTTGTTGAAGAAATGAATAACATTACAAATAAGAAAAAAACTTGCACTGAAGAAATGCCGGCTAATATTTGTAAAGTGACATTAATTACTATAAAGTATCTTTATAACGATCATTTTATCAATACGTTTGATTTATATGAGTTTAAAGTTAAAATTTATAGTAAGCGCATGAATTATTTCTGTACAAAACTTAGTTTTTCCTGTATTTCTGAATGCTATGCAACTTTTAATCACTTAAAAATGTAAAACTAATTTTATTACTAGTTAGGTTTCACCATGTCGCAAATATTGGAATTTTACATAGATTGGCAACTTGTTTAATCTTTTGTGTTGATATCAACTTCATTATTCTTTAAGTCTAGTCATGAATTTGCTGCCTAGTTGTATTAACTTGTGTTATGTTTTAAATGATTTCTAGTAACGGTAAATGTGCACCCTAAATATATTTTTGCTGAAAATGTGCTTGCTTATAGAAATTTGTACTGTACCGTGGGTGGGATGTTGGGATCATAATTACAACAATATTTCAAATGTTACCATCGATGTCATGTCTTTGAAAAAAATATTCTTGCTCATAATTGCGAGAAATGAAAATTATGTTTCCTAGTTACACAATTTTTATTGTGTTTTTAAAACAGGAGAAACAAATTAAATTCGTTTTTGAGGTGTTTTATAGCTTAACAATTTCTTTGACAGCAAATAGCGTAAATCCTTTCTATGCTTTCAGGAAGATTCGCAGGAATAAATAAAATCCTTAAAATAAACCTGCGTGCGGACAGCGCCGGAATACCGATCCTTGGGCTACCCACGAAGAGAGATAAATTCCGAAAAAGGGCCGGTAAGTAATTCCTCACGTGTCCCTCTAATTGTGTTACCCGCTTTCGGGGCGCCTTTATTTACTCGCTGCTGCTAGTGCTGGCGGTGGCATTGTCTTAAACTCGCCGGAAACCATCGAAGCATCGTTGCGCACGTATTGAAAGCAGGGCAACGCAGTCGTAAAACCAGCACCGGAATAAAACCAAAAAGACTTCCTTTCCATTCGCAAGTACTCATCAAACTTCTTATCGTCCCGCCTACGCCCGCTGGTCGACGCGCGACTATATATTCAAGTATTGATTGTATTTTAAATTAATTTATAGTTAATTACTCGATAGGTGTTGTGGAAGTTTAACAAGTCCGTGCCTGTGTGTTCGACTAGGCGCGTATTGAGGCACCGCCGGTTCAACGTACAATTTAAATCGTTGTCGAGCAAAACTGCAGGATGCGATGAGAGTCGTCGATGGTATGTGGGGCAAACAGTGCGTTCGGGCGTAATTAAATCGGCGGAGCTAACGAAGGAATTACCTATTTTCGAATCGAATTTTAATTAATTAACTTCTTAGACACCCGAGCTTAAATAAGAGATTGCAATGCGAGGCGAACGCAATTTAATTAAATCTTGTGTAAGAAAATACATTTTGAGTTTCGCACTTTTCAATACTCAAAACAACAAAAATCTTAGTTTATATTTTGAATGGAACCTTGTCTACGAGGAAGTAGTTGACCATTGTAAGGATGAGTTTGTTAACACAACAGCAGCACTCAAAAAATTGTTTTTTGACTGTAATTCCTAAAATAATGCAATTTTTTCGAAACAGTTATACGTATTCGATGAGGAATTAATTACTCTTTAGTATGATATATTTGTCAATGCTGTGGATTTAATATTTTCGGAGATATTCCAGTTTTATTAAAAACTATTTTTTGCATTTTAGCAAAAACTTTTCAATAAAATTGCACTAAAAATAGATACAGCTCTAACTCATGGATTGATACATCTTTTCATAAAAGGTTTAATTTTGTCTTGTTTCAAAGATTTTCTTGTTGAATACAGAAATTATCTTTCAATAATTCAGTATTTCATTGTATCAAAGTGCTGCTAAAATCCAACATGTAATTTCTCTGTATATTCTGTTTCCGACGTGTGACAGTCGACTGCTTAAAAATGTATTATTTAAATCCAATTTGTAGAATATGTTGATTTGTGTTCCCAGTGTTGACGACTGGGTCGATGGAATTTACTATATTTACACTTCACCACTGTCAATGCTACAATCAATCCGCTATCCGCGGCGCGCTGATTGAAACGCGCAGAAACGTGAAGTGCATCGAGCACAATCGGCACGTCCGCCGGCACGCTTCACATAATAAATGATTTATACTTCGATTTACAAGTAATCAATTTAATGCCAATCGAAAAACCAGTCGGAGCGTGAAACTATAAAATTAAAATGACGCAGGGACGCTGCTGACGATTTTCGGCGTGTTAGTTGTTCGGGCGCATTTTTAACGAAGCGGCTAACAATGCAGCAGCGCGAGCCCATAAATTGATCATAAACGCACTTGGCTCAGACAGAAGCGGCGCGCAATTCGTGCGATTCAGTTTCAGTTAACTGCGCGCCGCGCGTATGTACATCACAAATCACTGCGGCTCTCGTGGTGCGCGAGCGTGTGATGGTCGTTCTGTTTCCGATGGTGTATTGGAAAAGACCCGGCGAATTGTTTTATGACGGGCAAACGGTTTTCGCGTTATTATCGAGATTAAAGTGGAGTTTAATTTGTCATTTGCGGTGAGTGACGCGGCGTGAATCTCGGCATATCGCAATAATTCAACACAATGACGTTTACAACTGCAATTAAACATGATTTCGCATTTTGTTCGGGAATTTGAGACTTTATTGTTGTTATTGTTGGTGCGAGCAGGTGGCGTGTTGTGTATATTTTGGTGCGGTTTAATTTAGTTTGCAACTTTTTTCATCTAGTGCATTTGCCGCACGCGATACAAACTCTCCTAGGCGCAACAACTTCGCAAACTGTTTCCATTTGACAACGTACGCGTATATTTTCGACTTTGACTTCGTGTCAAGAGAGGTTGAGAGGATAGACGCAGACACGAGGCAACAGCTTCGACTACTTGGTGAGAAGTTCGTTTATTAGTTTCTTGTGTGCGTGTTTTTTTTTCCTGCGAAGGAATTTTGTTTTTCTTGCGGAGAGTCCACTTTCATTAGTTATCTCTTATCGTCAAACGATTGTTGTGCGATATTTTATAGGTGAAAGTTTTTAGAGTTCTAGATAAGATGTTCTGGATTTAATTTGATCATAATAGAAATTATAGTGTAGCAATTTAGGCATTTTATCATGTTATAGCGAGGTAGTGTTAAATAGAAGAACAAAACATAACAATTTTGTATTTATTTTAGTTTTAAGTTAAAATTCACGCGTTTTACGAATTATTTCATAAAAAAACTTCGTTTTTATGTATTTCTGAACAAGTTATGCAACTTTTTTAACACTAAAATTACAAATTACTTTATTGCTAGGTTATGTTTCATTGGAGAGCAAAAAATAACAAAATATAAGGATTTTACGTCGATAGGCAACTGTTTAAACTTTTCTAAGTTGGTTATAATCTCAATTACTCTAGTAAAAATGCCGGTAAATATTTCCTGAAGTCTAAATATGAATTCCGCGTCGCTCAGTTGTATTCACTTGTGTTATGTTTAAATGATTTTCTAGTAACGCAACGTGCACCCCAACAAATTAGCTGAAAAATCGTGCTTAAGTTATGGAAATTTGCTTTGCAATTTGTAGGGATGTTGGGATCATAATTACAACAAAATTTTAAATATTACCATCGATGTCATGTCTTTGAAAAAGTATTTTAGCTCATAATTACTAAAAATAAAAATATTTTTCGTCGTTACACATAGAAAATTAATATAAAACAGCCAAGTACAAATTTAGTCGTTATATGGAGTTTGTCGGTAAAACGAGGCAACATTTATTATGATAGTATTTAGAAACATTTTTATTATTATGCAAAACACTCGCTGCTAAAGATAATAAAACTGTTCATTAGCACCTTTTCGCATCCAATTAAAATAACCGTAAACTAGTTAATAAAACCCAGGTAGAAACTTAATTGCTTTGCAATTTTTCGCCTCCGAAGAAAGCCAATAAAAGGCCGGGGAATATTCGAAACGAAAATTATAATCAACCGTAAAAGCATTTGATAATCATGGTAATTAACCAGTTTATACGCGCGGGTTAAAAATTGGAATAAATTTAATTTAGAATTTTTATTAATATTCCCCGCGTGTGTTCTTATTGCGGCTGGCGCGTAAAGGTAATTGCAATAGCAGCGCGCAATGTCGGCTTTTATAGTTCGTTAACAATTTCATTTGCAGTTCGTTTCCACTCGTAATTTCATTTTCTATGCATACGATGACGAAATGAGAAGAAAACGCGCCGCCAATGCGAAAACAATTTATTAGCAACTATATGCGCGGTGGAAATTTCATAGTGTGAATTTTTCCTGCGGTTCTACAATTATAGCGACGTTATTCCAACGACTTTGTTGGAAAAATCGCGCGGCTTTGGCGCGCTGCGCGAACGCTTTGAAGACCCACGCGATGGCATTTTACATTTGCATAACACTATTAAGTTTTATAATTCCAGTTCAGGATGGAAGAAAAAATCCGGTTATCCGAACGCATACAGAGTGTAAAGAGTAGATAAGTGCTTAATTCAAAATCAAACGCTAATTTAAAATGTTTTGTTTAATTTTTCTACAAAAGCAATCACATTTTTTTGTTAATTTTCTTTGAAAATTTTTATTCATTTGCATATTTTTCGATGTGCACCTGCCATCGATTTTCGGTTGTTGCACCCCGTGTGTTTTTGTACCGGGCTCGTAATTAGCTAACCGAAGTAATTGGTCGTTTCCGTTTCCCATTTCTACTCAAATACAGTTCAATTCAATTACATTTACACTATTTCACGTTTAGCGCGCGCGTTTCTTTCACGGCAAAAGTCCGGAACCGGGCAAAGGAAGGCAAAAAGCGGGCGGCATTAAAACTGATCGCAAAACTGGAACCCCATTTTCCGCGCGCGAAGCTGATATAAAAAAGCGCATGGCGTAGTGAAAGAATTTTATTTCACCGCGCCGTTCGCTTTATAGGCAAGCGCGCGCTTGCGTCCTCTCGTCCTGTCGAGATCGGAAATGCAAATGGCGATATTGGTATTTTAATGCGATTTAGTTTAACCGACTCTGGTGGAAAATAGGAAAATAGACATTTCGATTTTAAGACTTGCCCTCCAAGTGGCTATAAACAAGCGGGACAAAGGAATATGCGCGCTGCTGACATTGATTTTTCTCTCGGGCGTCATTAACACTTGCAAACAAAAAAACAGAGATCTACATTACCGATCCGATTGCAGATGTTTTGAATAAAATGTAAAATGCTGCGTTTTTTACTTTGGATGATGAAATGTATGCCGGAATAGATCTAGATACATTGTATACATTACTTTTATGATATAAAAGCAGCGTGCAATAAAAATGGCGGCAGCGACACGATAGTAAAACGCCGTGCGGCGGCAAATCTGCGGGGGATGAACGTCGAAATTAAACTATTTTATGTCGTTTTATGAAAATCGAATTCGTCATAATATTTAAACACCCTGTGTGCGTGTGCGCGGATAAAATTTCGCAGCTTCCTTCACAACAAACTCGTAATAGTCGCTTAAAATTTTATTTTTACTGCATCAACACGCGCGTAAATTTTACTGCATGCATATATTGCGTTTCATATATAACGCGCTACATAAATTCTAATCGAAATGACGCAGCCTTTACTTAACTCACCGGTTCGCGTCCGATTCATTGCCATGCGCGCTGGAAATTGACCGAAAAGGTCGCGAAAAATTATATCGAAATTTTATAGCGCGTGGGGCTGTTAAACGCGCGCGCGTGTCGTGTGTCGCAGCCGGCCCCAAAAGCGCCCAAAAACGATGGGTTTATTACGGGCGTTTTGCATTACGCCGAAGCGTAAACTGCCACCGCAACAGCGCAAATTTGATTTTATTTATGAGCCGCACACTCGCTACCAGCGCCAGCAAATAACGCATTAATAGAGAGATAGCGAGCATTCGTCGCGTATATACACATTGTAAATGTAAAGCGTTAAGAAGCGATTATTCAATCAATCATCGTTTATCAAAAGTAAGTTCTTAAAAAAATCTTGGTGGGAAAAAGATCGTTTGGTGTCAATTTCGCCCGGATGGAGGAAAAAATGCTTTCCGTAAGAAATGATTATTAACGGCGTGGCGCGTTCATTCTTTAGAAACGCACCCAAAAAGTTAAATTTAAAATTTCAATATGAATACATTCAGGGTGTTTTTTTCGTACTTAGATAAGATTATACTTTACACTTGATTTCATAAGTTTCAAAATTTTATACAGGATAAAATCACATTTAAATATTTCCTAATATTATAAACGCGTGTTTTTATGTTTGTTTGTGTCGCTACTACGCAAAAACCACTCAATATATTTTGATAAATTTTGGTTTGGAGATAGTTTGGACCTTGGAGAATAACATAGACTACTGCATTTTGCAAAAATATAACTTACAGGGTGTGCAAAACAGTTTGTGCAATGAAAAATATAAATGACGCTGACATATTTTATTTTCTAATTGCGATATATTTGAATGTATCAATGTTTTTCAAATTCTCCACTAATTTGAACATTAAATTTTAAAATTCAGGTGATCCCAGTCGAGTGAATAATTTAAAAGTTTCGTTCCATTGTAAAGATTATTCACACTCGAAGGCTAATCGCACCCGCACACCCTAATCTCGTTATGATAAATAAACACTCGAAAGTGTACTTGAGACCGGTTTCTCCTCCACAATTCGTGCTTACACACAAATGTAAACGAACGCTTCGCACTCGATGCCAAAACACGCAAATGGCATAATCCATATTCGCACGCCCGCAGTAAACACGGTTTACTGTTAACTAACTGCGTGGTAGTTAAGAGGTACGATTCCGCAACACGATATTAATGATATTGCTATTACGAACTGGCTGAAACAATAGTTTATAAGTTAAACACAAACGATCGCGCAACGTCGAATTATTTGAGCAAATAAACCGACGGTAAACACACTTAACATTATTTGCATCGTGTATAGCGTAAAAGATAACAATTATTGCACTTTAACGTAGTGTTTTGATGAGTTTTCAACTACTTTTCCTCCTACAGGATGCTACACCCTCCGAATAAATGAATGCGTAATATTTTATTAAATAAATATTTATTTATTACTATCTAGTTATATATTTACAATATTTTCAAGAGTAAATTGTTTATTTTTAATGTTTTTCACTTGGCTTTAATGTGGCTTTAATTTTTGTTTGCATAATCTTGAAACACTTGGTATATTTGGAGAGAACAATGAAGAGCACGCGGTTATAAGTTAAATCGGTTTCAACTTTAACAATGTGGCAGTTTGGCCGCCGTCCGCCTTTTACGCCCTCGCCGCCTCGATGAAACGAAAGCCATCAAGGGACTTTCAGCGCACAGAGCTTTCCACCGAACTTCATTCTGCGATCATTAAACAGACGCTGCGGTCTAAGCTTTTAAAAATTGCAATAAGCGACTTTTAATTCCCCGAACACACGAATCATTAACTAATCAAATTTAACAAACCAAAAATACAAATCAATACCAATAGATTTGTTTTTGACGCAATTGTTTGACTGGTTGAAACAAAATTGATTTATTTAGATGCTTCAAACGTACAGGGTTCATGTGGGCGTGTGCTGGCTGGAAGCCAGGTGTTGCATGCTTACACAACCCACATTGCAACATAACGACCAGCTAACGTAAGGACCGGGGGTGGTGTCCTGGCCAGTCGCCGCAGTATTCTTCTGCACTGCACTTCGGCACGCTGCCAGACGACAAAAAATTTACATTATTAAAACAGTAATCCTGCTTTAATAATGCATCAGCGGAGCCAATAACAAGTGCCATAACCTTATTGAACCTAAACTGACGCCAAATTGTTCTCATGTTCGCTGGGTGTCTTCTGTTTTTGTATTTTATTCATTGTTGCGGATGTAGCTTATTTTCAAAGTGTCTAGTATCCATTTTTAGGTCTATTTTGATTCCGTGTTTCTTATGTTTCAGGGCAAGAGTTGTAACGAATTAAGAAGAGGAATCATATTTCAAGTAAAGTATTCAATGAAATGTTTTGTTATCTTATGTGATGCGACGAAACAGCAACCTCGGTGCGGAGCGATATGACGCGGTGGGTCAGAATGATTGTTGCTATTCTAGTTTTGCTTAGTTCACCTTGCGCTCTCGTGTTGAGTGTACGCGTTTTATTTTTATTGCTGTTAGATGTTTCTAGTCATTCCTCGTGTTTCTCTTGTGTGTTTAATTAATCGCGTAATTGTGTTGTATTTCTCCTGTCATCGACTGAATTTAATTGTCACTACTACGTGAGTGTACATTTGTTGATAATTTAAAGCACGTGGAAACGGGAATTATGTAATTGTTAACTTGTGCGTGCCCGATTGCCGACAGACGTCTTCCGATCGCTTAATATCCTTATTGGATGAATATGTATTGTTGAGTTTATGAAAGAACGAAGTAAGTGTTTTGTTTTGTTTGGTATTTTCATCTATGAACATTAGTAACTAATTAATGGGCTTTCCTATGTAATATTGTTTTTCAGGATTAATGATTCTATCAATAAAAACAATACTTTTAAAATAATTCTAGTTCATGTGTCATTTTTGTATCCTCTTTGTCGTTTGCAGATTAGGTTTAAAATCACATTTACTTTAACATATATATTGTGTATGATACAGGTGACACAGGTGTTGTTTTTAAAAAGTTGAATAAACAAATAACACATATACCAGAAACGAAGTCTATTTGTTATAAGCGCTCGGTGGCGCAGTGGTATGTCCATATGCTGGCATACTCGAGGTCCTCGGTTCGAATCCCGGATTGTATAGTGGGACATTTTCTTAAATATAAAAATAATTCAAGAAATTTGGGTTGCATATACAACACAGTTGAAAGAAATTCAAGAAATATTCAGAGTACAACAGAACACAGAACAAAACTGGAGACAAGAAATAATATAAGGATGAAAGAAATACAGAGCAGAAAGAGCAGAACAGGAGAAGAAAGAGAGCAGCAGGAAAGAGGAGCCACTCCGAAACGGGAGTGGCAGAAGTTTTAAATTTTTTGGCACGTGTCGTTATAAGACAGTCACAGGCCCACTGCTTCGATGCGTCCATTGCTCCCGGCCCATCCTACAGCTACGATGTCTCTGCGCTTCATCCCCGGAATCATCAGGCATATCAACAATTTATATGGTGGGGGATCATCCCCTGAGAGGGGGAACTCCTTATAAGGTCAATCCTTAGAAGGTCTTTTTCAAATATTTTAAAGTTTTAAGTCGTCTCAAGAGAGGTGACACTTAAAAATATTCTTACAAGTTCTGACCTGTACCTGAAATGAAGGAAGGAGTACACAAATCATACAGGTTACCTTAACAATTTTTATAGAGGGGATCATCCCCTGAGAGGGGGAACTCCTTTATAAGGACAATCCTTATAAGAACTTGTATGAATATTTCTAAGTGTCGACTATTGTCGCCTCTAAGAGTCGAGGCGGGAGAGAACCTAAAAATATTTTACAAGTTCTGACCTGCAGCTGAAATGATAGAAGGGGTACTCACACATAATATAAGTCACAATACCTTTAAACATTTCTTTATTAAAACATACATAGATACTAAAACACATAACAGTTACAATATATCGTCCGCCATGTTGAAACATGTTTTACTACCTGCATACACTTGGTACTTGTTTGCGTGTACCAACTACAATGTTACAAATTAGACAATACATAGCACCAACAAAATTTATCAAATTTTCGCGGATTATAATGGAAAACTAATATACAGGGTGTTACAAAAAGAAAATGATAATATTTTAAAACAAAACTACTTACATAAACAGTTTATGAAGATGCCCTCAAGCCGAAACATGTCAACTCAATATATAAAATGTAAATCCTGAAGAAATCACGTATAACTTTTCATAAATAAATATTTTTAAACTATACAATGGACTACGTATTCAACAATGAAAGTAATAGAACAATTAAGATGAAAGTATTTTCCTAATGAATAACAAGAAAAAGTGAATTCTTGAATGTTACAAAAATAAAACACAAATACGAATATTGTACGAATAAAACAATGAGCATCTTACACGCCATAGGCTGCAGCGAGGGCAAAGAAACGCATCCGACGGCACGCGACAAACTTTAACAATTATTGTGTCAAACAGGATGAAGATATAATTGATAGAGCAATCTATAAATTAATTGCAAATTGTAAATATGAATATGAGATGCAACGTACGAGTATGTGATGTAAACAACACGTACTCGTATGTTGCATCCTGTAGCGAGAGTCGAAGTAAGCAGCCGACGGCAGACGACAATCTTGAACAACGAGTATTGTAATGTGTAAATAAAACGCGATAAAAATACAAAATTCATACAGCAATCTATCACTCAATTTTAAATGTACAATATGAAGCTATTAAATCAAAAAAACATCAAATGAATATAATCGAAGAGTATCCGGCGGCCGAGGGTACTCGTAAATCACGCACGCGTAAACTCTGCGAATATACAACCCGCGTTTAACCAACACCGCACATCACCCTCGTGCAATCGAACGAATCAATTAGGGATTAATTAGGAATATTACATAATAACGCGAAGAGATATTAAGAAATTTAAAGGTTCGCTAAGCGCGCAGTTCACCGGACGATCAAAATTAGACTAACACCGTTTGCAAGCCGACCGCGTGTGCCGAGAATGTGGCGACGGGACACAAGTTGAAAAAGATAACAAAAACTTGTTTGTTTATAAACACAGATAGTAACAGTGTAAGATGCTAGAACAATTCTACATAGTATATATTATAAGGAACATAGACTGCAGATGCATCACGGCCGAAATACGTCGGCTTCACTAAAAAGTAGTTACTCTACGCAATAAAAACATGTAACTAACAACACAATAAATAATATAACTCGCGTTACGGAATTGTCTAGCAATAAATTTCGACACAGGGAGATACAGAATTAAATTCCGCATCTAATAATTTATTTCGAACTTAGAATAAAACCGCGTTCGCGTGTTATAATAGAAAAACCACCAATTCCAAGCGCAACGAGTACAAGTGCGTATACACACAACTATCAAAATAACTCGCGTTAAAAAAATTTCTAGCAATAAATTTCAATACAGGGCGATGCAGAATTAAATTCCGCATCTAATAAAATTATTCCGAACTTATTATAAGACCTCGTTCGCGTGTTATAGCAAAAAAACTACAATTCCTAGCGCAACGAGTACAAGTGCGTATACACACAACTATCAATATAACTCGCGTTACGGAATTTTCTAGCTATTAATTTTGATACAGGGAGATACGGAATTAAATTCTGCATCTGAGAACATAATTTCGGATTTACTATGACTCCGCGTTCGCGTGTTATAGCAAAAAAACTACAATTCCTAGCGCAACGAGTACAAGTGCGTATACACACAACTATCAATATAACTCGCGTGATACAGGGAGAAAATTAAATTCTCTCAGCAATAAATGTTTCGCGGGTTATACAGACGGAACTATACTCAAATTTAGATACGCGGCAAAGACAGAATTTATTTTATTTACCAATTTAAATTCCGCATCTAAAATAAATGAGAAACAAAACATTAGTTACTGCATTTGGTGCCACGTTGAAATAAACTGCGTTCCGTCGGAATCCAGTTTTTAAATTGAAATTTTTGTTATTCGCATAATAATCATTGAAATGACAATATTTACCTGGTAGCACAATGATCCATGCTCCTCTGTTGATGACAAATATGTTTTTCACAAATCAATTCACAAAATATCGCCTGCATCGCCCGACGGCAACGAACTCACAAACACGTGAATAAATTAAACGCGCAAAATTTACAATTACGAAGATTACACACGCGATAAATAGCTTTTAAAAGATGAAACACGTTTATTAACACTAATTATCACCGGCGATCAGGAAATATAACACGATGTACCGAACTTACAGCAAAGAATAACACAAACCGAAAGTGTGGAATGTGTGCTCGTCGTTATCGCACAGGTGCAACAAAACAAAATTCACTCGCTGGAATATTTTGAGGTAAACCTACATCGTTGCGCCATCTGAGGACACTTTATAGTACCTCACAAAGCAACAAAGTGTTTCGAACAGTGGGGCGCGCATGTGTGTCAGTGCGAAATTGTCTATGAGGCAGTGAGTGGTCACGCACTTAAATGGCAGCGTACGTGTAATACACGTACACGAAAGTGTGCAAACACCACTCAGTCTAAATGAGTAGCAACTTTATGCACAAATGCAATAAGTCAAACCTAGATGAGACGTAAAATTCAAATTTAAAGCAGCGTTTTACAAGTGCGCTCGCATTATTCGATAAATAAACACTATAAAATGCGTAAATCAAATGCAGCCCATTTCTGCATCGCAATGAATTAACGCGAGTTAATGCTTAAAGATGTCAATTGTGTCTCAGCAGTACGGACCATAACCAGTGGGTCCCGAAGGCTCGTAAGAATCGTACGAGTCCTCGCAGTACTCCGATGATGATTCATATTCGTAGCTCCACCAATCCCAGAAGGGCAGCCCGAACACATACACAAACAAAGCAGTCATCACAAAGAGAATTTGAAGGAAATAATCCAATGAATTCTACAAAAGAAAAACACAAATGAATATCAACCAAACAAAAATCTATACAACACCACATACCATTCTATCGTCGCTGCAACAAACTGCGAGAATGCATCACCTCCACGACTGAAACCAACTTAAAAACAATCCGTCCGGCTGAAAATATTTAACTTGCAACACCACACAATAACATCCCCAATACAAATTTACACAGAGACATGTTGTCTACAGAGCGCGACAGCGCAAGCACATCACTCAATAAATTATATAATAGTTTGTGTATATTTTACGACCGAATACTGTATACAATATCTAAGTCACGAGACGTAATCATAATAAGCGCTCTATTAACTTTTGTTTAATTAATTTTTTTGTCATTTCTCTTGTATTGTATTGATTACCTTTTGTCTAGAAGTCGCCTCCTAGTGTATCTCTTTACATATTACTCCTAGAAAAATATTTTATAATAGTATAAGTATCATAATATGTAGAATGGCACTTTTACACAAATCTTTTTCACGTTTCGCTTTCATATGTGTGTGTAGGTCGTGTCGTGGTGTGTATTCTGTGTATGTGTGTGTGTGTGTGTATGAAGCGTTTTGTTGCTACGAGAGACGACTCTCTGCGTGTATAAGTACAATATTGTTGTTGTTGGAGTTGTCTGGACATCGACTTGATTCTCGCTTACGTTTTTAGCTAAATATATAATATCTATGTATAACATACGATTGTTTGCAATTTACAATATCGGTTTCTTTTTTGTTCATTCTGTCGCTAAATAAGTATATTTATTTCATTTCTCTCTCTCGCTACGCTACTATTTAACCATCTTCAGCTGTGGTGTCTCTGAGTTCGAACATGGAACGTATACACTAATTTAATATCTGCGGCTCTAGCTGTGGTTTCGTCATCAGTAGAAAAAATAGATTCAAAAACGCAAAAAACAGCTCGCATTTACTCTGTTTTCTCTGGTATATAGGTGCAATCTATGATTATTATTATCTATGTATGTTATTGTATCCGGTGTGGTGGCCGGGCGCTTCATTTTATTTTATTTTTCTTGTTTGCAATCGCTAAATATGAGGTATATGTGCGGTTCCTAAATCTTAAACTATTAGTTTTGCCTGCGTCGCCGCCGCCGTGGTGGTTTTGTTTGTTAGTTGGTTTGGTTTGGTTCATGCTAGCTCGCGTCCGCGTCGCGTTTTTTTTTGATTTCAGTTTGTCCGCAGCAACAGAGTCGACTCTCCGCTTCCGGATAAGTTACGTGTGATTAATTAGCAGTCTTTGATCCTATACGCATCGTCGAGTTGATAGTCGAATCGTCATCATCGTCCTGGAAGAACGCGTAGTTCCGCCACGGTGGGTTAAAACAAAAAAGTACGCACGCATACACACACACACACAACACACACAGCGCACACCATACACACTCAAATAAAATAAAAAATAAAAAATGAGATCAAATAATTTACAATAAAATCAACGAAGAACAGGGCGCGTGGGGGGGCGGAGAGAGGTGGGCGCAACTTAAAAACAAACTGGCACGATTGTCATGTGTTCTACCTAGAAATCAAGAGAAGAACAAAGTCTCGGTTCTCACCTACTACCTAAATTGCGTCTTGTATGATGAAGTGTGATAATAAATAATCGAGTGTGGCGTGATTCCGCAATGACACGTATTACTTAACTACTGGTCGCGATCGAGAGGGCTGTCGACGGATTGTGGGGCTGGGGGGAGGCGAGGGGGGAGATAGGTACGAGGAGAATGATCCTATATGCCTACAAATACTCTACAAAAATACTATCTGTCTTCTCTCTAGGTATTAGATTTGGTATTTTGCGTGCGCGGCTTGGAGATCAAGTGGACGAACGCGCGCGCGGTTAGATGGGCTTGGAGACGCCCAGCTGCGGCAGCTTATAGTGCACGATGTGGTAGGGCGGGCCGATAGGGCTGGTATTACCAGGCGCACCACCGAAACTGCCGCCGCCAACGCCAGGCGACAAGCCGCCGCCGACTCCGGGTGATCCACCGCCGTTACCACCACCACCGCCCATACCGGGCGACATACCGATGCCGCTGCATGCGCGCCCGCGTTTACGACGCGGCAGGATGCCCTTACGCGCCATATAGAAGCGTATCGTCGAGATGGGTATGTTGAACTGGTCGCTCACCGTCTGGAAAGTCTGCCCGCGCGTGATACACTCGGCAGCGCGCCGCAACTCCTCATCAGAACGCCGCACGCGTCTGTTTGTCGAGCCGAGCATACTCTCCGGCGTGCTGCTATCATACTGACATGATACATTGGCGATAGCGAAATGCGGCGATTTGTAATCACCGCTGCCGGGCGTGCCGCCGCCCGTATTAACCGTGCCCTCCTCTTCGGTAAACTCCGTGTCCATTAGGTCACCGTCCGCGTCGTAGTACGAGTCCTCGTACTCGGATTTGAGGTCCATGTCCTCCTCTTTGATGACGAGCGCGTCGTTGGAGTCGCAGTCGGAGGAGGACGGCGCAGTGTTGGTCTCGCCGCCGTCAGTCTTATCCTTATTCTTAGGTGTGGTGGAGGCGTCCAGTTTGACGACGTGTTTAACCACGTCCTTGACCACCGTCGCCGCTTTCTTATCAGCTGGCGTCGCGTTTGATTGCAGCTGCAGCTTCTGCTGCAAGCGTTGTAGCTGCGCGGCGAGCTGTGCCTCAGCTGTAGCTGCCGCAGCACCACCAGCCGCCGCCGGTTTGGCGGATTTCTCCGCAGTGGCTACCTGCGGGCCGTTGGTCGCTTTCGCTGCCCCTTTAAATTATTCAGCGTCTGTTGGCTAAGCAGTTGGTCAGAACCGCACAGGCCGCGTATTTGCAGCGCCTCGGCGCTCTTCAACAGCGAGGGTAGATCGTCCTGTGTGACATTCACCTCGCCCTTGTACATAAAATCCACCAGTGACTGCATTTCGTGGAATCTAAAATATAATCGAATTAAATTCACATAGTATAGATTTAAAATATATAAATATACTTCATGTCCTTCATGAATATTATCGGATGCTGGCAGGGATTCTGCAGCAGCAGCTTCTCGAAGTAGGTGGAGCACGCGGAGAGAACGACTTTGTGGCACTTGAGCATCTCGTTCTCGCAGGCGAGCGTCACATCGACAAAATGCTCGGAGGTGAGCAGCTTCGGGAAGGCATTCTGCAGATTCGACTGGTAGCTGTTCCAGCGCACGCAAAACTGCTGCGGCGGCGGCTGGGTCACCATCTTGGCGGCGCTACAGCGGCGGCGTGTCTATCGGTGTAAAACTGCTCGTAGAAAATATACGCTTGCGCTGATTGTGGTCATTGAAGTCTGCAACACACAAGAAGAAGAAGAAACGGTCAACAATGGTCCAGTCACCTACATACACGCGCGCGCCGCATTAAAAACCGGTCCTCCTCGCCTGCTGCCCAGCAGCCCCGGCATTGAAAGCGAAAACACGCACGCAGTAAACAAACAAATTGCGTAAAACGCAACCTACCTACCAACGGAGAAAAATGTAGAAATAATTTCGGTGACGCAGACGCAGACGACGGTCGCGCACACGACGCTAAGAATAAATAAATGCGCGCGCCGACCGCTTTAAATTAAGCCCAGGCGCGGTGAGTGCGCGCACATATAATTAATAAAGAGAAACAAATGAATATATTGGAAGAACTATAAATAAAGCGACGCCGCTGGATATTAATAGTCGCACCAGTCGACGCCGGAGCAACTAAAATCTAAACTAAAATCATTACACATTACAATATGAATAATCACACGCGACCCTCCGAAGAAGACGTGGAAGAAGGACGCACGCCGCCGGACGGATCGATAATTACCGAGAGCGCACCGAGAGAAATATTAAGAGAGCGTGCGCCCCCCTCTCGCCATAGATGCGCACCACACCACCACCGCCAATCGAAAGGTGAATTGTAGATCGCGAATTGCAAATATGTCGTCAACGAAAAACCTCATACACCGCGTATATGAATTAAAGCTCGCGTTTGTTTCTTTCTAGAATAAAACACAAAAAAACGAAACAATTGCAGTCGTTTCCGTTGGTCGTGTGCGAACATCTGGTGTCACTCATGCACTAACTCAACTTGTGTCGTGCATTTGTTTATTGAAGCCTCGGCGCGCAGCCTAGCCGGGTACGGGTCACCCCTCGCGTATTATTTTCGCCACGCGCTGCACGAGTGGGAAAAGGAGCGCGGCCGCACCGCACCGGCACCGACGACGCGAAACAAGAGGGTGCCGAAGTCGGAGCACGTCGTAGTCTCGTCGTCCGTCTCGCTCGCACGCGATAAACATTAATGTAAAATGTTTAAGAGAGCACAGCACGGAATGGCACTCCGTGCACGCGCACACACACACACATCGTCGTCGTCTCGCCGAGGCACAGGCATAGCAAGCCCTAAACAACAACGTTGCGGCCATCTTTAAAAATTAAAAATAATTATGTCGTGCGTTCATGACACCGCTGGCCGATTTTTCTCCGAAGCGCACGTTTCAGACACACATAACTCGTTGGTTCTCAGACGTAGATTGTATTTATTTTGATGTGATATAAGGAGAAATAAACGTACCTTATTTTTCTAAATTAGGGGTTGTAAATTATCCGAAATTATCACTGCGCACCACACCGATATCGGCCGGTTCGGGAACAACGCGTAAACAAAAACAAAACACAGCAGCTAGGTGAGATCGTCCCGCAGGCAGCAGAGCAGCAGCAGCAGCAGCAGTAGCGGTGGATTTATAGGCTCTCCCCAGCGCCACTCGATCGCTAGGCGCGCGTGAAGGCAACTGAAGCGAGCTGAAGTAAGAAAAGGCCGGCGGGCTGTGGTAGTGGGTGCGCGATGGCTGCTAAAAGATGCGCCCGCGCCCCGCGCGCCACAGGCACAGACCACGGGAATACACGGGGATGAAGCGAGCGGGCAAAGTGTGGCGGTGCCTTTACAACTAACTAACCGACCGCCTGAGTGACTGCTACTGCTGCCCAACCGAATTGTTTAACAAACGTATATTTTTAGCGCAGCGACCCGGCGTGCGTGCGTGCGTCCCGCATGCACAACCACACAGAAAAACAAGTTTCAAATCATACGCAAAATGTACCTTAGGCAAGTTGACTAGTTGTAGATGTCCCTCAAGTCCCTCAAGTCCGTCCCTTGATTATACTTGCACTTGAATCACACGCACGTCGACGATGGTTGTTGTTACTCCGACGGCCATTCAACAACGATCAACGCCAGTCGTTTTTCGCTAACAAACGCACGCCGGCGCAACGCATGCGCACTCCCCAACCATCTGCATCTTACTCTGACCCAAGCACAGCAGTATACAACGCGCGCATTCGTGCGCCCTCGGTATAAACAATTCGAATTTGAAACGTGCCCGCCGTGTGCAGACGGAGCGCGCGCGGCGTGACTCACTAATAACAAATGACAAGCGGGGCACGGCGAGCGGGGTAGCACCCAAACACATACAAAAACGACGGATGCCAAACGTATCATCATCAATGGTTATAAATATTACAAGTAATAAAACAAATAATCTATGATGTATTTTTTCATCGCACAGAGAGGATTAACATACATTTCGTACCCTTCGCGTGGTTTATTTGTTCATGACGCATCGGTTCGCCCCAGCGTCGAATGTTAAAACATTATTAAGCTCGCCGCGGCGCGTCTTCGACCGAGGGGTGCATTATAACAATCTCGCCTGCGCTGCTCACTCACACCATGCCATCGCCACTGCCGCCTAAGTAGCGTTGTTAAAATGTAAAAATCAATAATTTTAGACAACCTAACGCACAAAACGGAGAATTAACGCAAATGAATCTTGCGCCCCTCTTCGCATCGTCGCCAGACTTATCGACCAAATTGCAAAATTACAATCGTACACACACACACACACACACATCTACAAACCCACAGGCCGCGCGGGTAAATTTTATTTTTATTTGTGCTGGTCGAAACGTGAGAACTTGAAATTGAACAAGGTGCGCTGCATGCGCGCTGCACCAGCACACAACACAAGGACGTTATAAACAAGTTTTGTTTAAATATTTTTACCTGAAGCGGGCGATGTGCGCACAAGAGACGAGAAGAGAAGCAAAGAAGGCCGTCGAGGATTACTAATAACACATAAAATGCATGAAAAATGATTAAAAATTTATTGTTGCATTAAAAATCGCTGCAATTGTTCGCAATACTCTTGTTCCTCCTATCAAAAACAAAAACATTCATAAAATACACTCAAAAATACACAATTTACGTTGTTTTACTCACAGAAAATTCCTCTTTGCCTCTGACAAACTCCAAATTACTCTGTAATGTCCCCAAGAGTTGTTGTCGCAAATCCGGCGTCAATTTATCCCCAATTTTGTTTTTATTATCAATCAATAACGATTTTAATAAACTTAAAAGATGCTCATGTGAAGATTGGTGCTCCCCTTGAAGAATATCAACAATAACAGGCAGAAAACCCATTGATAACATAGAATCTGCAATAAATGAATCAGAAAAACATAAAACAATCAAAATAAATACCAAACCGTGCAGATTTCCATCCAAATTGTGCAGCGCACTTAACAAAAACGCAGCTTTCGTGCGTAGTTTATCATTGCCCGTCTCCAAAGCACTGCGCAATGCCTCCAGGCCGTTGTGCGTCTGGAAATTCCCGTAACCAATGAGGCTTTCCCGCGTTATACAACTAATCGCATACAATGCTTTGATCTTCACAATCTGGCATTCATCATGCCGCAGCGTATTCAATAATTTCGGCAGGACATTCGTGCATTCACAAATCACGCCCTGAATGTACGGATTATTCTGCGATAATTCCGCGATGAGATCACAAACGCGCGCGCGGATCTCGTCGTGTTTACAGCGCAAGCATGGCTCAAAGATGGAGAAGCCATTGATCTTATGGAAATCATTGGCAATGTCAATGTTATCAATATAATCCAGTATACAATCAAATGCTTCAATCATCTCAGGTACTTTATCATCACTAATGTCTTCCACCTGCTGGAGTTTGGTAATGTTTTCTTTCATTATTGCAATCACATCAACTGACATAGATTGCAGGGCTGCTTGCAGGAAGTTTCTTCTTTCATCATCAAGTGGTTGGAGTTGTGGTGTGGATTGTGTTGCACCATCTTGTGCTTCCATTGCAAACCTTAATAGACCTTGCAGATTCTGTGGCTGCCTGGGTTGTGGAATTTGATCACCTGAAGCATCTGCGTGCTTTTTTTCTGGAACGCCTGGCATTATCTACAGAAAACAAAAAGTGTTTAATAAATATTTATGAATAAATGCAAACTTACTATGTATGAGATGTGATTACAAACACGATTTAAATGAGACTGTGTTTTGGATGCTGGTGACACCGCTGTTTTATACAAAAACAATCGAGAAACTAAAAACTTCGAGATGTTTCTAGTCGTTTCCTTTCCATAAACGACGAGGTTAACACATGGGCAGTTGAATTAATATTCCAATTTCAATACAGCTAGCGACACCTAGTGGTCCAAAATACTACTGTGTGGTTGGAATATATTCAATTCAATACCGCTAGCGACATCTGGCGGTGTAAAATGATACTACACGAGTCAACACGTGCGATATCACTACCTAAACAACTTTTTCATGGAATTGACGATGTAGGATGTATGGGATTGCCTCCGCTGCGAGTGAACACTGCCTTCAGTTAATAACTAAGAAAATAAATTTGCTTTGCGTGTCTCCTTGGTATACAAACTATAAATCTAAATGTAAACGTAATGGTAATCGTTGGTTGTTGGTGGGTTACTGCTCGGCGACGCCCTCACACTCGAGAATCTTCATTTTTCGTTCGGGGCCCCAGCGGTACTTGCTGAGCGCGCCGGTTTTGCGCACGACGCGATGGCACGGAATCACATACGCTATCTTATTCTTTGATATAGCTGTGGCGACGGCGCGAATTGCTCGCGGATTACCAACGGCTTTGGCGATCTGTTCATAATTGGAAGTTGTGCCTTCCTTGAGCTTAGTCAGCTCCTTCCACACTTTGCACTGCATCTCAGTGCCCCTGAGCAGTACATTGAGTTTTGGTTTCTGCTCAGCAGATTTGTCCTCATCTGCTGCTGCCTCAGGAGCTGAATCTGCACTTTCTGTGGAATCATTGCTATCCTGCTCAACTCTACTGAAAATACTTTTTGCTAGGTCTTCTACAGTCTTGGTGTCTTCTTTGAGTTTAGCATTGGGCCAGTCTTGTTGCAGCAAGTCAATGGCGGAATTATCTTTACCTAAAGCATGAAATTTACATTAAAATGAGCTGGTATTTAAGCAGGTGAATTGATTACCTTCGTCAAATAAAGACATGTAGCAGATTTTGGTGTCGTGCGTGCCAATGAGGCACTGGCCGAATTTGGTTGGTACAATGCCAAAGGTTATGTCGAATTGTTTCATGCTCTTGTACTCGTCCATCGTCATCGTCTCAAAGTTAATATCCGCCGACATGGCGCAGTTGGAGTGGCTCTGAATTTAAATCACCGAAAACAAACGTTGAACTAATAAAGGAAAACGTGCTCGTCGCTGCGCTCACAACTTCAATTTTCGTGCCTGCAGTCAAACAAACGCACAAGTTGTTGGGATGGCTGGCGACATCTGACAGCAGAAAATAAAGTTGGCGCCAAAAAAATGGATTCTCCATTTAACCGGAGTTGATTAAAGGTATAGGTGAAGAAATTCCCGCTTCTGATTGGCTGTCAGCATAAATGGCAAATGACTAAAATTAAAAGTTGTATAATAAAATGACCTAATTAAAAACTAAAAGTTATACGTTTATGTGCAGAAATACCCGCTTCTAATTGGCTGGTTGCATAACTGACAGTTGGCTAAAAACAGAGGTTGTCATGTAATAATGACCCGATTAGACGTTGACAGAGGTTGATGTGCAGAAATACCTGCTTCTGATTGGCTCAAGTTTTAAAATTTGATCATATATATGATATGGATATTTTATATTTCAAATCAATGTAGAAAACATTATAGGTAAATATTTTATAAAAGTTATCATATATAAAAGTTATGTATATGATCCAAATTTCAAATTACGCGCCAATTCGTGCATGGTTACCTCCCACTACGTCACTAATTCAAACTGTTCGAATATAAACAAAGTTATAAAATATTGCATAACAAATAACAACGTATAACAATAATAAATCTCTGCATACATAAGTCTTATTCTCAATAAATAATTAACTAGCCTTTGACAGCAATCTTCTTCCGAATAAGAAAATCGTCAATAAGCACATCTTTGCCGGACGACTTCGTGTCGATAAGTTTCAGTACGAGAACATTATCGCAAGGATAAAGCTCGTCTTTTTCGATTGCGATAATAACCGACACGTATTCCCGCTGCTGCACCAAATTCTCAAAGTACCGACAGTTATCCACAGACCATTTCTCTTGAATTGGCTTGACACCTAACAAAAATAAATTAATATACGCGTAATAAACATAAAAAAGAAACTACCTGCTAGTTTAGCTTTGATTGCCTGATAAGGCAACTCCAGAAACTGCTTATCCAACGCAAACAAGTTCTGATAACCCAGATTAGCATAGTAACCGTAATCCACATAAAACAACAATGGCGCTGGGATAAATCGTCTTCAGCACGCAGACCCGACACCATTTACCATCGTCATGTTTCGCTGCGTAAATATTTCCAGCTGAGACATCTTTAAGATTAACCGGCTCCGTGTGTCGATTCGCAAACGTCGCTTGCATACGCGTCATCATATCGCGCAACTGCTGCGCTGAATCCAAAGGCTGGACGAAAAAATTCCACGGATTCACCGCAAACGGAATCTTCACCTCGAAATATTCGCGCATGTTAGGCAATCGTGGTGATTGTAAAACACCCGCTGAAGGTACATTATGCGGGGAATCCGGTGGTGTAATAAAAGTTTTCTGATCACATAATCGCTCATTAACAGAGACTAATCCATTCGAATTCGGTATAAAAGCATCACGCTAGGCACGTCCTCGTGTATATCTTGCACACGCATAAGAACACTTTGTTCCTGCGGTAATAACTCCTTTATTTTATCAACAAAATCATCAACGATAAGTTTGCTTTCGGAATGCAAACTGACGAGTGTAGCTTGCGGAGGGAATCTATTTAAAGCTGGACTTAGTGTTTCCAAAGGTATTAACTGTGTGTTGTTGATAGGAACAACTTTAGTAGTGCCTACATCCACGTAGAGTAATTGCGCATATTCAAAATTAGGCGACGAGTCGATAATCCTTACACGATGACAACCATCTTCTAATTTGGCAAAATATAATTTACCAATGCTGTTTTCACGTGTAATAGTTATCTGTTGTTGTGGTAAATCACCCTGTAGATCTTTTATCAAATTCAACATGGAGTCGTAGCCAACAGAACGAATTTGCACGTAAAACATGCTCTTAATACCAATATGCGAAACAAAAACCTCATAAGTTTTATCCTAAAACAATAATACATAAAATTATCTATTATGTTTTAATATTTTACGTACACTTACAGTTTCAAAATGATGTGTTGCATTTTCCACCGCAATCGAGATCATCAAATCTTTATTACACGCTTGACCAGTCTCCAAATCATACATGACAACACTGAATATTTTCTGCACGTCTTCCTCATCATCACCACCGACAGCTTCCAGTGTCACATCCATTCCTTGCAGATCTCTAATAGCTTGCGAATCTTGTGAGACATCGAAAAGTGCGTCTAGTCCTGTTAATTTACAAGCAAACGCTTGCGCACGTACGCGCGCAAAGTCCATATGCAGTGCATAAATATCCCCGAAATTAATTAAACAATCTTCACCGATATCAACAAACAGACACAAACACTTTGCATCAGTTTGGTGTACTTCTAAAGCACGTACACGATGCCATCCGCTGTCAATCTTCCACGCCGCATAATAATTACCTTCAATAATCTTACCAACAGATTTAATCAATTTCTGCTCGAATTGTTTGTTGTAAGTATCATTAAACTGCTTCTGCATTACATCAAACAAAGTAGTATCGTGTGTGTCCATCTGCCGACACCAAATCTCCGCTGCAGACACAGTATAAGTGATTTTGCTGTCATGTACCCTTTCTCGTTGAAATCAGCCGTGCTGGTTGGCACACATACATCACTAATAATCATAGATGTATGTTTCGTGTTTATACCTGGTGTACAAGCACGTAGAATAAACTTATCGCCAATCTGTTCGATAACAATCGAATGTATCGCTTGCTCCTCAATGATTTTCATCCAGTTTGCAGGCAGCGCTTCTTGATAAACATCCTTGTAATCCGCTTCGACTTGCCAACTCCACACACCGTTGAAATGTTTACTAATAAATTGTGGTACGCGTTCAATGACGCAACTCTCGGTTGAAACGGGAATGTGTTGTGGTCGCGTTCGGCCGTACTTTTTGATGAGTTTCTCGAGCGCTTTTTTTGATGCACTTAGAGTAGCCGAACGCTCATCGAAGCAATCATCCGGAAAACTGGACATACTCTCACCGTCCACCTTAAAACATAATAATATACTCTTATGAATGTTAATTTGTTATTGTTGTACCTTTATTTTGCAGTCAAATTGTGCCGGGCGGTTCGGTTTGCTTTTGCGTTCCATCACAGTGATTTGCGGCTCAGCAATGCGACAAAACCGAGTGAAATTCCATAAATCTTTACCGATATTGCCGCTTTCAACAAATTCACTACTCCATTTTGATTTCTCGCGTGGTGTTACATGTATAACATTGTTATTGTTATTTCTCCTGTCGCAACTAGTGAGAAATTGATTGTGTTGTGCAAGACGCGGTGAGTTGCGATAGTGATAATTCTTTTTCAGCGTATCCACAGGCCGCCATCGTTTGGGATCTTGTGTGATATTACTCCGCTTTTATGTTTTGTATTCTGGCGCGCCGCCATGTTGGAAATATGCGGTAAAGTCTTAGCTTCCACTAAAATTTGTCCGTTAGCCTCTTTGCGCACAACAAACGACTCCACCGATTGTAAAAACTCCTCCAGATTCTCAAACCCTAATTGTTTAAGTGGAATATTATGTTTTGTATATGTTTTATAATCAGCAGCAAGTCGATTTATTTCCAAAGCTTCTTTTGCAAACACCAAACAACAGCGCAAGTCACGAATTGTCTCCTCTCGTATTTTGTCCATGCTAAAAATTTACAGTTTATTTAGATTAGTATGTCAATAAGCCCATGATTTATTATTACACACACGTCGCAGGTGTGATTTTATAATTTATGGCCACCAAATACGGCGCGCAAATATTTCAACTTACATCCGAATTGAGATAAGTTGCGATGACGAAACGTTTCTTACAATTGCAGTGTCAACAGCAACTAAAAGAACAATTGCTTGATGCCGTGAAAATATGAAAGTAGAAATTTACTTTCAATTGCTGCACCTGTCGCTTGCCGCTTGACAAAATTCCTGCCGCGTTAATGTAAGTTACTTTCCAGTTAAGAAAACTACAATGCGAAGAGGTCAATGCGAAATTAATTGTAAAAAAACAAGTTTTAACTTACGTGATCGCGGAATTAACTGATCGTGGTTGTTGCCGATAACCCCACGACACCCGTTCCAGGCCAGGAACGGTGCGCAACTGCGGTAAGCAGGTCGCGGTGTTTATAGACGAGATTACCAATGTACCGAATTAATTACACTTTAACTTCCCACAACTTCTGCGTATGTAGCGGGAGATGCGCGACCAATTTATACTTCACCTTTTACGTTAGGCAACCTATTGTACAGCTGGAGAATGGATAGTATGGCAAGTATTGGTTGTGGATGAACCCGATTTGACGTAGAATGTTAGAGGTTTGTGTGCAGACTTTTGGCGGTAAATTTAAAATATGTACTAATATGGTGGTTGATAGGTGCTATTTTTGTTCCTGTGTATTGAAAGTGTCATAAGAGCTATGAACTATGAAGTATCCATGTCTGATATATGATCTTGATTTAAATGACAGCTAAGGGTAAGCCAATCAGAATGCGGGATTTCTGCGCGTTCACCTCTATATTCAACTTCAAATCTAACCAAGTGTTGTAATGGAATCCATTATCCGACGCCATAATTCCGATTTATTTTCCATCGCATTTCCGACAAACTGAGTATGTTGTTGTAAATACCTAGTCAACAAAGTACTTATTGCGCTCTTTACACAAACATGTCATTATATCCAGGGAAAACAGTATATTTAATTGTCGTAGTAGAACAAACAGGAAAATATCTAGTATGCGCATGTCGTGTACGTTTTGACGACGATTAAAATTTCGTCACGCGTGTCGCCGCTTCTGTCGCACTAATCCCGCTCTGAAACAAATTTCCAATCAGCTCAATCATCAATTTCGCGTGTTTAAAATCGCGCAAAACAGCTGGCGCGCGACGCGCAACGCACAGAGGTGACACCTTCGCGACGCTCTGGTGGTGTGCGTGCGTCGGCGCGTCCACACGCGAATTAGCGTTGCGTTGCGCGTGAGTTGGTGTGTTCGTCGTCGTCGTACACACAACGGGCGAAGAGAAAGAGACGTTGGCCGAGAGCGCGCGGAACGAAAACAGCGGCCCCTGCAGCGGAGACCAAACACACACGGGGAGCGAAGCGACGAGAGTCAACGAGACGCGAGATACGCTAGAGGAGACAACAGCAGCAGCGACGAGCGGCTAGGCGACTGGACGCGACCACTCTACACGCACTCGGACGCACGAAAAGCATATGGCGACGGCGACGACGACGTCTGCTCCAATTTTCGCACGAGCGTAGAACAACGCTCCGCAAACGCGCCGCGGGACGCCGTGGCCCGCGCTGGACAATAGACAATTCCATTCGCATCGTCGTGAGTAGTGTACTCACTCGCGGCACTCACTTTGTCTGCCAGGAGTCATCTCACCTAGCACACCACCACACACGGTGGTCTGTTTTCATTCAAATATTAGTCTGTGATATATAGTAAACACATAACAAAGTGACTACAACTATGAATGCCACTTTGTGACACTAACTGGAGGAGCTAGCAACTAGTTTAAGTATTAATTGTACATACATTTGTGAATTTTGGTTGTGAAGTGTGCAAGAAGACTGAGCCTAGAAGAGATTTACCAGGCAGAGAGACGCGCCACCTTCTGGAATCCACCTTCTTCATGGATAAGGAAAATCCGAAGAAAGATGGTGAGTAAAATGGAGGCTTAGAGAGTAAGTCCAGTGTAAGACTCAACACGGTGTTGGTCTTTATCTGTGCTCTATGATTTTTTGCTATTGTCAAGGTTTTAAACAACGCGTTGTGCGCGCTCGCCACTTTGCGATTATTCGACATTGTGAATTTTAAGAGTGAACAACTCGCGATAACGAATTTGATCTCTTCAAAAGAGCAAAAACGTGCTTCCGCAAGCGAATATCATAGTTTTATACAATCTAGTCATAGTTTTCTATTCATTTTGTTTGATTCGGGTGCGAAATGGTGCACAAACGACCACCGAAACCGATTCTCATGAACGCCGCCGCCGCCCTCGTGGCGGTCGTGTGGGAACCGGTGAAACGCAAACGTTTGCACGTTTCATTTCGTAAGCCCACAACATACAATATTCCACTATTGCAACTAATATTTAATCTATTAATAATTCAAGGTGATGAGGACGGCGAGACCAAGAAGGACTTTAAGGATCCGGCGATAATCTCGGCGATTTCCGGTGGAATCACCACGGAATTACCGCCGGCATCGCTCGTAGACCATCGCTACACCAAGGAGGAGCTGCTGAAGCTGCGCAAGGCGCCGTTCTCGCAAAAGAAGCCCAAGTGTCTGGATGCGGCGTACTACAACTCGGCGGGCGTGTGGGATCCCGAACCATGGCATTACAGTAACAAGCAGGCTGAGAATCAGTCGGAGAATGGACCTGGTGGTGCAGCGGGCGGTGGCGATGATGCTGCGCCCGTTGGAAAGCAGCGCAGTCGACCGGCTGATCCCCGGGAGAGGATTCGTAAGGAGCAGGATGGGATTGTGTTGAGTCCGCAGCGACGCAGCTTCAATTCGGGATGTTTTGTTCCCAACAGTCGGGAGAGCGCGAGCGCTACCGCTGTACCGGGCGCCGCTTTACCAATTCGAGTTAATCGAGCGCATAGTCCCCTTGGAGCAGCGTCCGGTGGCAAGGGAGATCGCGAACGCGACCGAGATCGTGACCGTGATCGCGATCGTGATCAACCGATGCAAAGACGCATTGGCAGTGGTCGAATCCTGCCGTGGGATTACCAGGAGAAGACCGAGGAGAACGACTTTGGTTATCGGCGTGAAATTAGCGACAGGGATCGAGACCGTGATCGTCCGGAGCGAGGCGGTGGCGGCGGTGGTGATCGCCGTGATCGTCCCGAGCGAGATCGAAGAATTGACGATCGTGAGCGCGAGGATCGCTTCGATCGGCGTTCGTTTGGACGTGATTTTGACCCGGCGAAGGAGAAGCACGGCAGACAAGCGCAGAGTCGCGGGTATAATCGTCGCGTGAGTAACGAACGCGAAGAGGAGCCCGAGTGGTTCTCGTCGGGGCCGATTAGCCAGAATGATACTATAGAGTTGCGGGGTTTTGACGACCCGCCGGAGAAGGTTAGTAATAAGAAGAACAATAAACAGAACAAACGCAGTGTTAATGGGGATGCTGCCGCTGGCGGGAAGAAAGCGGATCCTCCACCGAAGAAGAATCTTGGTAAGGAGAATCTTATCGGTAAAGATGGCAGCACCTCGCCGACTAAGTTTAACCATGAGAAAGGCAAGCAGCAGCAGCAGCATGATAAGAAGAGTGATGAAGAGAAGAAGAAGACGTCGACGAAGCTAGGCGGGCCCGATGAGGAGTGTTTCAACTTTGATGCGATGTTTAAGGCTGATTCGTTGCCAATTCCTGGTTTACTCAGCGTATGTATTCATTAATATTGATTAATATTACTTGATTAATGTGTGATTACCTTTTTAGAATGGTGTCGAGGCTGGTGATGCGGCTGGAAGTCGTTTCTCGCGCTGGTTCCAACGTGAAAAGTCCCCGCCGACCAAGGAAAGTGACGGTAGTCGCAGGTCTTCACCACCCAGTCAGGAACATCATCATAATCTCATCCGTAATCTGTTGGGCGACACGTTTAACGAGCCGCAGCGAGTGGCGATCCCGCAGCCGGGCGACTCCGAGTCGTATTTTGCTCCGATCAGTCCGGCGGCCAATACGCATCCCCCGCAGGCAGGCCGCGGGGGCCAGAAGCACGCGCAGGAGTCCTCGTCCTCATCGCTCAATATGATTGAGATGCAGCAGCGCGCCGCAGCGGGTCATGCGAGTAAGAAGGCTGATGCGCCGCCTGGCGCTGGGAAAATCCTCAGTCTGGAGGAGTTGGAGGCGCCGTTGAGGCATGGTGCGCCTGAAAAAGGTGCGCAGAGTAAGCCTGGTGAAGAGGATGTGCAACAATTCAAGCGATTGGTACTATTTCAATATTTACCTGTTAAAATTGTATTTTTAACTGATTTGTTTTGTTAAAGTTTTCGCAAATGTCTAAACCGATGAGTATCATGGAGATGTTGTCGCACTCGCAGCAAAAGGATGCAGAGGCGACGCGTATGCAGCAGACACGCATGCCTAACCAGCCACAGCAACAACAACAACAAGCACCACCGCCACAACAACAGCATATGACTGAAATGGCGTACAAATTGCAGCAGCTGCAGACTCAAGTGCAACGCCAGCAGCAGATTGACATGCTCAGTAAGCTGATGAACGCCGCTAACTTTGGCGGTGGTCATCAGCGTGGCTCACCGCTGCACGAGATGAATGTGGCGCAGAGTCGTGAGCTGCTCAACCGTCCCGAAGCGCAGGCTATAATGCAGGGTGAGTGTGCGCATGCACGTTGTTTGTGTATTTTGTTTGTTTCCGTTGTTGTTATCCCTGTATTTTTATACTAACACTTTGAGTGGTCGCCGCTGGGTAGGGTTGAAGCGGGGCGACATCACACCGCAGCACCTTTACCAGCAGCTCGCCAATCCGGCGATGCAACCGCGGCATCGCGAGATGCTGCTGACGATACTCAAGATGCAGCAGCAGCAGCAGCAGCAGCAAACGCCGCAGCAGGCACCGCCGCCGCAGCCGCAAGTGCAGCCGGCGGTTGTGAGCGTCGCGCCGCCACCGGTGCCGCCGCAGGCCGTCTCGCCTAACTTTTACACGCAGCAACAACTGCGCGTTTCACCCCTGACACCCAACGGTGAGGCGAACCGTTATCTTTTTGTTTTATTATTAGTATGATTTCTGCTTGCGCTCTCAAGTTGTTTGCTTTGCTTGCCCGCCCTTTGCGACACTTGATTAATTAACGCTACTTTCATGCAGCTTACTGCGTGTCGCCCATAATGGCAACCAGTCCCAACACCCTTTCGGTGCCAGGTACCACACTTGTGACTTAACTTAATTATTAACAACACTCTTGTCGTTAAGAATGTGTAGTTTATTTGATTCTAATTTGGCATTGTTTGCAGCTCTACACCAACGAATTCCGTCGCCGCGCGAGCTGCAAGTGCACACGCAGCATATTATGCAACGCGCGTTGATTAAAAAGAAGCTGGAGGAGCAGGAGGAGAATTATCGCAAGAAGCAACAGCAGCAGCAACGCGGCGCTGCTGGTTCGCCGGCGAAGAGCACTGCATCGCCTACACCGACACATTTATTCATGCCTACTTCGGTTATGAGGAAATTGACAGCTGAAAAGGACGACTGTAAGCAATACAAGTAATAAATTATTTATATATACTTAAATATCATCTAAATTTGTAGCATCCAAAGATGGAAAAGACAAAGTGCCACAAGGACGCCCACTCACCGGTCTGCGGAGCGGGCCACAAAACGCGCAGGGAGGCAGTGGCGTACAGATGCAACAACCAACGCCACAGCAACAGCAGCAGCAGCAGCAACTCAATTGGAATAACAATTATTCCAACCAAATGAAACAACCAGGTATTCACACCCGCCATGATGGATTCTTGAGTAATCTGCAACAAATGTTTTCAACAAGTTTCAGGGCGTGCGATTGTCAAGGCAAACAATTACCAGCAGGGCCAGAATCAAGCCGAGTACTTCCAGCAGGCGCAGCAGCATCGAATGCTTCACCAACAGCACTTGCCACAGCAGTCACAAGCAAAGAACTTCTTCGCTCAGCCACCGCAGCAGAGTAATGTTAATTCCGGCGGTAGTCAGCAGAATCCACCGCAGCAGGGTGGGCAACAGTTTCAGCAGTTGAGTTCGCAGCAGTTGCGCCAGCAGCATCAGAATGTACGCGCGCAGCATCAGCAGCAGCAGCCGCCTGCCTTCCAGCATCCGCAGAGTGGCAACTGGCAGGCTGCTAACTTTGGTAAACATTAACAATCGACACATATCATACACATACAACACACACAACACACAAACAATTGTAAATATTATTTTAATGGAATTATGTGATACTTATGATACTTATTGTTGTTTTTGTGTTTGTTTTTGAAGATAATAATCATCATCGCGGTGATCTTTCGCCGACGAGCGACCAGCTTGCGCGATGGTTTTCGCCCGATTTGTTGGAGCGCGCGCGTAAGGGCAACGTGCCCAGCATTCCTACCAGCGCAGTCGCTCAGCACGCGCTCAGTTTGGAGGAGATTGAACGCCAGACCACCCCCGTTGGCCAGCACTAGGGATACAACGAATACCAGCAATCTCTATATTCAAATGAAGACATTGATTAGAAGCAGAGAGGAGAGAAAAGCGTTGAGAAGCGCGACATGTTTTTACCGCGATGCGCGCGCAGATTGCTTGATTTTGAAATTTTCTTGAGTTTTATAGTGATAGTCATTAGCAATATTTTGATTTTCTTAAACAACCCCGCAGAATTATACATTTTACTTTATTACACACGCTGTGCAAACGTGTGCGTCATTTTTAATGTTGTACTTTTTGATTTTTTTGATGTTTTATTGTGGAGAATCTGCGCGATTGCAGCGCGGAATGTGTCACGAATTTTAAACACACGCCCAACGTTTTCTTCTCTCTCTGTTGTTCTTTGAACGCAAGCAAATGACGGAACGAGCCACCGAAAAATTAATAATAAACATATTTGTAAATATACATTGATTTCTTTGTAAAACAAGTCGTTATTTTTAAGTTCATTACTTGAGACATTCCGTCGATCAGTGACTTGATATTTATTGTCGATCATCATCATCATTCGATCATACTTGAAAAGAATTGTTTCGCGATCATCTCTTATTGTCACCATGTACAATTAAAATATGCCCACTGAGATGTATATTAGAAAAGAATCGAATAACTTGAGAGTTGCCCTTCAAATCGAATAAAGAAACTTATTCCAAACAAACATGGCGCATGTGTGAGGAATACAAGTTGCCTATAGCCTAGGTGAAAATCAAGTCGGCTGTGTGCAAGTGAGTGTTGGTGGTTGCCTGGGTCACCAACTTGTTTCATGTGATTGATCAAACAAACAAGCAGCAAACAGAATGGCGGTAAGTCGGATATTTTACTAATTTAGTGTATTACACTTCATAAAAATCACCTAAAATGTATAATATTAAGTTATATCTTCATAAAAGTATAAACTTTTCGATAAAACACGTTTAAAACAAGAAATACTGAGTTGTTTTGTAAGTTAACCTAACTTTTCTCACGTTTGTGCAGTCGGCAGCAGCAGCAGCAGCAAAAGTCGCAGAAGTGCGTGATATCACTCGCATTGAACGCATTGGTGCGCATTCACACATCCGAGGACTTGGATTGAATGAATCTCTTGAAGCTAGAAATGTAAATATAAACAATAGAATAATATTGAGAACAAAAACATTAATCACTTCCCTCTGGATGTTATTAGGTGTCTCAAGGTATGGTTGGACAGATGACAGCGCGCCGCGCCGCTGGAATCGTCCTGCAGATGGTAAAAGAAGGCCGCATTGCTGGCAGAGCAGTCCTGTTAGCCGGACAACCTGGCACAGGCAAGACAGCAATTGCCACAGCTTTAGCATCATCCCTAGGCTTGGATACACCATTCACAAGCATGGCTGGCAGTGAAATCTTCTCTGGAGATGAGTAAGACTGAAGCATTGACTCAAGCAATCAGAAAATCAATTGGCGTTAGAATTAAGTAAGTTACAAATCTATTCTAAAAGAAAAAACATTTATTTTCTCATATTTTCCAGGGAAGAAAGTGAAATCATTGAAGGCGAAGTAATAGAGGTACAAATCGAGCGTCCCGCAACCGGCGAAGGCAACAAAGTCGGCAAACTCATCCTGAAAACCACCGACATGGAAACCGTCTACGACCTAGGCGGAAAAATGATCGACAGCATCCTCAAGGAAAAAGTCCAGTCGGGCGATGTGATCACCATTGACAAAGCCACCGGAAAGATCACCAGACTAGGCAGATCATTCACACGCGCACGCGACTACGACGCCACCGGCCAACAGACGAGATTCGTGCAATGCCCCGAAGGCGAATTGCAGAAACGTAAGGAAGTCGTCCACACCGTGACACTACACGAGATCGACGTGATCAACAGCCGCACGCATGGCTTCCTAGCGTTGTTTTCCGGCGACACCGGCGAGATAAAACCCGAGGTACGTGAGCAGATCAACGGAAAGGTAGCGGAATGGCGCGAGGAGGGTAAAGCCGAAATAATCCCCGGTGTGTTGTTCATCGATGAGGTACACATGCTGGATATCGAATGCTTTTCGTTCTTGAATCGTGCGTTGGAGAACGAAATGGCGCCCATTGTCATGATGGCGACGAATCGCGGAGTCACCCGCATCCGCGGCACGAATTACAAGTCACCGCATGGCATACCGTTGGATTTACTGGATAGAATGATTATTGTACCCACAGTACCATATGAGGAGAAGGAACTGAAGGAGATCTTGAATATTCGGTGTGAGGAGGAGGATTGTCAGTTGACAGACGATGCGTTGACGGTGTTAACTCGCATCGCATTGGAAACTTCACTGCGGTATGGAATACAATTGATAACCACTTCGTATTTGATTGCGAGGAAGCGTAAGGTGAATGAAGTGGAAGTGGAGGATATAAAACGCGCGTACGAGTTGTTTTATGACGAAGGACGCTCGGTGCAGTTCCTGAAAGAGTACCAGCAGGAGTTTATGTTCAACGAGAGCGATGGGGATGCAGACGCCGAAGTTGAAATGGACGTCAAATAATTATACATTCCGATTTTTTTCATTTTCGAGTCATTTTCTGTTGCTGTAATACATTTACTTACTTTTTATAATTAGTATGTTTGAGTTTGCCGAGACTTGTGAGCACGAAGGTGCGCAGAATACCGGTTTGGCCATCGTGAGCAAAACAGCGTCCACCCAACATGTTAAAATACAACTTTCTTAGGATGTATGAAGTTGGCGTGCCTAAACTCTGCAGGCATTTTTGAAAACGCCGATCGCAATCACAATGAGACCTAAAAAGAAAACACATTAGTTAATAGAATTAATATAATCTATAGGGATTATTCTTGTGTTTATACATTGTAACGCTTGAATTGTTACACAGATTGGGTGCCATTTGATTGTGCACACAAGTCCCTGCCTGAATAAACACCGGGCACATGTCATGCTCACGACAACAAGCATCTTCCCTACTATGCAGGAAACCTAGATCATTGTAGTGATTGGCACGGTTGCCCATGCCACACCATCGTGTCCCAGGATAAATCAGCATGCTTTTAAACGACCCGAGGAAATTGCCTAGCAATCCCTTGCGTTGCCCACCGGGTGAATCCTGCTCCCAGTCACACCAGCGTCGGAGTTTTTGGAATTTCACATCAGCGACTTCATAATACGCGCTGTCGGGCCATCCTTTATTCGCGGGCAGTTTATACATTTTGCAATCCAGGGATTTGCAATGCCCTTCATGACATAGGCGTTTTTTACTCGGGAATTCAGACATCCAGAGATATGTCTCCATTTCGGTTGTGTGGGCATCGTCTTCCACGCGGCATGATGTCTTGCGTTTGAATAACACACCATCATTACCAGCTGTTAACAGCCAGAGAGATGCCGAAACAATGAACGCATTAATTAACACGGACATACTCGTAATGCAGTGATTAAGCAAAAGTTAGTTAAATAAATACCTCGCGATTGAGGCATATGCCGCCAACGCATGTGATTGTCTCCGGTAAACAATAAATAATTAATAATTTGACTGCTGAATGGCTGGTGCGTTAGTTCAGGCGCTGTGGAATTATAATTTAGTACGTTTTACTATCATATAATAATTTCTTGAAATACAATTATTTACATAAATCTTTTAAAATTGTAATTTCATTCTCGTTTGCTTCGCATTTCAATCGCTAATCCATACTTTAGATTTCAATAATTTAATAATTAATGAGTTGACATCTCTTTTGTTACGTTAATTTTCCTCTAAGTTGCAACTAGAAATATATTCTTCGTTTTTTTGTGTGTGTAATTTCATTTCTCTATTATATACATTACATAGTTTTGGAATGCCTACAATCTCATCCTCCACTGAAACGAAAGCAAAAACCCAAGTGAATCCGTTTTTGTCCAAGTGACTTGCAACTCTGTTTACTTGATTAACACTACCATAGAATAACAGCATAATCTTAAATTGTAAGATAAAAGAATAAAGTTAATATTTGCAATAATATTTTAAGTTCGGTATATGCGTGTGTGTATGAGGGGCGGAAAGTGTATCTTCTGAATGTGTGTCTTCTGCGGGCAATGATAAATAACATAACTAACGTTAAAATATTGACGAAACTAATAATAATAATGAACGTAGTCGTCGTCGTAGTTCGCGCATGATCTCGTTTCGGGCCGATTATCGATAAGGCGCTTTGAGGCGGTGTTGACAACCAACATGTACTAACACTTTACTCGGTGAAAAAAGCATTTGATTGAATATTGTCTGTTCTCTCAGTGGTAATCGGCTTGGCGTGTGGCGGGGGAGACAGGAAGCTTACATCCCATAGCCCTGGTACTGCATCTGATGGTTGTAGCCGGGCTGCGGCATGTACGGTTGCTGTGGCGCGTATCCTTGCGCACCGGGCGGAATACCTAATACAGAAAACACCAAAACACAATCAATAAAACACACATCCCACGCATTGCAATGCAATCAAAAAAAGTGAGTACGAAAAAAAAAAGGGATAAAACGCAAGCGACACGCACACCAAAAAAACACCTACTTAACTACATTGCAATAGTTGCCCTAGACTCTAGTTCTAGAAAGTGTAGCTTGAAGAGTGTGAAGAGTCGAAGGGGGGAGGAGGTGCTAATAAAAGACAACATCCGATAGTCACATGAAGAGAAAAACAATGAGCGTGTGGAAGTTAGACAACACACGCACACACACACACACACAACACCTACCCATGCCAGGTCCAGCCGTCAGCATCAGCTGCGGCTCGGCCATCATCATCGGCTTGTTCGTTTCGTGCTGCTCCGCCTCAGTCGCGCGCTGCGCATCCGACTGCTCCAGCTTCTCCACCTTCTGAGAGAGCTCGCGCGTCACCTGGATGAGATACGGCATCGCAAAGTCCATAATCTTGTGGCGCCATGCGAGTTCCAGTATCACGTCAGGTCGCAATAGATCATAACACTAAAAATTATACAAAATAAATTAATTTACACTACAATAAAAACAAAAAAAAACACCACAAACCTGATATAAACATGCCGAGAAACAATCGAAAGCCTTGCGTTCCAAGAACCACGCCAGCAGTTCTTCAGCAAGCTCACCCTGACGTGACTCCGCCGTATACTCCATTGCATCCCTGAATAGCTTATCCTTCTTGCAGAGTTCGACGCTCTGCTTCCACCGGTTGTTGCCCTTGTACAAATAGGCCGCAATGCGTCGGAATTCAGTCAGCTCGTGCTTCTCCAAACTCTGCGCGAGGCCAATGTTATCAAAGTTGTCGAACGCGTCAATCGACGTGCGCAATCCCTGGAAGTCCTCCTCCTCAATCAACAGATTATTCAACGCCTCATTGATCGCCTTGTTATTCAGCGACTGCACGCTGCGCAGATAGCTCTTCACCAGCTGCAGATGGTTCGTCTTGGTGAAGAACTGCACCGCGCGTGAATGATCCATACGCGGCGCGAGCACCAGCAACAAATCATTCAACAACAACGGTTTATAATCCAGATAAAACTGGATCGCCTTGTAGTACAATTCGATATTCGCCACCTTGGTGATGATATCTTTAAAGTGACCCTCACGCCATGCTTCGGTGGGGTGTGTCATCATCGCCAGCACAGCGTTATCATACTCCTCGTACTT